CGAGGGGAGCGGAGCCGCAGAGGGGTTGAGTGAGCTCTTGCGGCAGGTCAAAAATGTGGGAAGGGCAGGTTAAGGTAACGACAGGCGCCAGCAGGGCCTCCGCAAGTAAGGTCCATGCAGTACAGTTTACGGAGCACGAATACCAGACGGAGGGGTCGGTCCTCCGGGAGGGGTGACGCGCCGTGTTTCGAAGCCGTGCTTGCTTGCTGCTGCGCAAGTCTCGACCCGAGAGGTACGTGCTTGTACATTTTACAACGCATCTCGTACCCAGCCAGAGCTTCCCCCGGCCGGACGACGGAACTTTGGCAACCCTTCGGCGGGATGTTTCTCGCGCCTGAATGTCCGGAGGGACACCCATGCGGCCTCTGTCTTTGGCCATGGGGGACCGACCCCTGGACAGCGGGGGTGCCTTCTCCAAGAGGACAGCTATGGCCGGGGGGTTTGACGCCCATCCTGTTCCAATAGAGGAGGAAGGTACCTTGCCAGTATGTCCGGGCACAACCTCAATACTCAAGGTAGTAACTCTCCATGGACGCGCCCCTGGAAGCCACTGGAAGGCTGGCCGTTGTGTCATCGGAGCTCCAGCAGCGGCGGCGGCGACGACGGCGTTCGACCCTGTTGCGTCAAAACAGCCCCGGTGCTAGGTACGTACGGCCTGGCTGTCTGTGCTCGATTCGAACCTTGGCCCGACGTTTGGAATCGCACAATGCGTCGCAGGAAGGCTGCGCGCGATGCGCTGGCACGGCGAGGCAGCCAATCCCGGTCGCCACACGGCGGGCGATTCTTCGAGCTGTACGCAGGCTTGGTACGCACCACTTACGTTCGCGACAGGCCGCATCCTCATCGCCGCGTCACCGATTATCACACGGTGTGGTGGTGTGGCTCGTTGGCTGCCGCAACACACGGGCTGCACGCGGGACGAGGCGCTGGAGTCCAGATCCGTGGCTGTTGGATCTTGCTGGAGCTCGCTGGAAATACGGGATACAGAACTGATTATTACAGAGTAATAGGTACCCGAGCCAGGCACGGATCTGTGGATGTCACAGCGCAACCGCAGTGGTTGATCGCCTCAACAGCCCCTCCTACGCTCCCCCCGCCAGGCAATGGGAATGGAGGGGCAGCCCAGCCCAGTCAGTCAGTCCCTGTGACCGCCAGCGCCTGCCAGGCACGTCGGCCCCATCTCGACAGCCACACACATCATGCGCAGCAACCCATGCTCATCGCCGTCACCATCTGGCCAGATACTCCATCTCCAAACGGCGCCAGATTGCGTGCTGTCGTCACCCGTTACACAGACACCCGTCTCCCGCGAACAGCGCCGCATGGCTCTCTCCTCACCGAAACCCTGCGCGGCGCAGCGCTCCCGGTCCTTTACCCTGTGCGATCGAAGCCACTTCCGAAGCGGCAGCACGCGGGCAAGCAGCTGCCAAAAGATCCCGTCGTCAACTTCTTTTGCACAGCCCCCTTCGGCGCCCCGTCCGTCCTGCATGGCACCCCCACCAGCTACCCCGACTTGGGGAGGTCGATGGGAAGCTTGTTTTTTCCTTTCGCCTCGGGTCCGCCCCCAACGGCCGCCCGCCGTGGTGTCTCGTTGAGCCGCATCGCCGCTCCGCCTCAGATGCCTTCTAGAAGAACGCCGAAGCGCCCGCTCGAAATTCAGTCTATCGTACGATCTACACTTACAGTACCCGGGTCCCTCTCATGACGCACATCCACTGTCGAGCGGCCGACGCAAGACTATTACCCAAACCCTCTTGTCAGCGGACTCCCTTCTCATATCTCTGCGGCGCATGCGACTCGCTCCGTGCAATCGTCGTCATCGCCACTGCGGGCCATGTAATGACACGGTCTCGACCCGATCCATCCGTTCGATGACAAACCGCGGCTCTTTCCTCTGCCCATGGCTCTCTCCCTGGCCTGCGCCTCCCTACACGAACGGCATCTTCTGTGGCTGAGACGCCAGGTCGCACGGCGCGAACCGCCACCACGCCTTGTGCGTGCCCATGAACAGCCACCGGAGCACCACCGTCGCCAGCCACGGGAGCGGCGGGAAGCTCGCCCAGATGCCGCCTGCAAACGTCTTGTCGTGGAGGCAAAAGGCCAGCGGAAACACTTCGCTCTGCATTGAGTAAAACACGTACGTCAGCAAACTGGCACACCGCACTCCTAGGGCTCCAACAGCTCTCCCCAGCCGGCATCTGAACTTACCCGGTATTTCGACGACTTCATGCCCTTGCTCGCAATCTCGCCGCCCTTCTTCGTGAACCACGCCGCCCAGTCGCACTTGTCCGAGTACTTTTCCAGCTCGACCAGGGTGGTGATTTCGTGCTCGAGGTGGTCCCGCAGCGACGGCATGAACGCGTCGATGATGCCCCGAAGCTTGTCGCCGTCGAGCGCCTCCTCACCCTTCTTCACCTTTTCGATATACGCGGTAAACGAGCTCAGGCCGTCGTGGAACACGCGGTGCTCCTCGACGTTGGCGTCCATGAGGCCCGGCATCCCCGTAAGCTCGTTGATCTCGGGAAACACGTCCGTTTCCTCGATGTCGTGGTGTTCCTCTATCATCTGGCCCCAGGCGCCGGCGAAGCCCGCAAAGTCGACCTTGTCCTGCTCCGTCCCCTTGGTCGCCACGTTGACGCACTGGAGGTATATGGCGTTGATGCCGCGGATGAAGCAGTTGTGCACGATGCACATCTCGGCAGCCATGAGGCTCGCACCCTTGGCTCGGTCCTCGAGCTGCGGAGTCACACAATGTTAGGATTCGTCTCGCAACGCAGGGCAGGACTGCTCGGCCGAGGCCAATCGTACCTTGTCGCCCGCCGCCGACGGCTCGATGAGAGCAAAGGGCGCGGTGACCCCGCTTAGTGTCGTCGACTCGTTCGTTGAGGCCATGATGTCTCGTCGCTCGAATCGAATGTCCCTTGGCTTATATGGCGTCGCACGGTTGCCTCGGCTCTTGTGATGTGCCTGTCGATCGTGATGGCTCGCGGAAGAGGTGTCAGATACTGGAGAGTGAGATTAGAGGATGCCTGCCGGCTTCCCGCCATATATACGGAAGTGTTACACCCCTTCACCAACTCTCGCCCTCGCGCGCGCATGCCCCGTTTGATGAGGCGCATGCTGACGAGCCGAGGGTCTTGACGAGGTCTTAACGGGGTCCTAATAAAGGTGCCTTAACGGGGTCTTGACGGTGACCGTCTTGTTTCCTCATCGGTGGCCAGTCAGGCGCCCTCGATATCCAATCGAGAGCGCGGCACGCCAGTTGATCCCCAGGGGGTGGTGCCTTAGGGCTGAGTGGCATCCGGCCATGCTGACGGCGCCATCCGTAAACTGTCCCCGCGCGCGCCACATCTCACCTCGAATTGCCTGCCGCCCACCACACCGGCTGATGTCTTGGCTTCTCGGCATCGGTTTAACGGGCAACGCAAGGAGATGAAGTCATGGCTTGGGTCCTCAAAGTGAGGTTGGCTCGTCATTGTGGCCTTGATACTTCAACAGGAAGTGGTGCGATTTGTAGAGCCAACTTTGGCTAGTTGTAGAGCCCGCCCCATCTCCCTATCAACGGCAGGAACGTGAATGGAGAGGCAAACCCTCGAGTTACACCAAATAGTGATTATTCCGTCCCGATATTTTCGAGAGTCGAGACCCTCAGCCCCTTCTAGCTAGCGAGCGAGCAACGAACGACTCGTGTCCGTGTTGTCTGTCTAGGGTCCGCCCAGCGTCCCAGCATCTCAGCATCCCAGCGCGCCGACCGATCCACGGTCCATCATCGCATCATCATGTTGTCAAGGCCCCTCCCGTTCCCGTCGTCGCTACACAATTGTCCACCGGCGGATGACAGACTTCACGAACGCGGCGCCTTATCAGGAAGAGGAGGCGCATAAATTCGTGCACCTGGAAGCTGGGCGACAATGGCTCGGAATCCCTCAACCGCCGCCTTGTCCATCGCGTCGACTTGAATATCGATCTCCTGGCTGCGCGTCTCGACCGCTTGAAGCCGAGTTTCGATCTTTCGAACCCGCCTCTCGATCTCCTGAACCCAAGCTTCGGTTTCCTGATTTCGAGTTTCGGCCATCTGGCACCGATCGTGTAGCTCCTGTTTCTCAGCTCTGAGTTCCGCCGCCTCGACCGTCTTGGCTTCAACTTGTCCGTGGGCACGGGCCATTCCCTCCATAAACTCGCCTCGTAACCTCTCAAGCTTTGCTTCGAAATCGGCCTTCAATCTCTCGATCTCGCGTCTCGATTCGTCCGCCACGGAGGCAATCTGCTCTCTGTTCCTGAGGAGCTCTTCACCGTAGAACCCCGCCTGGGCGATAAAAGTGTTGCGCGGATTGCCATACTGTGCAGCGCATGGGTTGATGTGCGCGTCTGGCGTGGCGGGCACGGGGCAGACAGACTGCTTGAGTCGCTTGACCTCGTCCTCGATCATCGACCCCTTGCGCTTCTCGGGCACGACCGGCGGTTCCTGGCCAGCTGTCGTCGGCCCCGCCAGGTCAGTGGCTGGGCTGTCCGCCTGGCTCGCGACGACGATGTCCTTTTGACCCGGCAGGTTCTTCTCGATGTCGCGGCGGCGCGACCAGTTCTTCGGGAGCATGTCGGTCTCGTAGTCGTCTGCATGCCAGTACTTCTTGAACTTGGCAAACGTCTTGCCGCCCGAGACCTCAGACACTGCGCTGAACCCGAACATGGAACGCGCCATGATGAAGGGAATCCACTGCAGTTGCACCGAATAGCTCTGAAAGACATAGTTCTTGCGGTAGTTGACGGGCATCTCCCCGTCCTGACCGGGGAGGAGTTGCTCAGACGACGACTGCTTCTGCTTCGATTGCACCATCTTGTTCACCAGCAAGACGAAGATTCTCTTGTCGTTCTCGTGGAGATGCGGCTCGAGTCTCGTCCAGAGGTCCTTGAACCGATCGTACCACACCCTGCGAATGTCCGTCACGTCGTCGGACAATGCTGGGTAATGGTCCGTCCGGATCGGGTCGCGCAGGCGGCCGAACTCTGTCAGGTTCGCATTCCGCATCTTTCTCGTTGTATCATCCGACTTGGAGTGGCGCAGCATGCAGGAAGGTGAATATCCAGAGGATCGCGGGTGCAACGACCCTTTGACGTTGAGAGCTGAGGGGAACAGGAAGGAAGATTTGGGCGGGCGGTTATTTCGAAAAGGTGTAAATCTATGCGAACACCTCCAAGCCTGTCACCTCCCTGCCCGGCAACGGGGTTTTGAGTATAGCAACCAGGCTGTTCAGTACAGTCACTGCGCTTCTGAGGCAGCCACATGAGTGTCAAGTTCGACATTCGTCTTCGCGGGGCCAAATCATTGCAACACTGCCAACTCTCGTAGGAGGGCCGGTGCGTGCAAGTCGCAAGACGCTGCCGTCCAAGTTGAGAATCAGATCCCCGGGTGGCCAGGGAGCGCGCAAAGCTGTGGAGGAAGCCATTCAACATAAACTATGCAGCAAAGATATCCGCCGTACATATGCCATCGGTCTCGTAACATGAGTAACACCACGCTTCAAACAGTCAACACTGACAACTCCCGGTTCAAGTTCACCATGCCCATGTGGGCCAGCGCGAGTGAAACGCGCCCACAAGCCCAAGTAGCTGCCACGGCCAGGACTAGCCAACAACAGCCTTCATGCTCAGACTCTCCAAGAAGCCTCCAAGATCCTCCTTCTTCACCTCCACCACACAGTGCTCGAAGCTGTCGATCCGCACCCGCGCGTTGGTCTCGGAGACCACCTCTTGAAACGCACTGCCGAATTTGTTGAGGCCATAACCCTTGGCCTGTTCGGCATCGCCATCCTCTGACTCGTCGTCCGATTCGGACGCGTCCGAGCCCTCTGATTCCGTCTCGAGATCGTCGTCATCGTCATCCTGTTGGCCGGATGCACGTCGAGCAGCGCGCTTGTCTTCTCGAATCTTCTCCTTGGCGCGGCGCGACTCCTCTTTCGCCTTGGCCTTTGCCTCCTTCTCATCTCGCCGTTTCTTCGCCGCCTCCCGGTTGAGAAATGTAGTGTCGGGTCCGCCGCCGCCACCAGTGCCAACGACAATGTACACACCGCGCTTCTCGGTTAGGCTCGCCACAACCAGGGGGGTACCTCGTCCGCCGTGAGACAGCTTGCCGTGCGCCTCGCGCTCTTGCTCGGCCAGGGCTTCCCCGATCCAGAGCGACAGCTTCGTTAAAGCAGCTGGATGAGTGAAGAGTCCCACGTCCGGCCCATCCTTGACGACACACATGCGGAAAGCTCGCAGGTGCTTGATCTGTTTCTTGTTAATGAGGGACGTTCCGGTGCGATAGATTGCCCGGTGCAGAAATTGTGCAGTTGGTAGGCCGGCCTTTAAGGCGTCGATGCTGCAGCCATCAAGAATTAGTAGTTGGGGGAGAGAGAAGATGCTCGGCACACTCACTCTTCCAAGGCATCGTACGCTTCCCAGAACCGGCTGACCCACTCTTCACCTTGAGCAAGGTACTCGGCGTCGTCTTCCACTTCGCGGGACACTTGGCTCGCAGGGTAGGCAACGTCTGTTACCTGCGCATGCTTGCCAACCTCCAGGAGGGCGCCTATGACCACGCCAACGTCCTGCGCGCTGAGTGTGGCTCGCCATCCCCAGCTTCTGACGAAACCCCATCCGTCCTTGGCACCGGCGCGATCTTTGCCGTCTGTGTCGACCGCAGGCACCATTTCGTCTAGGTTGTAGAGAGAGCCATATTTGAGAAGTTTGGCTCTCAGCTCCCGCTTGAGCATCATGTCCATGTGCGTATAGCTTTGCTTGCACTGGGCCAAACTGACTCCCATCTTTGCAAGGAGCTTGTGTAGACGCTTGATACCCGTCTCGCTCCATGTCTTGAGCCGCGAGAAGAGATAAGGAGAATGCAGCATGCTGTCGTAGAGGCTCCAGTGGCGGATGAGAAGAAATCGGGGTTCAGGCGACAGGCGAATCGCCGTATCCTCGGGGTTCCGTGCTGTCGTGGGGATGACACCCGTGTTTTCGGTGGCGACCCGGCCGTTCGTAACCTCTGGTGGATTCAAGCGCCGTACTTCATCACGTAACAGCTGTCGCAAGCGAGCTCCTCTGACCCCCATCCATCCCGTCGGCCTTCCTCTATCGGTGCCGCGAATTGCAGCGGCGACGCCTGCCGAGGACTTGCCGTACAGCTCCATGGACGTGACACCGACTATGGTGAGCCAGAGCAGGTCGTTGTCTTCGCGACCCAATTCCGATGCAAGCGAGTACATCATCGAGGATATGGGCTCCGCAAACGACGAGCCCATCTTGTAGTACTGATGGAGGACGGATTCGTTCTCTTGGCGCATACGGAGCAACTTTCGCCGAAGTGTACGAGCAGAAGGCGCCGGCGGAGGTTGTGCTGCAGAAGGGGGTTCGATAGCATCGCTGGATAAACCGAAGTCGGGGTCGCGGAGGGAGATTAGGCCCCTCTGTCTTGGGCGGGGGGAGCTTGGGATCGGACTCGACTGCACCGCCAGTGTTAGAACTCGAACGACTTCCTGCTCGGGTTGCACTTACAGAGTTGCTTCTGCGTCGTTGCCGGGGCCGATCTTCATCGTCACTCGAATCCTCGTCGTGTCCGTCTGACCAGCTCTTCCTCTTTTGACCCGCGCGGGTGGTATCTTGGTGTGAGTTATCCTGCCCCTCGTCGTCATCGTCGCTGAGGCCCAATTCGACCATGTCCTCGTCGACATCGGGCATGTCTACCAGGGCAAGGTAAGCGTTGCGTTCGGCAGCGAGGTCCTCCTCGATATCGCCATCATCAAAGACCACGATACCACCTTTGCCCGCCTGATACCCGTGTCCAATCTGCCCACCTGCCACGCCACTGGGGCTCCTGGACTGGTATGAGTTGGATATATCTGTGGCCGGTTCCAATGGAAAGCCACCGAACACATTCCCCAGGTTCCAAGGTCGATGGGCGTCGATAACCCAGACCTCGACGCCGCCGTAAGTATTTTCCTCGCCATCGGGTTCCAGCTTCAGCAAGGGGCCGAGGTCAACCATGCCTCCCACACCAAGGCACACGACAACACCACCGCTGCCGCCCTGGCTCTCCATCATGGGGACAACAAGCTCCGTGCCGGCCTTTTCGAGGTCGCTGTAGCCGGCGACGGGCTGGATCTTGTGAGGGATGTAGTCATGCTTGAGGAGGCGGGTCAAAATGCGGCAGGCGCAGAGCGAATCGGGCTCGAGTGCCACGAGGATCAGGACAGGCGGCGAGAGCGGATGTCGCGTGTTTTGGAGATGGGTGTAGAGTTTCGATATTAGCGACCGCGGCAGATACATGGCTGGCGATGTTCAGACGCGTGGCGATGCTGAGTCTGGCGTGGATGCATGGATCGCGGTCCTTGGTCGGGGCGACGAGGTGGTGATGGCGGCCGTGATCAATTAAACGCGCCTGACGCGGTGCCGTCGCGCGTGCAGTGTGGCGACCGAACGGGATCTGTAATGCATAAAACACGAAGTATATATATGTGCCAGAGAAAAGTCAATGGCTACTGAAAGACGACTATGCAGGAGGTGGTGACGGCAGCGTGCAGGCGGGGCCTTGGAGGAAGAGGAGCGTTGAGGTTGTCGTCGTGGAACCGGCGTTCAGAGGGCTGGAAGTGTTTACGGGCAGGAGACGCGCTGGACGGCGCCAGTGACGCGCCTTCCATGTGCGCCGCGCGACAAAATTGTGACACCTGGGAGGGAGGGAAGGAACGCCCCGCTTGGCCGGGAGGGCGGGGGCCGAGCCGATGGCTGACGGGGGGGCCTTTACCACTCTGTCGCAGCCACCCACCCAGGTTTCCAGACCTTCTGCCACGCCACGCGCCACACGGCAGACGCGATATGGACGAGCGATTGCAACCAGGAATTGAGGCGATGGCGTTACTGGGCACACTGGGCAAGCAGTCATCGCATCCTGCTGTTCAGCCTATTGGGGTGCTGCACACAGTTCGCCGAGAAAAGTTGCCTTGGACCTGTCGCCTCCCGTAGGCTCCGGGGACCGCGACGGCACGCAACCAGCACTGTGACTCTTGCAAATAGGCTACCACGACTTTGTTCTCGCGGCAGTACCAGCACTTGGGCCTAGATGCTCGTCCTCTGGCCGAGTCAGCTCTGTTTCTGGGTTGTCGTCATCTGAAATGCCACAGCCACGTTTGACAGTTGCTCCATCAGATCGGGTCACGAAAGCTTGCTACCTCCAACAAAGGGCGCACAGCCCGACGCTCAGAGACATGCAACAATCTCGATTGAACTGCCCGCCCGCAGCTAAGCGGCCAAGTCTCGTTCACTGGCGCGTAGCTGAGCTGTGCGAGTAGGTCCTTTGGCTTCTACGCTGGCTCAGGTTCATTACCACTCGAGCTCGCACCAGCCGTGCAAGTTACGCCACCAAACCGCCTGTTCTGTCACCTATCCCTCCGTGTGTAGTATGTAAGGCTTGGCACAACTCTGCATCCAACCGCGCAATGGCAAGGCGGAAAAGCAATCAATGGATCCTGCGGGTTGCAGGTCCCCGACGCGGCACGCTGCGGGGGAGACTGCATCTTGCTTTGGCACCATCAAGTTTGGAGCGCACAGCCAAGGGCTAGCTAACAAGCTTCCCATCTGTGCTTGACATCAGCCGCCGGCCTCGCACCTCGACGGCCCGTCACTCAACTGCGGAAAGGGAGAGGCACTGCGGAATACTAGCATGCACAAACAACAAATAACTCCGTTAGCGCTTCCCCGGCGGCTCCAGCTTTTGTAGCCGCCGATGCCTCATTCGCCCCCCGCCTGGCTGCTCTACGGTACGAAAAAGGGCCATCCTGCATGGCCCTACCAATATCAGGGCCGTGCCGGGCGATCACTTGTTGGTGCTGAGCACCAGCCGGAGCTTGACGTTTTCCCCGTGCCAACTGCAATTCGCCCTCGCTCACATGCCTTGTTTGCTTCCGCAATAGACGGCGTCGACTGCACTGGTTCGTACGGGTCACAGGAGCACGGCGCAGCCCGGCAAATATCCCCGTCAAGTCAACTCGAGAGTCGTTCTCGGGTGTCAGAGCCTCACCCGATTTCACTCTAAATCTTCACTTAGTAACACCGCTCGCGGACGGCGCGCCAAGTCAACCGGCTTTGCCTCGTCCACCATCCCGGCCGGAGCACCACCCGCTAGAACCGAAAAGTCGAAAGGCCTCACGGGCCCCATTCGTCCACCCGAATTCTCCGTGGCACCCTAACACTTGCCGCCCGACGCTTGTATCCGGCGAGCGCCACTCCACCCACTTCCAGCAGGTTGGGTCTAGCAAGCCTACCGTCATGTACGACGACCCAGAACCCCGTCCTCGTGCGTGTTGCATGCTTGCCTGTTGCTGATCTGGCACATCCACAGGCCCGGTTCCTCGTCTCACCTAATTGCCGGGACCTCTGCGAGGCTCCCTCCACCCCCCCTTTCAAGGCCAACCATCCTTTTCTGTTGTGAACCGACATACGCCAGACGCAACATCTCCGGTGATCGACCGGCAGTTTTAACTACAGCTCACCAGCCCGCGGGCTGTGCTGCGCTTGGTGATCGGTCTCGCGTCTTTGGGCTTCTTACGATGCCGGGGTCCTCACAGTCATGGCCTCCCATCCTTCCGATGACCAGGACGCCACTTCCGACTACGGCGATTCGATAACCACTTCGGAATTCACGTCGCTCAACACCACGAGGCTCCTGCACTCATATGAGCATGGGAGGCGAGTGCTTGTTCCCCGATTGTGCCACGATGTGCTTGAACTGACTCCAATTCCGGCTCAGGCGATATCAGGGCGTTTTGCAAGGGCGGTATGGCATGCCAAACGACGATGCTGAGCAGCTGCGAGAAGGCGTCAAGCACAGACTGTATTCGGACTACATCCTCGAGGGCAAGCTATTCATCGCCCCAGTTGGACCAAGGCCCCAGAAAATTGTCGACCTCGGCACCGGCTTCGGCCTATGGGCGTTGGACGGTTTGTCAACCTCTCGGATCTGGCGAGAGGACATCAGACTGAAATGCTGAATAGTTGCGGAGCAATACCCCAGTGCGCGCGTCATAGGCGTGGACTTGTCCCCCATACAACCCAACTGGCTCCCTCCAAACCTCGAGTTTCGGGTCGAGGACCTCGATGACGAGTATCGGCCATGGACAAATATTTATCTCGGGGCCGATCTGATGCACCTCAGGTTTCTTTTGCCTACTGTGCGCCGCCCTGAACTGCTTCTGCGCAACTGTCTAGAGTGAGAATGTCACAGTCATGTCATATCGGGGCCACGTTGCTGATTGCTTCGCAGGAACCTGAAACCCGGTGGCTGGATCGAGATCCACGACATCATTCCCAGAATCTTCTCAGATGACGGCACTGCAGGTGACAACCATCCCATCCATATCTTGTACAAGCACATCGACGGGCCCTTCTCCAGCGTGTACGGATGGAACCTCCAGTTCCCCCCTTCCGCGCCCCGCATACTGGAGAGCCTCGGCTTCGTCAACATCACGGTCCGGCGCAACGCCATCCCCATCGGCCGGTGGCACAACGACGCCCGCCTCAGAGAGATGGGCGTCTTTAGCCAGAGCCTTCTTTCGGACTGGCTGGTCACCATGTTGCACAGGTACGAGACGCTGGGGCTGGACGCCGACGGGGCGCATAAGCTGGGGCAGGACATCCTCGATGCGTTTAACAACCCGCGGATCCACGCACAGCATGATTGGCTTGACGTTTGGGCCCAGAAGCCATTATCGTGAAGTGCGTACCGACGATGCGCATGTGAGACATCAGGAGCGTTGTAGCGGTGGTCAGGGGGGGGCCTGCGGGTGAAGATGCGACGGACTTTGCAGATGTGAAGGTCCAGAAAACTCGCCCAAACCACTCGCCACATGCCCCCTCCTAGTAGTGCCATCTCCGGCACTCAACGGGCGACCACACTCCTCGGAAGCTACACGGGGTCTGCAGGAGAAGGCCTATACAGCCCGAACGAGCGTGTCGGCCGTTCTGCCAAGGACACGTCACTACAGCACCCTGTGCACGACATGGCAAGCATAGGCATGCCAATGGGGAAGCATAGAAATTTAACTCATGAAGCTTTGGTTTTTAAAAGAGTGGTCTGAGCCACGCGGTGATGGTACATGTAATTCCGAGACTCCATCAATGCCATACCGCCCTATCGTCGCTTGTCGAGATGGTATCCAAAAAGACCAGAGCCAGCGCCAGCATCTGAAAATGCAACCCAGACAAAAACCGCCGTCTCCCCGATGCCTACCTTATATACCGGCATGGTGACTACGTACCGTACATGTTATTTCCTCCGCCAGGGGGCCCCATACCACCCATGCCCCCTCCCATATTCCCGAATCCAGCAAAATTGTTGAATCCCTGCAACGATCCCATGTCTTGGTAGCCGGCCACGAGATATGACCAATCCATGTCGTTCGTGTCATGCACCTGTGCAGAGCCGGGCGGCAACGGCGGAAGAGGACCAGTGCCCGTCATGGACTGATCCACCGACGGGGGAGTCATCATCGCTGGATTCCCAGAGGCACTGTTCGGGGTAGAATGGTCGGTGCCTCGAGACCGCGGGAAGTCTATGGGTGCTTGGTGCAGGCTCGGGTCTTTGCGGTTCTCCGTGCGGGCCTGCCGCCTCTTCTCCGTGCGTTCGCGCAGGACGTTGATGAATCGAGGCGCCTGTGCCTGTTTTCCGTTTTGTCGCTGGGACGTCTCATGGGCATCCCAAGCCTTGCAAAACAGATTGCCAAAGGCTGTATGCATAGGACTGTGCAGGTTATTCATAAGGCCCCTGAGATCGTGATTGGTACCGATCGCCTCCCACGCCCGCTCTACCATGGGGCCGCTCACGCGATGCCGAAGCTCTTGCACTAGAAACATGTAGGCTGGGAAGGGGAAGTGGTGCATCGAGTACCACCTGAATGGCTTCAAACTCTCGGATGACTGAACGACGTTGTCGTACTCAATCATCTGCGTTGCTTGAAGAAACAGGGAGTCCCGTTCAATCTCCTTGATTGGCATCGCCTCCGCATTGTGCATGCGAACCAGGAAGCCGATGATCCGCATCTTGCATAGGCTCTGCCGTGTCATGGTCAAGGTGAAAAAGTGCAGGGGAATCTTGTGGTCGCATTGGGAGAGGTAGGTACCCTCCATGTGGGCGCAGAAACCGTCGAGCGTGTAAGCCGGTGAGTCTTGGCCGACGATTCGGATGGTGGCGGGTTGAGACTTAGCACCGCATGCTTGCGACGATGCTGGACTCCCTTTGTCGGGATTGTGCATTTTGTAGCTATCGCGGTTGCTATTGCTGGCGACTGCCATAGCGATTTCATTCCGAGTGAGGGCAAACAGCATCTCGGTTGGCCCGCTGTGCGGCGTTGGCATCTCCTTGCCCTCAACGTGGAGGTCCGAATCGTTGACGTTAAGAGGCATCTTGCAGTCGCCGCCGGTAGACAGGGCTGTGACGGTCGAGCCAGTCATTTCCCCTATCCGCCGGTCATATCCCACAATGGTCCACCAGAGTCGTCGCCGCTGCTCAACTTCAAACGGAGGGAGGCCGAAGCCCCCAGGGTCCCGGTGAAGACCCATGCGTTGTGCAATGCGCACAGCGATGCCAGTTAAGCAGAACACCTGGCGTGGGTCTACGAACCACCTCACGGCAAACTAAGTTGGTCAGTAGCCATCTAAAAGACATGGAACATGTCCTGAGTGGTGCATACCAGGTAAAGCACGTATGCCTGGAGAGAGTAGAAATCGTGGTTCCGCATGAAGCCCGCATTTAGTAGCGCTTGTTGCAGGGCCGAGAAGTACCGGCCGAGGAGTTCCTTTTTCGGCTCGCCAAACATTCGTTGGACCTCGGCTTCCTCAAGTGATGTGATGGCCATGACATAGATGGCAAACATGAGGCATTCGGTGTTCTTGGGCGCCTTTTCCAGTTGCGAGGTGGCCTCTATGATTTGGCCCTGGACGGTCGGCACATGGGTAATCTTGAGCAGTGGGTTGATATTGTCGATGTATATTTGCCACAGCTGGAATATGCGGATAGTGGAGGGATGGTCGTCGGTGACGGATTCTTTCCTCGCCGGGTTGATGAAGGGGAATCCATCTGAGTCGCTAAACATTTGGTCAAAGGCGCGATGGATGGTCGACCCCTGGACTCCAGGAACCTCGTCATCGGAGGAGTCGTGGAGAAGCTGCTCACTTGCTCGGAACTGGGCGAGATGTCAGTATCATGATTGGGCAGGGGGCATGGCGGCAGCACGGCTACACACTTCTTTGTGGAGAGAGAACCAGGCACCGGCCGTCCTGCGGTGTTACGGTCAGCAGGGTCACGCAGCATAAGGCAATTTGCCGCGATGAAGGGCACAACATACTTTTCGTGGTTGGGCGTCGCCGACGGAGACGCACTGGCTTCTGGCGACGTCTTGAGACCCTCAAAGTCATTCTCGAGCTCTTCGACGTCGTCCATCTGCACCCCGTCGCTCCGCAAGTCCTGGCCAATGGCGTCGAACTTGACTCCGTGCTCACTCAGTAACGTCTCATACTTCTTGAGTCGATCAATGAGATCCTTCTCTTGGAGGCGCTTCTTGCGCCGGCGTGGAGGAGCGGGAGGGACGACTTTGCATTCAACGCCAGCCTTGACGCAGTTTGCGCACGGCTTGTTCTTGTCGCAGCGGACCTTGCGCTGTTGGCAGAGCACACAACTCGTGCCACGGGTCAGCTTCATGGCCGCCAGGTCCGGCTGGTGCGGCAGCTGCTGCGGCTGTTGTTGCGCGAGGTGGTGGTGAGGCTGCTGCGGAGGTTGGGCCATCGGCGCCGGGCCGGGGTCGGAGCCCTGCGCGGGCGCTGACGGCTCGGACGACATGTCTTATACGTATATGCAACGCCGACAAGGTGCGGTCCGGTAGGTATCCAGGGGCTCGGTGTGATCACTCAGTGGTGGCTCCTCTGCGGCCGGGTGGGTTGACGGGGCAGGCCGGCCCAGAGGCGAAGCGAGGCGACGGGAGGCGAGGCACGGCACGGCGCGGCGCCTGCGCCAAGAATGCTTGGTTCACGCTCCTGTGACTTGCATAGGGCTCGGGGGGTGAAGATGCAGATTCACCGCGATGAGATGCAGCGACCCTGGGCGGTAAGGCTGAGATCGGGCAGGACAGAGGGGCGTTCGGGTGCGGGAGTGGCCTGTTGTGTCCGGCGTGAGCGAGCAAGCGCGCGCTGCCCGTCTCCGGGGCTCAGGAAGCACACCAGTCGACGACCGTCTGCGAACGCGAGACAGGGAAGGCACCGGACCGGATCCAGAGGCGGGGAAACTAACGGGCTTACGGGTTGCCTGTCGACGATGGTCGCCCGTCTGGCCGCGGGCGCTGCACGGAGTACGGAGTACGGACGAGGTGGCGCCCGAGCGGGTGGGTGTTCAATGACTTCAATGGTTCGAAATGCCGGGGCCGCGGCGGCCTCGTCCGGGAAAACGCTGGATCGAATGCGCCGCCTCGCCTGGCAGCACGCGCGTTCAATTTTTCCGTCGTCTCAGCAAATCGGCCCAGGCACGCTGGCAACGTCGCTGGGAGAAGAGAGAGGCACAGGCAGCTGCTGATGTCGGAGGCCAAGATGCCCCTCTCGGTCCCGAGCCACCAGCGTCTCTTGCCCAGTCGCCCGGGTATCGGTTAGATAGATAATTCCCAAAACGGCATGGCGCCACCAACCGGGCAGCAACGAGCCCAGATCGCACCCGAGCCCGTGCCTGCCGTCTGGACGGTCGCGTCCCACGAGGCACTGGATGGAGTGATTCGAGTCACAGCATTGCGCGTTCAGGCGCCCGCCGCCGTCGCGAACAGCCAATTCCACGCTCACGACCCCTGATTGCTAAGCTTCAAGAGGCTCGCAAACATGTCCGAGCCCGAGACTAGGAAGAAAATGTTTGCCGTCCACTGCGGGTCGGCCTGAATCCCGACAGCCACCAGCTCACACGTATAAGATGATAAGTAACATGGCCCGTCTCAGTCTGAATGCGACGACATGGCGCCTCGATCTCGATAGCAACAACTATTGTGCCCGCCATTTATGACATCTCACTCGCTCGCTTTCATTTCATTTCGTGGAATTACCCTTCCTTCCCGCTCTACAGAGTACGACTTGTAGGAAGCAGCTGCGGCTTCACGATGGCCATCGACCAGTCGAGCAAGTCGATTGAAGCCAACGCCGACAGAAACTCTCTGTCTTCGGTTAGCACAACAATCAAGGATGCAAAGAAGAACAACGATTCGGAGGCAGCGCATGAGAATGGAGCATGCGAGCCAGAATCCGAGAAGCCGCAACAATCCGGTCCTGCCTTTCAAGATGAGGCCGAAAAGAATTACAAGCCTAAGACGGCCCAGTTCTGGCTCGTCATGCTCTCCGCCTTTGTCGCCATGTTCCTCGTCGCCTTAGACCGGACCATCTTGTCGACAGCCATCCCTCGCATCACCGACGACTTTGGCAGCCTGGGTGACATTGGCTGGTACGGCGCGGCTTACATGCTCACGACGGCAGCCTTTCAGCTCGTGTTTGGGCGGATATACCGCTTCTACAACCTGCGCTGGACATTTTTGACGTGCATCATAATTTTCGAGGTGGGCTCGGCACTCTGTGGCGCCGCACCGAACTCGCCCGTCTTCATTGTCGGCCGCTCCATCGCTGGTCTGGGCTCTGCTGGCATCATGACAGGCTCCATGTTGATTGTCATTCCCATGGTGCCGCTTCACAAGCGACCAATGTTTCAATGTACGCTGAGCGCCATTCCAGGCTGCCTGCTTTTATGCTAACTTTCTCACAGCCATGTTCGGAATGGTATTTGGTATATCCTCTGTCGCCGGGCCCTTGATCGGCGGAGCCTTTACTGAGCGAGCAACCTGGAGGTGGTGCTTCTACATGAACCTTCCCATCGGCGCCGTGGCTTTCGTCTTTCTCTTCTTCTTCCTGAGCACGGCCAGCAAGCCACAGCAACCTGCAACGACCAAAGAGAAGATTATGCGACTAGATCCGCTGGGCACTTTCTTCTTCGTCCCATCCACTGTCTCGCTTATCCTGGCGCTGCAGTGGGGAGGGTCTACGTACCCGTGGAGTAACTGGCGCATCATCCTGCTGTTCATCATGTTCGGGCTGTTGGGTCTCGCATTTGCCGCCGTGCAAATTAAGATGCCCGAAAGCGCAACCCTACCAGTGCGCATCATTACGCAGCGATCCATCCTCGCTGGTACGTTCTTCATGCTGTTCCTCGCCGGGGGCATGATTGTGAGCGTCTACTATATTCCACTCTGGTGTAGGTTGGCCCCTTTGCCCCTTTTGTCATCTGATCTGCTGCTTACAGTCTCGTAGTTCAAACAACACACGGGATCGACCCGGTCAAGTCAGGCATTTACACGATCCCCCTTGTGCTCAGTCTGGTCATCGCTGGTATCTTGTCGGCGGCTTTCACGCAGAAAATCGGATACTATGTCCCGTCCATGATTCTCTGCGCTTGCATTACGGCTATCGGACAGGGCTTGATGACCACATTCACGCCGTCCACTGGGTCGTCGCACTGGATCGCCTACCAGTTTCTGACCGGTTTCGGTGTCGGTCTTGGCATGCAAACCGTTGGCCTGGCTGTACAGGCAACTCTCGCCAAGGATGATATCCCGAGCGGTTTGGCTGTGACTTTCTTCGCCCAGCAACTGGGTGGCGCCATCTTTGTCTCTGTCGGCCAGACAATTCTCAGTGGTTTGTTGGTGTCCCAACTGTCCCACCTGCCCGGGCTGGACCCCGAAATGATTGTCAAGACCGGCGCGACTGAGCTTCGGCACGTGGTCCCACCGCAGTATTTTGACACTGTCGTTGACGCGTACAATTACGCCTGTACGAGGATTTTCTTCTCGGGCGTTGCGCTGGCGGGTGCCCAGCTCCTCTGTGCCTCGTGCATGGAATGGCGGAGTATCAAGAAGGGCAAGCAGACGCCGCCTCTGCAGGATCCAAGCGAAGAGTAGGGTCTTTTTGAAGCTGGTCTTGGGAGCACATGAGTAATCTGTTTGATCCTCGGAAGCTAATGAGAAGCACTAATGGCTGAGTATGGGAAGTGGGGGATACACGGTCAGGTAGGTTACAGGTATGGTCACTGGAAACACAGCATACAACAAGGAGTTTTGGGGAAAGCATCACTTGAGCATCATTGTTGGAGCCTCATCACAACTCAGTTATCGCCTATGTAGCGCGGCATGTAGATATATACCCTAGATAGTTTCAAATGCATCCTGAACGCACGCAGATGGGTCAACAAGAAGGTCCTTATCAAGCAAGTGCCCGGGCACAGCGGGTGATAACTGCGAACACCACTTCCACCGGCTTTTGCATATGGTGCCCCTTCATATGCAGTTAATCATCCTACGAGCTTATTCTTGTAGAGCCCAGGCTTCCTGACCTGCTACGTCAGAGTTGGACTCGAAATGACTTACACGTCGTGCTGCCTTAGTCAGCGAGCGCCAGTGACAATTCGTGGGCTGCCGCACCTTCCAAACACCACCGAACGCGGGGCAGCTGCTTCCCACTTCCACCCGCCACCACGACTTCCCTCCATACAGGGTGTCACCCATCGACAACGGAACCAGAGGCGCACCATCCTATCTCTCAATATCGTCCTCCTCACAAAAGGCACAATCGTTCACTGCGCCGTATCTGCAGCGACGCAGCCCAGCTGTCGGCCGCCTGTAGGCAGCATGGACTCCCGGAGCTCCAACCCGCTCCTGTCGAGCCAGAGGAGCTCGCAGCTCCAGGCCGTCCTCCATCCTCTCGTCCTGCTCACGATATCCGACTACATCACCCGACATACTCTACGCCAGCAGACGGGCCCCATCGTCGGCGCCCTTCTTGGTCAGCAGAATGGCCGCGAGATCACCATCGAGCATGCCTTTGAATGCCACACGTCGGCAGCACCGACCGTCGAGGGTGGTTTTCTGCTCGACGCGGAGAAGTTCTCATCGAGGCTAGAGCAAAGTAGGCGGCCCTGGACGTACGCACATCTTGGATTGCCTAACGCTCTTTATAGTGGTTCAGGTGCACAAGGAGCGGCAGCTGGACTTTGTCGGCTGGTACACTCTCCTCCCCTCCACCGGCCCGACGCCGACAATCATCCCCATCCATAGTCAAATTCTACGAATTTGGAATGAGTCCGCAATACTCTTGGGCTTCCACCCCGAAGAAGCAGTGAATCATTCGGTCGGTGGCAAGCTTCCGCTCACGATATACGAGAGCAACTACGAGGTCGACGAGCTCAGGGCGGATCAAGATGGCGAGGACAGGAAAATGGACGACGGCGAATCCAAGCTGAAGCTCAAGTTCCGCGAGGTCCCGTACTCGGTTGAGACGGACGAGACGGAGATGATCAGCATGAATTACGTTGCCTCTGGAGGAGGCAGCGCTGCGGCAGCCGCCCCGCCAAAAGAGGAACGCCCGACGCGGTCTGTCGAGTCCAACGGCAAGGGAAAGCGGCGGCTAGTTGAAAGCAACGTCGATGACATCAAGGAGCAGGCACTCGACGAAGAAAATGTGCCCCTGACTCGAGAGGAAGAGGAGACCCTCGCCTCGCTCATCACCAAGGCCAACGCCATAAAGATGCTGCACTCTCGAATTCGGCTGCTCGTCGCGTACCTAGAGCGGCTGCCGTCATCCTTTGTCAACGGTGAGACGGCTGATGACGACAGTATGGACACGGATAACACAGCGCCTTCCCTGCCGATCCTGCGGCAGATCCAGGCCCTTGTCAGTCGACTGGACCTGATCATCCCGTCCGACCAGGAGGCCTATGAAAAGGAGATGCACCAGGAGGCCAACAACGTCCACCTACTCGGCTTGCTCAATCAAATGATGCAAGGCGTAACCGAAGCGCGCCAGGTGGGCAAGAAGTTCCACATCATAGAGTCGGCCAAGTCGAGCGGCCGCCGAGGCGCATCGGACTTTCAGGGGAGCTCGTCTTTCAACTTGCCAGGAGCGGGGGAGCTGCTCATCTAGAAAAGAAGAGCAAACCCGCCACAGAGCGAGGATTGGCACCACAAAGGTCGCCGGGCGTCGGAGAGGGCATGGCGTTAGCTCGTCTACAGGAGTTTGGGAGGATCATGACGGCTACGGAGGCATTTGGGACACTTTTCTAGCTACGTTCTCGCTCGATACAGTAGCTATGCACCATGGGCTTTACATATTGGTCATAACAAGCAAGCATTGGCTGGCTTTCGCTGGCTCTTATGTTAACAAGGACACACGAGTGACGGAATGACAAGGTCAAATTCCAGGCCTTTCCAGCTTACACAAGGTTAATTGAACAGCTACGGTGCCGGAAGAGGCATGAAGCCTGAGGGCAAGCGCACATAAATAACAAGAAGGGCATACTGAAGCGCATGTGCCCTGTCAAGCGTCCGCCTCCGCACCGCCTGCGTCGTCATAGTCATCGTCAGTCTACCCCAGCCACTCTTCAGAAGGTGCTCGTCGCGAGCCGGCTCGCCGCGTTTCTCGCGTCGATACGGTCGTCGTCATCCTCGTTCACTCCCGTCAGACCTGCGTGAGCGCCGCCCGCGCCGCCGGCCTTGCCCTGGCCGGCCTCGCGCTCGTCATCGCCGTCACCCTCCTCGGCGACCTTGCCCATGAAGCTGCTGGAGACGCTGCGGCTCGTGGCGTCGGAGCGCCGCGGCACGCCGCTCCACGCGTCCCCCTTGGGGCCTTGGCTGGCGGCCATGCTGGCGCGACGAACGGTAGGGTGCGCCTCGCGGCCGAGACGGCTGAGGCCGCCGGAGGCATCGATGGAGCGGATGTCTGGCCGCACAGTCTCCAGGAGAGCCAGCGTCCGCCGCTCAGCCTCGATTTCACGGCAGACGTACTCGCGGATGCTCAGGCGGAGGTCCGCAGCAGTGCGGGAGAACCACTTCCGTCGCTCCTGGACGAGGTTCTGTGTCACGCGATTCGTCTTGTTGTAGAGCGTCTGCTCGTTTTGTCGGGCCTCGTCCAGGGCCGCAATGGCTTCGTCGACCTTTTCGCGTCGCACGCTTGAGCTGGCCTTGAGCCGGTCGGCGGCGTTGAGCTTGCTTCGTGTGGCCTCCTGTGCTTGAAGGAACTCCCGAATGAGGATTTGACGGTTCGTCAAGGACTCCTTGACGATAAAGGAGTCCTGGGAGTGGTACTGGAATGGGTCCCCGATTGTGGCCGCCTCAGCTGTCGCTTGAGCGGCGTGATAGTCGCCGACAGTCTGCACGACCTTGCCGAGCTTTCTGTAGGCATTGGCCAGACCGGGGTGGGGCTCCTGAACGTTCATGCTGCCCAGCTTGACTCCGTAGTCAGATTCCGCGAGACCCAGGCCTGTATTTGGTCAGAGTCTGTTGCAAAAGCTGAGTAGATCTGTCAGTCACTTACCTCGTCTGGCCTTGACCATCTTGTCAACCTTGTGACCGGCGTCCATGGTACCGAGATAAAACAACTTGACCGTAGGTCGGGCATCCGCCAACTCAGGGGTATCATCTGGAGGGGGCGCAAACTGCTTCAAGATCTTCCGGCGCACGCCCGTCGCGGGCTGCTTCATCTTTACTAGGGGGCTATAGCCAAAGTCGCTCTCGACAAAAAGAATCATCTCGTCATCCCTCATCAGGACGTCGCTGCTGCAAACGTAGTTAAACCACCGCTGCATCATGGCCTTGACGCGAGTCTCGTCCTCATCGGTGCCAGCCCCAGCCGCCGTGACAGCAGGCGGGACTGCGGGAACCAGGGCCTCGGGGTTGGCGGATATCAAATGATCGGCAAGCTTAACGAACTCGGAGTGCAGACGCCTAACATCGCGATATTGGGTCGTCCGGAACCGTGGAAGGTTTGTCTTCAGAGGGTCAGCTTGGACAGTTCAATGAGGTGGGGTTTAGCGTAGGCGGCATTTACATGAACATCGAACCGCAACACGGGATCCTTCTTGCCGGTTCGCTCAAGCCCGGTGATTTTTGCCTGCAGCCTGTACTGAGGCTGAGCTGGTTTGGGTGGTTGCCGTGCCTGCTCTGGCTGCGCATGCGGAGCGGCGGCTGGTTGGAACGGAGGCTCAGCCTGCGAGGTGTGCTCGGAGACCACGGCTTGCGAGTCGCCAACCGCCTCTGCTGCACTGGCCTCACTCGCCAGAGAGTCTCCGGCCTCGCCTTCAGTGCCCGACTCGGTCGTGGCGGTTCCAGGGCGCTGGAATCCCTCCCCCTCAACGGCCGCCGGCCCGAGACCGTTGGAGTTCTCAGGCGTATACGGGAATGGCGGCGGCTCGGTAGCGGCGTTGCCAAAGGCGGTGCGACTGTGGTGCGGCGAAGATCGGGGCGAGTTACCCCAGGGCGAGGCACCGGCCGGATCCTCGGCCTCATTAATGGACGCGCTGTAGTCCATGGCGATGGATGCCGCGTGCGCTGCGGGAGGATGACGTTGCGTGGCCTCGGTCGGCGCGTGCGGAGCTAGCTTGGCTTCTTCGGAAGAAGTCGCGGGGATACAGCTGGCGAGGCTTCAAGCATCGACCATGGTGCGGATAATAAAGCGGCGTCAATGCTTGCGATGCCGTGGTGGTGAGGACGAGCAATGGCCAGCTGCGGGCGCGACGGTGACGCAAGGTGCCGGGCTGTGGAACGGGGAACTGCTGAGGTGCGGCCATGCGACGACGGGAGGCAGCGAGGCCACAATGGCGGGCGCCTGCTCCTCCGCAGCGGTGCAGCTCACCTCAGCCACAGGCACAGCCATAGCCGCCATTGGCCCAGGAGACGCGGCTTCGTCGACCGCCCAGCAGCGCTGCAGAAGCTCACGTATCAGGCCCGGTTGGGCTTAGTGCGGGGCAGCTGGACAAAATTTACTGACATGGGCTGCAGCGTCCTGGTTGAGACTCGCGGGCGAAGCTTTCAGTGACATTCGCATAAACAATTGTCGACTTCGCCGAACTCCTGCGATTCTCTCCGGTGGTCGCAAACCCAACACACAAACCCATCTCATATTGTCTTCTTCCAATCACAAAAAATGGGCAAGAAGAGGTCACGCGAGGATGCGCCGCCCGCTGATGCCGGGGTCGACAAGATGGACCAGGACAGCGGTGACGACGAGGCAAGCCCTTGACACGGTCGCGAAGAGAAGTCTCTGGCGTCCCGCTAACAAAAGAACCAGGACTTCGACATGGTAGACGTTGAGTTTGAGTGGTTCAACTACGACCCCGAAATCGACTTCCACGGCGTCAAGTCGCTCCTGCGACAACTCTTCGACGTCGACGCCAACCTCTTCAACATGTCCGCGCTGTCCGACCTCATCCTGTCGCAGCCGACCATTGGCTCGACCGTCAAGGTCGACGGCAAGGCGACCGACCCCTACGCCATGATCACCGCGCTCAACACGCACGAGACCCGCGACAAGGAGCCCATGAAGGACATCCTCCAATACCTGGTCGAAAAGGCACAAACCAATGAGGCGCTCGCTGCGGTTCCGGAGCTCATCAAGGGAGGCAAGCACGTCGGCCTGGTCTTCTCGGAGCGGCTCATCAACGTCCCAGCGGAGATCAGCCCGCCCATGTACTCGATGCTCATCGACGAGGTGGAAGCCGCCGTCGAGGACAAGGAGCCCTACGAGTTTACGCATTACCTGATCCTCTCCAAGACGTACCAGGAGGTCGAGTCGACCCTCGACGTGGAGGACAGGAAACGCAAAAAGGCCAAGGAAGAGTCGTCAACGTATTACTTCCACCCCGAGGACGAGGTCCTCCAGAAACACGCCCTGGCGTACGGCAACTTCCCTTACACAAAGGAGAGCGATGCCGTGGCAGACAGCAAGCGAGCGTTCCAGGAGATGGGCATCAAGGCATTTGGGCACATGATTTTGATCGAGGCGAGCAAATTTGAAGGCGCGGTCAAGGCTATTAACGAGTACCTAAGCCCAACCCAATAATCAATGAAGTCGTCAAGCACTCGGATCCTCCAGTCTCTGCATCAAGTACTCCACCTCAACTTCTTTAGTCAATGGGATCACGAAGTCCTTGTACATGGACACAAGGGCGTCAACGTTAATCTTGACCGGCCCCTCGGTGCCGCCAGGAGCACCGGGGTCCGTTCCGTAAGTCAGGCCCTTCAGCCGCAACCGTTCGAGAATGGTCTGCTCGACAGCCGAGTTTGTGATGGAAGCCGCGATGCCCTCACGATCAGAGGCCCGGATCATGCGCGTGTACTCTTCTGGGTCCGAGCGGAATTTGGATTCGGCAACAAACTTGCCGAAATGGATGCGCCGTGACAGGGCCTGCAGGCAAGCAAAGTCGCTCGTCGCTGTGGAGCCGTAGTTCTCCTCTGACTCGCCGCGATCCTCGCGTCCAAAGTCCGGGCATACGGCCGGCAGGAACTTGTCAATGTAGAAGGCCTTGATCTTGGCGTTGACATTGACGTCGTTGGGGTGCAGGACCTTGGGGTAGTTGAGCGGCTTGAGAATGGGCTTCTGAACGGCTTCGGGGAAGAATGGATACTCGTCGGGCGATTCGTAGCGCCGTATCAGGGACTGCAGCTTCTCCTGCTCGGAGAAGTACCAATCGAAGAAGCTCAGGTCGCTGTTGGGGATATGGATTGCGCCGGGGACGTAAATGGTCTGCACGTTCACTCTATTAGTCCTTGCGCACAGAAGGGAGGGGCAGTTGGCTGGGGCACCTTGTTCAAGGCGAATTGCACCCGCTCGATGAGGTGGAAGGTGATGGTATCTTCCAACCGGCTGCAACGTCAATCAGCATACCGCACCGCTGTCAGACGTAAGCGGGGAGGGGGTTGGCCTACATCAATTGGAACCGGATGTGCGAGAGATCGAGCGCCTTGTTGACGTCGGCGGTGTCCACGACAGAGTCCATGTTTGCTGGATGCTGATGTGCACAAGCACAGCCGTCAATCATTCAGTATCAATCAGTCACTCAGTCGCTTTCTCTTCGCAACCGCCTCGAGGTAGAGGACGGGAGACGCGATCGTGTCGTGGGGGAAGGTTGAGGTCGTGATGTCTCCGAAGTCCGGAGGTGTAAGATGCGTCTCACTACCGAGCTTTTTTGGTGTGGCGTCCGTAAGAAGCAGCTATCGGCTCAAATACCTGGGGCGTGGCGGCGGGAGGGCAGGGAGGGCAGCAGCCAACAGGCGGAAGTCGCGGCGGGGCGACTCATGCAAGGAGAGCTCCCGGGTCGCCTGTTACAGCGACTGCCCGTGGGCGCGGAATCGTCATTGGCACACCCGCCAGGCTGACAGGGCAGCACCTCAAGACATTGCAGGCGTCCAGCAGCGGCCCGTTGATTCCCAGCTTGGAAGGGGCTCGAGCCCAAAGTACCCGCAACTTAGCACCCGTCCAGAGCCGCCCATGGGTGCTTGTCGGCGTGGCCAATGGCCTGTCGCAGCCGGCCGTGGGCGGGGCTGGAGGTCGTCCAAGGTACCCAGGTACTTCGAACCTTACCCGCGGATGCACCCACGAGCTGCAACTCGCACCTCTGCGTGGCATCGGCCTGTCGCGCGTCTCTGCTTGAGCTGTCGCAATTTCGCTCTTTGCGATTTTTGGTCGCGTGCCATTGACCAGCTGCTCCTACTCGTACCACCACCGCGCTGAGGCCCAACTGCCGAGTCCCTCTTACTTGGAAATCGACAGCGACAAGTCGCCAATCGGTCGCGTCGTTTTGCTCGCCCTGCAGGCCGGACCGGCCGCCGCGCCATGGCGGATCAGGAGAACCATTATGGCTTCCCCGACGACGCCGCGGAAGAAGACCACTCCATCATCTCGGTGCGCACCATCCCCGTCGCGTCTCTCTGAGGTCTCAGCTGACTCGTCCTCTTCGTTGCCCGCAGACCCGTGGCCTGGAAGCCTTCGGCCGCAAGGTGACCACAACGGCGACGCATCTCATGGGTCCCAATGCCGAATCGACCGCTCACCACTATCAGTCGGCCATGGCCGAGGTGCACAAGCAGCTCAAGCGCCCGACCATCCAACGCAGCGTCTTCTCCATGGCTCGCACGACGCCAACCGACCTCGTCCGCGCGAAGCTCTCCACGACCGAAATTCAACATCGCGCCCTGACCCACCTGTCCGACGACCTCCTGGCAAATATCCCGGACAATGACAACTCGTACTCGCTCTTCCAAGGCTTCCAGGCCAGCTTCCCCGAGCTGACTGATGAAGGAAAGAAGCACCGCCGCCGTGCCTCCAGGGGCAGAAAGCTTCTGGAAGAGGGCTCCTCAACCCCAGAGACTGGAGGCGTCAAGCATTTGTCGCATCTGAAGAAAGAGAAGGCCGCCATGATGCACGAATTTGAGCTGCTCGGCGTTCGCAAGAATATGGCTAGCAGCGAAATCCGCGAGATAGACAACAAGATTGCCAACCTACATGGCATGCGCAGAATCATCCTCGAGAGGCTAGCCGGCCTGGAGCAGGAGGAAGCCCTTTTAGAGCACGATAGTAGGTGTACAGCCGAGGGCCACGCGCCGTGCCTTAACTAACAATCTTCCCCGCAGTTATTGATGTCGAGGGACGTCTGGAAGAAGCACAGGCGCTTGTCGATGAGGCGGAAGCTATAGCTCAAGACACCCCGACGAAAGACGAGGCCGACCTTGTCGGCGATGCCGACGATCACGAACCCGGATTCATGTCGCAATCTGTTTACGAGAAGCTTCCTAGCTCGGCCAACAGCACGCCGTCGCGTAAGCCAAAAAAGGTCCACCGCCGCAAATCGATGCCCATCCTTCACGAACACTTCGAGGCCGGGTCCAGCATTCGCGAGATTCGGGCGCATCGAGACAACGTGACGGCCCTCGACTTCGATGCGCCGTTTGGCACCATGGTGACAGCGGCGCTCGACGACACCGTCAAGGTCTGGGATCTGAATGCCGGCAGATGTATGGGCTTTCTCGAAGGACACGCGGCGTCGGTTCGCGCGCTTCAGGTTGAGGATAACATCCTGGCGACTGGGTCCGCAGATGCGACGATCAAGCTATGGGATCTTAGCCGCGCGCTCTACGATCCGCATGGCGGTCAGGATAAGGAAGGGGAGGACGACGATGCCATCGCCTTTGAGAATCCCGACGACCAGCCCATCGACCCGCCTGAAGGGAGCATGGCCGACTGCGCGCTCTTCACTCTCCAAGCCCACGTCGACGAGGTCACGGCACTTCATTTTAGGGGTGACGTCCTGGTGTCCGGGTCAGCAGACAAGACCCTTCGCCATTGGGATCTCGAAAAGGGGCGCTGCGTGCAGACGTTGGATGTGATGTGGGCAGCCGCTCAGGCTACGGCGACAAACACGTCCGACAGCTCGTGGCGGCCGACAGGGCGGTCGCAAGGCACCTCGGCAGACTTCGTCGGCGCTTTACAGGTATTCGAGTCGGCGCTGGCTTGCGGCACCGCCGATGGCATGGTGCGCCTCTGGGATCTTAGAAGTGGCCAGGTCCACCGGAGCTTGGTTGGCCACACTGGCGCTGTGACGTGTCTGCAATTCGATGACGTTCACTTGGTGACTGGCAGTTTAGACAGGAGTGTCAGGGTAAGTGGCATGATGTCTGCCTTGACGAACATCTTGCTGACAAGACACGCAGATATGGGACCTACGAACAGGCTCCATCTACGACGCCTACGCTTACGACAACCCCATCACGAGCATGATGTTTGACGCCCGCCGGATTGTAAGCGCAGCCGGTGAGGACGTGGTCAAGGTGTACGATAAGGTCGAAGGGCGGCAATGGGACTGCGGCGCGGGCATCGCAGAGGCCGAAGAGGGCAAGACGCCTGCCATTGTAGAGCGTGTACGTGTAAGAGACGGATACATGATTGAAGGCCGGCGAGACGGCATTGTAGGTGTATGGACATGTTAGGAATAGAACACGATACAACTCATGGAGATGAGCCTCCTAGCGTTGGCGATGCAACATTGTGCACTCTTCTTGAAGTGGCTGGCGTCAATAGCGTCAGAATCCAAGTGATATGCGAAATACCCGTCGAAAGACACTCGTGCTCGTACGCATGTAATGTGGTGTCCCTGCTACGGTACGAAGTTGGTAGATGTGGAGAGACCGCTTCCATGGCGGTTGTGGGTCCATCCGCTTTCTTCCTTGACTCTATTGTAGGACGTAGCTGTCCAGCCATTTGTGTCAGCAAACCTCCCTCCAGTCACCTCACCTCCGACTTTCCATCGCTGCCAGTGACCCTGTACGCCAACCCAATACCATGTTTGACGGATGGAGTCAGCTTATGAGCAGCTTCTGGCGCGATATACTGATGCAACCGACACCATTGCGCAGTCGCATTCATCAAATCACCTAAAACGGACTGCGGCCCCTCACCACGAAAGCCATGGCTCACAAGGAAGCCATCGCCAAGATGCGTCTGGAGCAGATCCAGAGGCGACGGCTACGAAGCAGCTCCTCGTGAGGCAGGCCAGGCTCTTGACTCGAATTTGCAAAGTCAGGCGCGGAGGCGACAATGGTGGTGACGCCAATGAAGTGGACAGCGACCTACTTCGCCGGCGACTCGATGACATCGCATCTATGGCGATGGCCAAGTTTTATGCCTACCGTTACGACCGCGTGCCGTACTACTGGCGGGAACTATATACGGATGCGCTGGTGCTCATGACCCTCCGCCTCGTTGTGCCCTCGCTCTGCGACCACCGCCGCATCACCGACGGAGCCATGGATGAGGTCGTCGAGCTGCTCGACCGCGCACTCATCACCACCGGCGGTGCTGGCAGCCTCGGCCCAACCTGGATCGAAGGGACACTTCACAAGCTTCAGGTGTGGCATGATGCTGGTAGCGTCAGGAAAGGTGCTCAAGAGCCGCCGCAGAAACGCCAGCGGACAGAAAGTGCCGTCTTTGCAAGTCGCGAACCGTATGGCCGGCCGGCGCTGTTGCCTGAACGAACATGCCCTCGCTACGACGGATGGACCCTTGACAGATTCGAGGACTACATGAACGCGGAGGGCGGCAGGCCTCGGCCGGTTGTGTTCACCGACCTCATGAGCCACTGGCCAGCACTGAATGAGAATCCATGGAGGCGCCAGGACTATCTCCTCTCGCGAACATTCGGCGGCCGCCGCCTCGTGCCTGTCGAAGTCGGACGCAGCTACGTCGACGAAGGCTGGGGCCAGGAACTCATCCAGTTCAAGCGCTTTCTCGAGAGATACGTCGTCGACGCACCACCCGAGACGGAAGACGACGCCTCCTCGGAAGGCGCCGCCTTGTCAACGCGGCGGCGACCCGTGGGCTACCTAGCGCAGCACAACCTCTTCCACCAGATCCCCCTTCTGCGCAACGACATCCGCATCCCCGATTTCTGCTGGGCCGCGGTGCCCCGACATCCCACCGACCCGGCCAAGGACCAGCCGCAGGTCGACGTGCCGCAGCTCAACGCGTGGTTCGGCCCGGCGCGCACCATCACGCCGCTCCACACCGACGGCTACCATAACCTGCTGTGCCAGGTCGTCGGCGCAAAGTACGTGCGTCTGTACCCGCCGTGGTGTAGCGCCGCGATGCGGCCCCGCCCGCCCGAGCACGGCGTCGACATGAGCAACACGAGCGCCGTGGACGTGGGCGTGCTCGAGGGATGGGACGAGCCGCCGGAGGGGATGGATGAGGAGGCCATCGAGGGCATGGGGAGGGGGCTCGACGGTGTCGAGTGCTGGGAGTGTGTGCTCGAGCCGGGCGACACGCTGGTGATTCCTATCGGGTGGTGGCACTACGTAAGGAGCTTGAGCATCAGTTTCAGCGTGAGCTTCTGGTGGAACTGAAAGGCTTCAGTGCGGAGTGATCCTCGTGGGTTTAAGCGCAGAGTACTGGCACTCAGATGCGACTACATTGCCCATATACAGTACTGCATAATATCGGCATGAATACAGTACCTAACAAGGCACATCATGGCTGGTTCCCGCTTGAAGCTACGAAGCACGCGTGCCTCAGCTCTGCCGCGCGTCCTCAACACTCTCCCCGGCCTGTGCCTCCCTGCGCGCCTTGGCCCCCGCCTTGAGCATTTCCCACTTCTCGCGGTATTTATCAAGCGTCTTTTGCATCTTGCGGTTGTCCTTTTCGAGCCGCTCCATCTGCTTGACCGCCGCGCCGAGCTGCTCTTCCATGTCCAGCGCCTTCTTGCGCAGCGCATCGTCAACGGCCTTGCCGCTGGCGTGCGTCGCGCTCGGCGACCCCGGCCGCATGACTCTGTAGCTCTCTGCGAGAGCCATGGCCGAGTGCTGTGAGCTCGCCTCGAAGGCGTGCAGGCGCTTCGATACATTGTCCAGCATGTCCTTGAGCGATTTGTTCTCCATGCTGAGCTCCTCGATGGTGTTGCGCAGGCCCTTCTCCATATGGCTCTGGTTGCGAGCTGCTCTTCGTCTGGCTCCTGGTGAGAGCGGCACGAGCGTCTCCCTAGCATCAACGAAGTCGTCTTCGTCCTCCTCAGCTGGCGGCGCGAGGTCGCTGTGCGCAGACGCCTCCAGTCGTCGCTTCTCCTTCTCGGCGTACGTCAGGATGTTTGCGTAGGACATGGTATGCCCGCTAGTCGGCACCACGTAGAAGGAATCGCTGGCGCTGTGCCCCTCTCTCGCCAACGCTCTCATGGTAGCCTTGGAGTAGATCTTGGACAAGTCGGGGTCCAAGCTGAGAGAGCTGGGCGGCGGACGGGCGGCCTTGCGCTTCGCGGCCGTCGGGGAAGCGGTCGTCGCCTCAGCTGGATCTGCGGCTTCCTCGGACGTCGGTTCCTCCTGAATGAGTGGCAGACCGGCGAATGCCAATGGCGCTGAAATCTTGTTGATGAGACTACCGAAGGTGTTGTAAAATCGAGCGTACCCGGCGTCCTCGGTCGGCGGAGCACTCGCGACTTCTGTTCGAGGCGATGACGGGCCTTTGGTACGGATGTCTTGCCTCCGGGGAGAAGCCGTCGGCGGCACCCAGGTCGGCTTTCCGGTCTGATGGTCAATGATGTCCTGCATCTTGGCCTTAGACCCGTCGCGGCGAGGGTGAGGATCGACGTTGCCGGGCGCCTGATCGTTGGAGACGCTGGGACTGAGCGGCTGGCCGCGGTACTTGGATCGAATTCCCCTGGCCGAGGCTAGGTTGCTCGCGATCGACGACGACATCTCTCGGGTCGCGATCCGACGCTGCTGGGCGAGGCCGGGCAACTGCGCACCCTTGTGGACGCCGTCCTTTCGGCTGACCGGCTGCTGACCGGTCGCTGACTCGCCCTTTTCGTCTTGCACAGAGGCCTTCTCTCCCATTTCTTCCTCATCGTCTCCGGTCTGCGACGTCGGCTCGGGGGGGAGCTTGAGGATCTCCGCGAGCCGCCGGTGGTGCTCCTCCAGCAGCTTGAGGGTGCGAAGGGCTTCTAGGCTGGTGGTGCTGCGGGCGGCGTTTGCGAACTCGCCAGCGGCGTGGGTATGCTCGCTGATCGCGACGGTCGTGTCGGACGTCGTCGCTTGCTGGGCCTGACGGGTCGCGACAGCCGCGGCGCGGGCGTGGTCGTGCGCCTTGACGAGCGGTGACGAGTCCATGACGACAGGGAGCGCTGAGGAGTACACAGGGACGAATGGTGTATCCGGTTAGTCCTGCATACGATGATAATAATTTCGCTCTATAGACGCGCTTCGACTCATTTCCCGAGCGCCCGGAGCTGTCCGCACGGCGTCGAGCTTGTAGGTAGAGCTGGTGAAGAAGGATGAGGTGAGGTTGTCACTCGATGCTGGCGGGGGGTGGAGGTTGATTGACCTGGATGTGAGCTGCGCTAGCGCTCTCCGCGAACGGCAAAGCGGCGCCTAACATGCACTATCAAACCTCATGGCTGGGACTCGTGGGGACCGCCACGAGACTCTGACGGGGCATGAGTGGCCCCCGCAGTCTCCATGGAGGACCGCTTTCACGTTCCAAGGTTGCTTCCTGCGCCAGGCAAGAGGCTGTCTTGCATGTCTGCGCCGCACGGCAACTCGCCTTGGCCAACTCTATGCGTGGGCTCATCGACCCAAATTGACAGCCCACTATCGAAGCATGGTATTGTGACCTGTGCTTTTGTGATGCGCAAGTGGACTTGCCGGGTGCTTGAAAGCGCGGACAAAGTGCCGCCGCTGTTGAGGGGCAGCCCAGGCACCGACACGAAGGGCCACCTGCAGTAGGCAAGGGAAAGGATCCCTAGCGTGCGCAGCATAAGCACGTAGCATCTTTCGGGAACAATGGCATGGCACAGTCGGGTCTTGTTCAGGCGCTCCTCGTACAAGTTTTGGTAACGTTGCGCTTCGGCGGTATTGGAGGATCCGACAAGCTTGGCCACTTGACACGGACGTGCTTCGTCCAAGCGACAGGGAGGGGGCGGGAGCAGCATGCGGAGACGTGCGTAATGCTGCACTGTACAGTAAGACTTCGTGAAAGACTCGTGCTTCGTGTTCGTGCTGCGTGCCTCGCGGCCACATCTGAGACACAACCCCCACCGTCGGGGCTTTTGCCTTGACCAAGCGATTTTAAGGAGTGGTCATTGCGCTGAAGACATTTCCGCCGGCGGTGCGTCATTGATGCCGGCCTGGCAGGGCAAGCCAGGCAAGTTTGGATGGTGCAGGCGCGGCAACAGGTGTTATTTCCTGTTTTGGCGCCGCATGGGCGCATCGAGCCCATCGAGCATCAGTGGCAGCCCACTGAGGAATGATCGTCGATCGCGGTTGTCGGCTGCTGCCACGCTGGAAAGACAGCGTAACGTCTGCCCGGGACCTGCCCAGGCCCCACCGGGCCGAGTACCTACAGGTACCAGGCGCTGGGGAAGTGACTTAGGTTCCGGACGGCTTGGTCCTGCACAGGGGCCGTCTGATGGAGCCACTGATGAGACGGTTGGGCGGGAAGGGGGCTGACCAGCACGCGGTCACAGGGCTGGCCTTTCAACTCCTCGATTCACATTTCCCCTCTGCCTGTATCCTATCGTCATCGACATCCTCGCGCCTTCATATTTGTATCGCTATCCCCCGCCTCGATTTACGGTGCTGCCGGGTCGCCAAAGATGCGCATGCTGGAGCTGAGCCGCGCCCACACCATCAAGCATCCCGGACAGCTTCAGCTGCAGTAGCTGGGTCCATCCGCGACCGTGGCAGAGTGCCTGGACGGGAGGCGCAACCAGACATCCTCGCCATCTCGGCCACACGCACCTGGCCTCGGACCTTGGCACCGCCCGCATCCGCACTGCCACGAGCCGCGGGGTGTATCTGCGGGAGCGGCACGCCGCCATCATGGACGCCAGCGGTGTGAGCAATGGCCTGGACAAGCTGCTGCCAAAGTCTATTTCGGCCAGGCGCAGGCGCAGGAGACAGAAGCGGGCGGAGGGTTCGGCCGTCGACGATGACACGGCCAGCCGTCGCTTCGCCGACAGCGACGACACCAACTCTACCAGCATGCTTGACGACGACGATGACGACGGCCGAAGCTTTGCATCCCGCAACTCGAGCGCTGCCGACTTGGAGCCGCAGCCAGCCACGCCAGAAGGGTGAGTTTGGATTCCCTTGAACCCTCCTCGCCCCCTTGCCATTTCGGTCGGATGGCTGCACTGCATGGCGCAAGGTAGCTCCATGTGGTCCTGGACCCGCGCGTTTGCGACGCCAACGGCGGCCAGCCCAAATGCGGCGACTGATGTCAGCTCCCGCCTGCCATCTTGCATTGCGTATGCCCACCTGCTCGGCCAGCCCGACTGTTTTCTTCTGTAACCTTGGATGCAATCCATCTTTCCCCTGCGATACATCACCGTTTCTGTTCTCCCGATTGCGGCGCCGACCACTGTTGCCTGCGAGCCCCGACTCGCCGCCTGCATGCTCAGAGTAAGAGGTCTGACCCCGGTCTGAACAGAGCTCCGCGACCCGCAGCGACCTCTCCACCAGCTCGGCCGACTACGATTTCCGCGCACCCATCGCTCATCGGCTACTTGACTACGTCCTCTCCCGTCGTGCAGGCGACACACCTCGATTCCAATAATCACTTCCAGCCTGCGCCTTCGTCACAAGGTGGTCGTGCCGGCAGCGACACGACTTCGTCACCCGCCGCAGTGGAGCGAGACACGACAGCGCCCCCCATCGTCATCGAGCCTCCTGCCGCGGTCAAAGTATCATCCGCTGACCGCCGCTCGAGGCAACCACCATCGCTCGAGACGAAGCCTCCTCGCACGCCGCCAACATCAGACAAGGCTGCTCCCGTTATTGTCAATACGCCCCCGACTCCGACCGAGAGTGGCGATTCCGTTCGCGGGTCCTCACCGGAGACAAGGTCGGCGCGGAATGGTGGTGGTTTCCGGGTGAGCTTGGATGGCAGCAGTCCATCATTGCAAAGCATGAGCGCGCACCGCAGGGCCAGGTCCGGATCTGCGGTTATCGCGCCGAGCAAGCTTTCCAACATCACCACAGCTCCCCTCACTCCCACCGATGAGAGCGGCGAGCCGACACCGAGTGCGACCGGCTTCTTCTCATCCGTGCTGACCGCGGCACAAAACGCAGCCACCACATTCAGCAACACCATACCTGGCACTGGAATCACCATCGGTAGCAATAAGAGCAGAACTAGCCTTCCCAGATCCCAAGGCTCTTCCGTGACCAGCCAAGCCGAACCTGAGGCCGATCGCGAGCCGGAACCCCGCATTGACCACACAATGGACCGCAAGGAATCCGCCATTCGGACGCTTGGCAGCGGCGACTTGAGCCTGAGCCAGCTGGGGATCGCGGAGCCTTCGAGCTCTATCGCCTCTCCGGCCAGCGCCAAGTTCTCGGACGCAGCTGACACAAGATTTCGATCTGAATCGGCGCCTGTTGATCCGCAAGCACGGCTCGCCGAGGCACTTCCCGAGGGCCCGGCGAGCCGCCCCCGGTCACTGGCGGAAGCTACAACGAGCGGCGACCAGACTCCGCCGCAAATGGATCTTGCAGAGAACAAGGCTCACGTACAACGAACATCAAGCATACGAAGCGCCATCAAACCACATAGAAAGCGAGGAAGCTCTGTCACGACAGGTGGGACTGGCACGACCGCCGCTGCTGCCGTCGGCGCGAGCAACAACTCAACAATCACACCCAGTGGCAGCTTCGGGGCGCCGAAGCTTACGGGCTTTGCCATTGCCAGCAAGAAGCGAAACCGCGATTTCCACACCTTTTTCAAGAGCGTCCCCGATGACGACTACCTCATCGAAGACTACAGCTGTGCTCTGCAGAGAGAGATTCTCGCGCACGGCAGGCTGTACGTTTCCGAGGGGCATCTTTGCTTCAGCAGCAATATCCTTGGTTGGACGACGACTCTAGTCATGAGTTTTGACGAGATTGTGTCTGTGGAGAAGAGGAGCACCGCCCTGGTTTTCAAAAACGGGCTCATGATTTCAACGCTTCACGCCAAACATATATTTGCCAGCTTCACTAGCAGAGACGCAACGTACGACCTCATCGTCAACATTTGGAAACTTGGACATCCGACCTTGAGGAGCACTCTGAACGGCGTGAGGCTTGAGGGCACTGGAGGTGACAAGACGGAAAAGGTTGATGGCAACGAAGTTGCTGGTGGGGCAGGTGATCCCCAAGAAATTGCCTCGGAATCCGAAGACGACAGCGAAGGAGATGACGAGGAGGAAGACTTTTACGACGAAGAGGAGAACGACGAGATCCCCGACACACAGGCGACGGAGGTCAGTGGTGTAGAGGCCGACGCGGAAAAGCCTGGTCTCAGAAAGGCGTCAACCATGACCGTCCAGAACGGCCTTCCTGCTGAGCCTCCAAAGGAAACATCGTCCCCTCCAGGAGGCTCAGTCGATTTCCCAGGCCCTGCGACTCATCCACCCACAGACTGCGGCGACTCGGCTAGCCATTACGACAAGATTGTTGGTGACGACATCATCGCCGCCCCCTTGGGTAAGGTGTACAACCTCATGTTTGGGCCGGCATCCGTTGCGTGGATGACAAAATGGCTGGCAGGGGATCAAAAATGCACCGAAATACAGATGGATGATAAGAAGGGCTTGAGTTTGGATAACAAGACGCGGACCTACTCGTACATCAAGCCCTTGTATGCGTCAATCGGGCCCAAACAGACCAAATGCATCGTGTCGGAGACTGTCGACAACATCGATTTGGACAGAGCGGTTAACGTCAGCGCCTCAACGCAAACTCCGGATGTGCCCAGCGGAAACGTGTTCTCCGTCAAGACGAGATTCTGCCTGTCTTGGGCAGAGAACAACACCACCCGCGTCCAGGTCAACTGCACAACTGAATGGACTGGAAAGAGTTGGCTGAAAGGTGAGTGCAAATATGTACATCACGAGACGGCCAGTACAGAACGCTAACTTCGCGCAGGTCCCATCGAAAAGGGTGCTGTTGACGGCCAGACACAACACTGCAAAGACTTGTTTGCAGCGCTCAAGGCTGCAGCATCTTCTCGCCCGCGGGCAGGCACGGGTCCCAACGGGCCGGCTCGGGCAAAGAGAAAGCTTAAGAGGAGCAAGGCTCTGCAGTTGACTGATGGCAGCGTGGAGGGCAAAATGGAGACAAAGAGGGCGGCAAAGCAGGATTGGGGCCTATTCGAACCGGTCAGGGGCCTGGTCGAACCCTGCGCTGACCTGGTTCAGCCCGTGCTCACGGGCAACGTCATGTACGGGCTGCTCGTGGGCTTGCTCGTCGCCATGTGGTTTGGATTCGGCTCCTCACCGAGGAAGAATGTGTCGCCATACGGACCCGAAGTCGGTTTCTACAGTGCCAGCCGTCTGGCAGCGTACGAGGAACTCTGGCGTCGCGAGGACAGTGAGCTATGGGAGTGGCTCGACGAGCGTGTCGGGCTCGACCGCTTACACTCGGACGGCCCCGTTACTCGAAAGAGGCATTTCGAGCCACGAACTGTGGAAGAGAAGCTGCGCGAAGAACGAATCGACGAGAGAGAGGTCGAAGAGGCGATACGAGTGACGGAAGAGAAACTGAGGGTTCTGAGGGAGGTGGTTGGCAAGCCTGCACAAAGCCGGGACGAGAGCGGTCGATGAAGCTCAGAACATGGCACTACGCACACTTTTTTACATTTGTATACTATCTGGTACCACATACATGGGCGCGGCGAGCAATTCTTCTTTTTGTACTGATCACCTGAATATCAGGCCGCAGGCCACATGGGATGCACGGGTTCGCGGCAGTGATGTAGAAGGGTCGCGATGGAGGCAACAACATCGGAACACAGCGTGTTCTGTACGTGAGCTCACCTTTGGGTCCCTGGGCGATGAACGGGAGCCCAGGTGTGTCGGCACGTGCCTGTGAGCGTCGGTCAGCGTGTCTGAGGCGACGGACTACCCTGCACTCGGGGTGCCGACCAAGATATCCAAGGTTCACGTCAGCTCTGGCCAGACTGTGGATACAGAGCTCACGGCGAAGACCATGGCAAGCCAAAGAATCAACAAGTGCGTGTGCACAACATGGGCTTCGATCGCGTGGGGGTTGCGATAGAGGCGATCGTTGCGACCTGAGTTAATGCCCAGGTGGTGCGGAGCAGGAAGCTGGGCGGCTTTCTCACGGGAGGGCAGCGTAACCCGCCCACTGCGGTACAGGTGGTGTACAGCAGTGTCAGAGCTGGAACCTGGAAGTGGAATGAAGCTTGAGGGCAGGAACGGGTGAGCACCGCCTGCCAGATCCGCTCACCGTTCCAAGCCTGGAGCTCCATGGAAGTCCAGGACGAAGCGCATTGTGTCCTCAGCGCTGCATTCTGCTCACCCACACCTCGCAACCCGACTTCGCCGCGGCGCCCGTCTGCCGGATGGCCCCGCCAAGCCCGCCCCCCATCCTGCGTCACCCGTCGGCGGACCCGATCTGCCCGCGCCGCTGTAGCAAGTCTGCCTCGTCCCGTGTGGCTGACGACTGCTGACAGGGCGCGAGGACTGGCTGCCTCCAGCGCTCCAATCGACGCCCTACTCCGTACAATGCGGCTCTGGATCCCCCTCTCAGATCGGTCACAGCCACGCCGCAGGGGGGTGTGTGCTCCGCGCCGGGTGCGCCCTGTGGTCGCGTCGTCACTCCGTGTTGTGCTTGTGCAGCCCGGCCTGTCTCCTCCTCCGCACGTCGATGTGCTGTGTCCTTCCACGTCGTTCCGCCAAGTCTCGTGCTGCCGGGAGGGGGAAGCAAGGTCGCTGCGCGCCTTTTCAGCCATGGATGTCGCTTTCGGACATGGCAGTGTGCTGCTGCCCAGGCCCAAGGAAGCAGGCAGAGCGCGGGTGGGTGTGGGTGACTCGGATGGCTGTGGGATCCTGACCCCGGCCCGGCTCCCGTGTGCTCGCTCAGCCGCCTCAACGAGCCCCCCTGCTCGATGTCCCCTCCTGTCGTGTCAAGTCCTACATGCACTCGCCAAGTCCTAAATACACGCTGCTCGTAACTGCTGCAGCACTGTGTCCTAGGACCAACAGCCGGCCAGGTTGGTGTTTGTGGTTGCCTCCAGCCTCACCTCGCCTCGTGGCTCCCTCCCCGCAGCGTTCCTGGACAGATCTCGAATAAAACATCATGCGTGGCGATTCGTGACGGCCCAAACAACTCTATTCGTTCTCCTCGCTCCGTCCTGGCCATGGTCCTCGACTGCTTGCCGTTTGCCTAGAGAACCCGCCACCTTGTCCTGTCCGCAAACAGACCACCGCCAGTGAGTGCGACCAGACCATGGACAGTTCCTCGAAGCGTTCCTCGTTCGAGGAACCGGGCCTCGCCGCCTCAGCCTTACGACGATGGACCCGAAGTCCCACTGGCCACCGACTGGGCCTGCGCCGCTCTGGCACAGGCTCGACTGCCTCTGCGTCCGTGACTTCGTTTGAGAGCGATAGGAACTCGCCCAACTGCGTGTAAGGCGATGCACCCGAGATGATACCTCTTGCTGCGTGGCGGAAGTCTGCCCGGGAGCTGACCTATACTGCCATCAACTAGATCCCGCGAGACGTCGAGCGATGAGTGTTCCCTTCACAGGTTTATCGTCTGGGTCGCCGTCAAGCGCAATGGCTCAGCGAGGATCACACCCGAGCAGATGAGGGAGTGCCCGATGCTTCGCTGTCGCAGGCGGTTCCCCAATCACGAGTTTATGCTGCAGCATCTCTACTCTTGTGAACACCTCGAGTCAAGCGAGTACTGGTGTTATGACTGCGGCAAAGCCGAGCACCTGGGCGACGTCAAGTGCAGGCGCTGCCTAGGGCACCCGTCCAAAAGGAAGAGGATGATGTCCCTGGCCAGGAACTTCTTCAGTTCGTTGGGCCACAAGTCCAAGAATGGCAGCCTGCCCGACCTGGATCTGGATATGAAGGACGACCCTCCCAGCTACGAGTCAGCCCTGGAACCGTCGGAGGTCGAGTTGCAGTCAACTGAGATCCACGAGATTGACTCTTTCGAGCTTCCTCTTGCCACCATCCCGGAGGCGAGAGAGGAGCCCGAGCCGTACTCGGGGTACCTATCCAACATGAGTACAGCCGCACCGCAACCGCAACCCGCGGATCTCCAAAACGTACATGCCGTTATCGACGAGTCACTCATCAATTGGGACCTCTCCCCGACACCGCCACCTCCGGCCTTGCCCGCAGGTGTCGTCTCACGGCCCGTACCCGCGGACCGTCCTGTCCTGCAGCTCAACACCCAGGGCCTGGCAGGTTATTACCGTGCAAGATCAAGGCGAAGAAGCAAGACTTGTATGCTCGCCCCAAGCTCGTCAGTCCGGTCAACAGCCAGCACAGCCAGCACCAACAGCACATCGAGCACTGCCAGCCACAACATCTCTCCCATGTCAGCCTGGTCGGGATCTTGGAGCAAGGCTCCCGGGTTCGACTCGGCACTTACTTCGCCGGCTGACGACTTGAACCTCGCCGATGTCTTCCCACAGGATAACGAGTACAGACGTCAGGTTGCCCCTACCACGGAGGTGGGTCTCCAGAGCGTCGCAACCGAGACTGTCATACAAGAACTCCCGGCCGAGGTCCCAACATTTGACATTCCTCACATGACGGATGCGCTTCACGCCGAACCAGAATTGCCCCCTGGACCAGCCCCGAGGGAGCAGCCCCTGGAGGTGAATCTGGACTTCGACAAGCCCAACAGTGCCCCAAATTCTACAATGATGCTGGCGGATACATTCCGGAATCAATACGTTAGCACCCCGGCGCTGATTCAAACAGCACAGAACGTCATTGAGGTTCATATTGAACACTCCATGAAGGGCCTCCGATGCGATGGCAAAAACCATGTGGTCAACCAGTTCTGCAACATGTCAGCTGCCTCAGTCGCGTTGGCTGGCCTGGAGACCATGTCCGACATCTTGAGTGGCAACATCATCACTTCCGCCGTCAGACTGCTCTGCTTCGTTCACGTTGCGTACGCTCTGTCGCTCGTCATCGACGAGCAAGAAGCCGCATCCCGGTCCACCGCTTTATTCATCCAGGCCGTTTCCTATAGTTCATGGCTATCTCACCAGGATAGGCAGGCGTATATCCAGGTTGTTGATTTCTTATGGAAGCCAGAAGACATGGCCGACGGTGTCTTCATGGAGCTGCTACAGTCGAGCATGTCCCAGCCGGATGCCGACTCAGGAAGTTCAAAGGGCAAAGCGCCAGCAAAATTCCTAAAAGCTGATCGATCCGACCCGCTCATCTTTGTCGCGCAATACTTTCTGGATGGTAGGTCAGGTCACGCACAACCTCCGCCATTTGCTAACAAGGAAAACAGAACTGGAAGCCTCAGCGTTGCGCGAGACCACGCACCTTGAAATACAGGCATCTGAACTATGTCTAGAGCACATGAACGACATCAACCTGGACGCTAATGAGAGCTCCCCGTTCTCCATCGGCGCCAAAGAGGCAATAAGTACTCTTGCACAACAGTACAACGGCGTCCCTGCCTTTCGATCGGCCATGCAGGATGTGCTGGATAGAGTCAAGTCAAACCATATCGCCACGCCTCGTCGACTGGAGCTGGAATTATTGCAGGCTGGGAAGGTACGTTGAATGGCACCCGTGGAAGCGTCAGACCTTTTAAAGCTGACTGATGGAACAGATGCGACTCCCACTCAGCGTCCCGTTTGACGACTTTATTCGAGTTGTGCGCGCAAAAGTCGACTCACTATTTCAGCTCTTTGACCGGTCGTTTACACACCCGGATCCCCGCCTCAGATATTATCGACAGGGTGCACAGTTGATGAAGTCTGCTATTGGCAAGACTGTTCCGTCAGATGTGGGCATGACCAACGCAGACGCGGCGTTTGACCTGCTCAGCTTTGATGGCCAAATGACGCCCAACATGGACGACTTCTTTGGCACGATCCCAGATTTTGACACTGGACTACGCGTGGGACTGGATATGCCCCTCCCGGACGCGCCTGTGCCTGTACGGCCCGCATCCATCCCTGCTGTAAACGTTGATCCTCCCGCATCGATGGGCGACTCCTGGATGCCGACTCCGGAGGAATCATTACCTTCGGGGCTGCCATCAGCAACGGCGGGCTCACCGATCTCAGCCGCACCAACACCGGCCTCGTCGTCGTCCAAGAAAGTGGAGGCGAACAGCTGCTGCGATATCTGCGGCTACCGACCCAAAGGCGACCCTCGGTGGTTCGGAGGCAGCATGGCCAAACACAAGAAACTGCAGCACGGTGCCGGTCCACCCAAGATATACAAGTGCCCCTACCCCGGATGCACGAGCCAGTATAAGAGCCGGCCGGACAACCTGAGGCAGCATCAACTGGACAAGGGGCATTTTGTGGACACCGATGATGGTTCAAGCCGAAGGCCGAGCAAGAAGAGGAAGCTTATGGATTAATGGTGACTTCGCGGAGGATTTCTCTCTGTTCTTTGTTTTGGCGCACGGAGTTTGAGCGGCTTGCTTGAGACGATACCATGGATGGGGGTAATAAGGGCACCGGCATGCTGCGGCCCCGGATTAACGGAAGGCAAGGACCGAGGGTCAGGGCCGCCGCCGAGGGGCGGTGGCGGATACACACGTATGCAGGCAGGGACTGCGGGATATAGGGAGCACGAGATACTTCGTACATGGATGAAGAAGGCATCAGCCAAGGAGTATGCTGCTTCTGTATAGTTACACGGCATAGCCGACCTATTTGTGGTAGAGCTGCAAAGTACAAAGATACACGGGCAACGGCTCGAAGAACAAGGCTAGCCGGACGAACTGTATCTGTAAGATTGACTACATGACAGCTGGTGCCACAATGCCCCCTCTGATGGCAGATGCCGACTGAAGTGTGTGATGTGGCAAGCGAGGCTGCTGTTCGCCGACGAGGTGGCCAATTGGTGGGGGTTGGAGCCAAACACCACTGCTAATCACGAAGGCTACTGTACCTCCCATGTAATGCGATTCGGAGTGCAAAAGCCCAGTCACGTGTCGAGGACCCGGCTCCTGCGGCCCAGGGACGCTGAAGCCACAGCGTCGTACGGACGTCGTGGCACGCTGGGAGCTGCTTCCTGATAAGCCGAGGAGGGAGCGGCCGTTCCGGTTGGCCTTGGGAGTTGCATCAGAAGACTTTGCAGTTTCCATTGTGCATCCGGTGGACCTGGACAGGAGAGCAAATTTTCCCACGGTGCGGCCGGGAGCCGGCGGGAATTTAACGGCGATGCGCGGCACGAGTCTATCGAGAGAGTAGATGACGAGGAGAGACGACGCCGCGCATGCATTGCCATCCCTACGTTTGTACCTCAAGCAGTGAGGTGATGGGGTTGGACTTCAATATGAGGTGCGAGCCTGGCCCGGGCAGTAATAAGGTCCCGAGGTCGCCAGGTCACTGCGGCCCATTGGACCGCGGACACGCCAACCCAGCCCCCCGGCCCAGTCCAGCCCAGCCAGCCCTGGGAGGTCGCCAGCGGCACAACCTTGAGTGAGCCACTGCGAGCCTTGTGGCGGTACCCGTAAGGTTGGAGCTGGCGGGCAGGGCAGATACCTTGCAGTTCCTCGACTCTAGTGCGTCGGTGGCCGCCCAGCCCAGTGGGCAGCGCAGCGCGGACCTCCGACTCCCCTCCACTCCTCCCACCACCCAAGCCCGCGCAGCCAATCCCGCGGTTGGGCTCGCGCCTCGGTGCTAGCCAACGCGCTACGCACATTCGCACAGCGCCCCCCCCTCCCCCCCCAGTCGACTCAGCCCAGCACAAACCTTCCAACCTTCCTGAGACGCCCCCCCGCCGGCCGCCCCAGCACTTGGGACCCGAGCCTGCACAGCCTATCGTGACGCGGCAGGGCCAGAGAAAAATTCCCACACCTCAGCCCAGCCCAGCAGCCAGCTCCCGTCCGGTGCCCTCCCTTCCTCCCCTCCCCCCTTCGCCGCCGTCCCCTCTCTCACTCCCATGCCACTCCTCCCGTCTTTCTGCCCACACCTCTACCCAGCACCGCACCTCCACGCCTCCTCCTCCAGCCCATCGTCCTTAACGACACCCCCAAACCAGGTCCAGGGTTTTGCTCTCCTCTGAGCCGCGCCATCGTCAACGACAAAACGTTGCTTCATCAATCGAGTCGAGGGCAGACAGACGTGCGGACCGGGCCATTTCGAGCCGACAGCGACGAGCAGCGAGGGGACGACAGAGGCCCGACACGAGCGGAGCGACCGGGCGCGCGTCAGCGCAGTGTTTTTCCTCCACGACGGGCCCCGACACGACGAGACCTCCGAAGGGATTGATTGTTGTTTTTTCCCCTCCCATTTTCCCTGTCCTTCTTGCAGACCGAGAAGCGGAAAGACTTGGCCATCGTTGTCGTCGTCGTCGTCGCCGCCGCCGCCGCTGCTGCCGTCACCGTCGTCGCCGTCGCCGCCCTACGCGGCCATTCGCTCGCTGCTCACCAACCTCGCCCACACCCAACCGTTACCGCTCCAGCCGTACACCGCTGTCGCCGCCGTCACCCGCGCGAGCCTCGTGGCCCGCTGCCGCGGTTAACAAGTCAACGCCAACCACGGGCCGGCCAGTCCTAGACGCTGGTCATCGCCGACTGCGTCACCGACTAGCCAGAGCATTATAAATAGGCTTCGCCGCCGCTTTTCGCCCGCCCGCCGCCGCCATGTCGAGCCTTGGGCCTTCCGGGTCCAACGCTCATGCCGGCCTGAACTTCTCTCAGGCCGGCCTACGTCGCAACCCTGGATTCGCACCCTCGCACGCGAACCAGCACCAGCCGAACAAGCAGTCTCCCGCGCCTCACGCCGCCTCGCCCTACCAGACCCAGGCGTACACGCCGCAGCAGCCGCCGCAGGGTGCCTACCCGGGGCACCTCTTCCAGCAGACTGTCAACACCAATGTTCCCAATGGCCACCCGGCGTCGCGGGCGCCGCAGAGCCACGTTCCCAATGCCCTCAATGTCCAGCGACAGAGAGCAGCCCCTCAGCGGCAGCAGATGCAGCCCCAGCCAAACCCGCCGCCCATGGTCTTCCCCAGTGGCATCAGTCAGTCTGTCCCGCATGACCCCATCCTTTCGCACCAGCAGCACCAGCAGCCTCATCCCTCTCACCAGCCGCATCTGGGGCACCCGAGCCATCAGCAGCACCACCAGCAGCACCCGCAACAGCAGCCGCACCACCAACAACATCAGCAACACCAGGCACACCAGGCACATCAGGCGCACCAGGCTGCGCAGCACCAAGCCCATCAACAAGCGCACCAAGCGCACCAGGGCCACATGGGGCATCAGGGACATCAAAGCCACCAGGGGCACCCAGGTCACCCTGGACGTCAGTCACACCAGGGCCACCCGATCCCCCAGCAGCAGCATACACCTCAGCAACAGCAACAGCAGCAGTTGCCGCCACAGCCTCCGCCGCAGCAACAGCAGCAGCAACAGCAGCAACAGCAGCAACAACAACAGCAGCAGCAGCAGCAACAGCAACAGCAACAGCAACAGCAGCAGCAGCAACAGCAGCAGCAGACCCCACAGCAGCAGCCGCAGCAGATGCCGCAGCCTCCCGCGCAGCCGCAGCAGCAGCCTCAGGTGCCGCAAGTACCTCAGGTGCCTCAGGTGCAACAGATGCAGCAGGTGCAGCAAGCACAGCAGGTGCAACCCTCGCCGCAGCAGCCGCCAGCCCAGATTCCTCAACAGCAGGACGACCACGCCGTTGATGAAATGGACACGGAGGGTCAGAATGATGCAAACGACGACGCGAGCACGCTCGAAGCGAAGCTCCTCAACGATCCATCCTACGTCCCGTCCCAGCCAATGGGCGAGTTGATGTCGCCTCCGCCGGAAGGTGGGAGCTACCCGACTTTGGAGGCAGTGCAGAAGGCCGTGTTGCGGTATTGCACGTCGGTAGGCTATGCTATCGTCATTGGCCGATCCAAGAAGACAGTGCCAGGCCTGAAAAAAGTTCTCTTTGTCTGCGACCGAGCAGGCAAACCGCCCAGCCGTGTCAGCCCCGAGTTCCGTAAACGCAAAACATCGTCCAGGAAGTGCGATTGCCCGTTTGGCTTCTTCGCCATTGAGCAACGCACCCAGTGGACTATTCGCTACCGACCGGACCCGGCGCACTTGAAGCACAACCATGGCCCGAGTGAGGGCCCCTCGAACCACCCTGCCGCTCGCAAGCTAGATAGCAAGATGGTGGCGGCGGTCAAGCAGCTCAAGGATAACGGTACGTCGTCGGTGCAACCGGGAAATGGTCGATCAGTTTCCACTGACGTTTCTGCAGGTGCCGGCGTCTCCGAAACGTTGCAAATCCTTCAAAACGAGAATCCAGACTGCCACCTGCTCCCGAGGGACATATACAACGCCCGTGCCGCCATCAACCGAAATCCGGCAAAGGTGGCCACAGGCATAGCTGAGAACCGACCGGCCATCTATACGAAGCCCCAGCAGTCGCCTGAGGACCGTATACGAGCCGATCTCCGACGAGAGCTCGCAAAGGCCCGCGAGGACATGAAGAAGATGGAAGACGACAAGCAGAAAGAGATTGATGAGCTCAAGGCCAAGCTGGAAGAGAAGGAGAAGCTCATCCGGAAGTTTGAAACCTTTATCGACATTTGCAACGAACGAGTCATGATTCAGCGTGAGAGGCTGTCGGAAAACACGTCGGCCGGCGGGAACCCGGGCAGATGAACTCGGCCGGCGGCTGTGTGTGTAGTAGCCTGGTGAGGCTAGAGGGGCGGAGATGAAGACATCGCGGGTTCTGCTGAACGGTATTAGGGGGCCGCGCGGGGCAAAAAGCCCAACTAGAGATGGAACCACGGCTAGACGGCCTGACGGAGCGGCGAGGTTTGGCCACTTGTGGCTGGGGTGTTTTGGTATTACATGTTCATGGTTGGTGCACAGGATTGTGGCGACGCAAGGTCCAGCGTGGGCTGTGAGTGAGGGATGGCGTTCCCGGACGACTTGGCTGGGATTTACACCTGCCGCGGATGCTTGTGTTTATGGCAAAACTGAGTCTACGGGGGATTAACTGCGAACCGAGAGCTGGCAGGGACCGGTTTGCCTTGGGTCTTTTATGGCTGATTTATCTTTTACTTATAGGACTGTAGGTACTCGGGTCACAAGGGGGGCGGGTGAAATCTGGCATCGTTTTCGTATTGGTATGACCATGGTGTGGCCCGAGGGCTTGAGGTGTTCCCATTTACAACGAGCAGTGACGTGCACGGCGGTGTAGATGTATAAGCACAGGGCGGCGACGACGATGCTCGATGACGATCTTGAGCAGAGAGCGCACTTGTACATACATACACACATGCTTTGAAGCGCATGTGCACGCATGCACTCCACGTCCTGCGTCGGTGGATCCAGATATCAGATGAAGTCGAAGATGTTAGCGGGGCGTCGGGCGCCTCCCAGAGTCAACAGCCACACCCCATGCCACGCGTGGGGCCGGCCCAATCAGGTACCCAAGTGTGTGTGCCTGCCCGCCCGAGTACGTCTGTAGCTGCAGTGGACACGCTCCTGGGCCGCACATGCCGTCGCGACAGGGGTCCGTTGGGTCGCCAAAGTCGCCAAAGTCGCGTACTCCTGGCCGCTGCAGGACCGGCTCTTGCATTGCTCGCAATAAGCCGGAGCCAAACCAAGCCAAACCATTTCATCCCTCAACACACACGTCCATCGCAGACGACACTCACCACAGCCCGGCACGCCAGCGATCGACCATAGGCTGAGCGCACTTGCCTGTTCATCTCGCCGACGCCTCTGGAGCTCTTTCGCCGCCTCGTCGCGTGTTGGCGCAGCCACATCGCTGCCTTTATCGCCCCCTGAGCTTGCTCCCCACTCCCTCCCATCGACCCTCGTGCGCCCGCCTCTGTCCGTCAGAGATGACCCTTCGCTTGTGATTTGGAGCCTCTCCTTCTCTAAGCATCCGCTCGTCGACGCCGACACCCACATCGACGCATGACAGCGCACGCCGATATGGAGGTCTCCTCCCCGCCGGCGCCGAGCGTTGGGGCAGCCAACGGCATCGCGACGCCAGCGCCCTTCCAGACAATCGAGCCGGAACGCGTGGTCGAGCACCTGGCATCCGTTTGCCAGGTAGCCCTCGGCGCCACGCGCGAGGAGCTCGAGCAGCCGGGCAACCTGCTGCATAAGAGTCGCTATGCCGAGACTGTTTCGCGTTGCACTCGTTTCGCAAATGATACCCAGAACGTCCTGTATATTCAGAAAGACATTGCCGCGGCATCGGCTGTTGAGAATGGGACCGACACGGCTGGTGAGCGCGAGGCTTGGACCATCGCCGCGGACCATGTCGATGCTGACCTGCTGCTTGAAGTGCCTTCGTCCTTTCACTACACGCTCTCGACCGAGATATCCTCGTCAGCTACGACGGTAGCCTCGCTCGTTCTGTTGAAGACGCCGCAGCCCATCGACCCGACCCGACCGCTCACTTCACAAATATTCATTACTAATTTGCCGGGACCTGCTTCTCTTAATGCCGCCGTGGGAGAGCAGGGCGCCTCACTATCCCCGTGGGAGGTCCTCCATTCCCAGGTTCACCATGCACTCGTGCCGTACTTCGATGCGAATACCAAGAGCCAGCAGCTGGCCAACGGGTCCAGGGGCCGTGCAGACGTCGACGCGAAGACGGGCATCCCAGTGACCAAGAAGAGGCTCAACGATTTAGAGCTGAGTCTCCTTCACCTCCAGCAAAACGTCGACATTCCCGAAATCTCCCTCACGTTCCACTCGATTGTTCAAAATGTTCTCGACGATGCCGAGTCGCGGCATACCCGTCCCACGATCGACGAAATACCCGCCAATCTGCTACAAGACAGCACTTTCCTCAACAGACTGCAGGCAAACGTGAACTCGTGGATCAAGTCGATCCAAGGCGTCACCAAGATGACCAAGGACCCGTCGCTGAACGCCAACCAGGAGTTCAGCACGGCGAGCCAGGAAGTCAACTTTTGGTTGTCCATGGAGTCTGCCCTGGAGGGCATCGAAGGCCAGTTGAGGAGCGAGGGTGTCTTGCTCACCCTCGAAATACTCAAGCACGCCAAGCGATTCCAAGCCACCGTCAGCTTCACGGCAGACACAGGGCTGAAGGAAGCGATGGAGAAGGTGCAAAAGTACAATCAGCTCATGCGGGACTTCCCTCTGGATGAGCTCTTGTCAGCGACTTCGCTCCCCAAAGCCCAAGAGGCTGTGTCGCAGATTTTCAGCCACCTGAACAAGAAGCTGAGGATATGCCCATATCCCATTCGACGGGCACTTCCTCTGGTCGAAGCCATCTCTGCGGACCTGGATGATGTGCTTCACCGCCTGCTCCCTGGCACCGAGCTCGTCAACCTGGATTACCAGCAGTTCCAGGCCCTCATGCGAACCTGCGACGGCATCTTCAGGACCTGGGAGGACAACGTCAAGGAGTTCACCAACGTCGCTCGTGAGGTCACCCGACGCAGAAACGAAAAGTTCATCCCGATCAAGATCAACAAGAAGCATTCTGAGCTCGAGTCGCGTATCAAGTACGTCGGAACCTTCCGCGACAACCACGAGCAGCTCCAGCGAACCATCGTCAACGTGTTGGGCCCTAAAGCCACAATCCCTGGCGTGACCGAAACGACCAGCAGCAATGGAGTCGTCATGGAGGAGATGGGCGATGTCGATGCGGTAGAGGAGGTCAAGCAGGCTTGGGAGGCCCTGCAAAACGTCGACTTGCTCGACGTCACCGACCAAGGCAAAGAACGATGGGTTCGCGCCGAGAATCTCTACAACGAGCGCACGACGCGTGTAGAAAACTCCATCATTGCCCGACTGCGAGACCGCTTGGCGACGGCCAAGACAGCCAACGAGATGTTCCGCGTCTTCTCCAAGTTCAACGCACTCTTCGTGCGGCCAAAGATTCGCGGAGCCATCCAGGAGTATCAAAACCAGTTGATGGACCACGTCAAGCAGGCAATCAACGGCTTGCACGAGCGCTTCAAGCAGCAGTATGGACATTCCGAGGCGCACGCCATGGCACAACTTCGCGACCTCCCCCCTGTCTCGGGTGCCATCATCTGGGCCCGCCAGATTCAGTTCCAGCTGGATGGGTATATGCGCAAGGTCGAGGCTGTACTTGGTCCGGATTGGCATCTGCATGCCGAAGGCCACAAGCTGCAGGAAGAGAGTGATCTGTTCAAGAACAAGCTCGACACGGCACGGATATACGAAGCGTGGCTGGCGGATGTTGGCCGAAGAAAGATTTCCATTTCTGGCCAACTTTTCGAAATTGCTCGAGTAAGGTCTGCAGGCGGCATTCTCGAGCTGGCAGTCAACTTTGATCCGCAAATCATCACACTCTTCAAGGAGACAAGAAACCTGATGTGGCAGTCATATTCGGTCCCTCACGCAGTCACGACGGTGTCAAAGGACGCCAAGAGAGTGTACCCATACGCGGTCAGTTTGATGGAGAGTGTGCGAACGCTGTCTCAAACTCTGCGTCAGATCTCTGAGATGGGCGAAGAATCGATTCTCCTTCACGGATATCGGAACGATGTGTACAGACTCATTGGCGAGGGCGTGCCGCTTCGTTGGGAGTCTTTCATCAACTCCCATGAGCTGTTCTACGCCGACGCGAGGCAATCCCGACCGCTTCTCCCTGGTGGCAACGACTTTGGCCTCAACAAAAACACGGAAAGCAAGCACGGCATGTTCATCCGCGGATTCGCCGCGGCTGTCTCGGTTCTACAGAGCAAGGCTGTCTCCCTTATTCACATCCATGTCGTGGTTGAGCAGGCATTGAAGGAGCTCAGCACCTGTCCCTACGAAGCATCGGCTTTTTCGTCACGCCTCAACACCATCCAGTCAGCCGTGGATCAACTGAATCTGGAGCAGTACGTGAACCTCGACTTTTGGGTTGCAGGGTTGAACCAAAAGGTTCAGTCCATCCTCTTGGACCGGCTGCACGACGCTGTCCAGGCTTGGATCGCAGCCTTTGAGGACGAAACCGCGGAAGATGGGCGCCGGAAGAAGACCACAGAAGAGGACAGCCCACAGGACACTCCAATCATGAAGCGTATCGTCCTTGAGCTGGCAATGCGAAACCAGGTCATCTACCTGGATCCGCCCTTGGAATTCGCAAGGGCTAGCTGGTTCCTCCACCTGCACGACTGGCTCGGCATTGTGTGCAACCTCCGCAAGATCAAGGCTTCTCGGTATCAAATGAGCCTACATGCCAATGCCAACGACGAGCCACGCTTTACCGATCTGCCTACCGAATGCGCAAACATGCTGCATCGCGTTTACGTGTCCGTTGAGAAGAAGCTTCAGGAGATTAGCGCATATGTCGACAAGTGGCTTCAGTTCCAATCTCTTTGGGATCTTCAGTCGGAGCAGGTCTACGACATGCTTGGTGACCACCTTCCGCGATGGCTGGAGTGTCTGCAGGATATCCGCAAAGTCCGCACCACCTTTGACACCCAGGAGGTGAGCCGCTCGTTTGGCCACATCACCATCGACTACGATCAGGTCCAGACCAAGGTCAACGCCAAGTACGACCAGTGGCAACACGAAATCCTGATCAAGTTTGCCAGCCGACTCGGAAACCGTATGCGAGACGTCAATGCCGACATTGAGAAGGCCCGGAAGCATCTTGAAGGCCAGAGCTCAGACACCTCATCCACTGCCCAGGCCGTTCAATTCATCACTGCTGTGCAGAGTTGCAAGCGGAATGTCAAGCTTTGGGCACCCGAAATCGACATGTTTCGCCAAGGACAGTCAACCCTGGTGCGACAACGGTATCACTTCCCGAACGACTGGCTGCATATCGAGCAGATCGACAGCCAGTGGGAGGCGCTAAAGGAGATTCTGGAGAAGAAGTCGAGAGTCATGGAGGAGCAGTCGGACGCCATGCGAGCCAACATCACGGCGCAGGACAAGCTGGTGAATGAGCGTATCGCTGAAATCATCTACCAATGGAACGAGGAAAAACCGGTGTCTGGGACCATCCAGCCTGATGTGGCTTCTGCCACGCTGAGCTCCTTCGAGTCGCGCATAGCCAGCCTCCAGGACGACTTCCTCCAGGTAGTCAAGGCCAAGGAAGCCCTGGATCTTCCGGCTAGCCAAGACAGCTCCCTCGAGGCGACGCTGGAAGAGGTCCGAGATTTCCAGTCAGTCTGGTCGAACCTGTCGACCATTTGGGCTAGCCTTAACGAGACGCGCGACATTCTTTGGACTGCAGTTCAGCCTCGCAAGATCCGGTCCAAAGTTGACGACCTAATCAAGAGCACGAAAGAGATGCCTAGTCGCATGAGACAGTACGCAGCCTTTGAGCATGTCCAGGGCATTCTGCGAGGATTCCTCAAGGTCAACCCCATCCTCTCGGATCTCAAATCGGACGCCATCCGCGAGCGGCATTGGCACAAGATTTACAAGCAGATCAAGCCACAGAAACGATTCTCTCCCAGTTCTATGACGCTCGGCGATGTCTGGGACCTCAACCTCATTGCCACCGAGGCAATTGTCAAGGATATCATCGCCCAAGCGCAAGGCGAGATGGCGCTTGAAGAGTTCCTGAAGCAAGTTCGTGAGACTTGGCAGAACTACGCCCTGGAGATGGTCAACTATCAGAACAAGTGCCGCCTGATCCGCGGGTGGGACGACTTGTTCGCCAAGTGTAGCGAGAACCTGAACTCGCTGCAGGCCATGAAGCATTCCCCCTACTACAAAGAGTTTGAGGAAGAGGCTGTTTCCTGGGAGGACAAGCTGAACCGTGTCCATGTCTTGTTTGATGTCTGGATTGACGTCCAGCGCCAGTGGGTCTACCTGGAAGGTGTCTTCACAGGCAATGCGGACATCAAGCACCTGCTGCCGATTGAGTCCGGTCGTTTCCAGAACATCAACAGCGAATTCTTGACGGTCATGAAGAAGGCCAACAAGACGCCTTACGTCCTAGACGTGCTCAACATCCCCAATGCTCAAAAATCACTGGAGCGTTTGGCAGAAATGCTGAACAAGATCCAGAAGGCTCTGGGTGAATACCTCGAGAAGGAGCGAGTGTCGTTCCCTCGCTTCTACTTTGTCGGCGACGAAGATCTGCTGGAAATGATCGGCAACAGCAACGACACTTTGCGCATCGCCAAGCACTTCAAGAAGATGTTTGCTGGTTTGTCCGGTCTCGTGATGGACGATGAAGCCATCATCTCAGGGTTCACGTCGAAGGAAGGCGAGATCGTCAAGCTGAAGAAGGAAATTTCCCTGGCAAAGACCCCGCGAATCAATGACTGGCTCGCTCTCCTCGAGAACGGCATGAAGTCCACGCTCGCCGAGCTCCTGGCTGAAGCCGTGGACCAGTACACACCAATCTTCGAATCGGAGACCATAGAGATCGAGGCCCTGAACGCGTTCATGGAGCAGTTCCCTAGCCAGATTGTTGTCCTGGCTACCCAAGTCGTCTGGACCACAGCCGTGGAAAAGTCTCTTGGCGCTGGTGGCCAGACCTTGCAAACGCTCTTCGAGCGAGAGGTCCAGGTTTTGCGTGTGCTCGCCGACACCGTTTTGGGCGAGCTGGAAGTCACCCTTCGCAAGAAGTGCGAGCAGCTTATCACCGAGTGTGTCCATCAGCGCGACGCCATCGAGAAGCTCATCAAGGCTGGCGCAAACTCCGCCGGTCATTACCTCTGGCAACTGCAGATGCGCTATGTCTACACGCCCGAGGGCAACTTCCTCGACCGTCTCCATGTTCGCATGGCCAACGCCAAGCTCAACTACGGCTTCGAGTACTTGGGTGTTCCAGATCGCCTCGTCCGCACACCTCTGACCGACCGTTGCTTCCTCACTCTCACGCAAGCACTGTGCCAGCGTCTGGGTGGTTCGCCATACGGCCCTGCTGGTACCGGCAAGACGGAGTCGGTCAAGGCGTTGGGTGTCCAGCTTGGAAGGTTTACGCTGGTCTTTTGCTGCGATGACACCTTTGACTTCCAGGCCATGGGTCGCATTTTCCTTGGTATCTGTCAGGTCGGCGCGTGGGGTTGCTTCGACGAGTTCAATCGTCTCGAGGAGAGAATCCTGTCCGCCGTGTCGCAGCAGATCCAGAACATTCAGCTCGGTCTCAAGCAGAGTGCCGAGGAGGACAAGGCTCAGATTGAGCTGGTCGGCCGCCAGCTCAGCGTCAACGAAAACACCGGCATCTTCATAACCATGAACCCTGGCTATGCAGGCCGCTCGAACTTGCCAGACAATCTCAAGAAGCTCTTCCGCAGCGTTGCCATGTCGAAGCCCGACAAGGAGCTCATCGCGGAAGTCATGCTCTACTCTCAGGGTTTCAACCAGGCAAAGCAGCTTTCCAAACAGACCGTGCCATTCTTCGACCAATGCTCTGGCCAGCTTTCGAAGCAAGCACACTACGACTTCGGCCTGCGTGCCCTGAAGAGCGTCTTGGTCAGTTCTGGTGGTCTCAAACGTGCTCGTCTCAATGACGGCAATCTAGGCGTCGAAGAGGTCGTCGAGCCAGAGATTATTGTTCAGAGCATTCGTGAGACAATCGCTCCAAAGCTCATCAAGTCCGACGTCGAGATCATGACTACAATTGAGGGCCAATGCTTCCCTGGCATTGAATATGTGCCGGCAAATCTCCAAGCGCTCGAAGAGGCCATCCGCGGCCTTGCTGCGGAGCGTCATCTCGTTGTCACCGATACGTGGATGACCAAGGTGTTGCAGCTGTACCAAATCCAGAAGATTCATCACGGTGTCATGATGGTTGGTAACTCCGGTAGCGGGAAATCTGCAGCGTGGCGCCTTCTTTTGGACGCACTTCAAAAGGTGGAAGGTGTCGAAGGCGTTTCTCACGTCATTGACTCCAAGGTCATGTCAAAGGAGGCCCTGTACGGAAACTTGGACTCGACCACGCGCGAGTGGACCGACGGTCTCTTCACGAGCATTCTGCGCAAGATTGTCGACAACCTGCGTGGCGAAGACTCGAAGCGGCACTGGATCGTCTTCGACGGCGATGTCGATCCCGAGTGGGTTGAAAACTTGAACTCGGTGCTCGACGACAACAAGCTGCTCACGCTCCCCAACGGTGAGCGTTTGAATTTACCGCCAAACGTTCGCATCATGTTCGAGGTGGAGACGTTGAAGTACGCCACCCTCGCTACTGTTAGTCGATGCGGCATGGTGTGGTTCAGCGAGGACACTGTTACACCTGGAATGATGGTCAACAACTATCTCGAGACTCTGAGTAGCGTTCCGTTTGAAGACTTGGATGAAGACAGCGTTGCCACAGGCCAAACGCCCGCCAAGAACTTGGTCGTTCAAGGGCAGGTCGCAGAATTGCTCAGGGCTTACCTAACCTCGGACGACTTCATCTTCCAGGTGCTTGAACGCGCCCAGGGGTACAACCATATCATGGAGTTTACCGTCGCCCGTGTCCTCACAACGCTATTTTCGTTGCTGAACAAGGCGGTCCGCGATGTCATCGAGTACAATGGCCAGCACTCCGACTTTCCCTTGGACCCGGAGCAGGTCGAGGCCTTCATCCCCAAGAAGCTGCTCCTCGCCCTTGTCTGGGCATTGACCGGAGACTGCCCTCTCACTGACCGGAAAGCCTTTGGCGACGATGTCTGCGCCCTTGCCAGCTTCGGATCACCGCCTTTGGACGGCACGAGCTCACTCATCGATTTTGATGTGAGCCTACCGAAAGCAGAGTGGACGTCGTGGCAGAACCAAGTGCCAACTATCGAGGTCAACACGCACTCCATCATCCAGACCGATGTCGTCATCCCGACGCTGGATACTGTTCGACACGAAGACGTTCTCTACTCATGGTTGGCCGAGCACAAGCCTCTTCTGCTTTGCGGCCCTCCCGGATCAGGCAAAACGATGACGCTGTTCAGTGCTCTTCGCAAGCTTCCAAACATGGAAGTCGTTGGCCTCAACTTTTCTAGCGCAACCACGCCGGACCTCTTGATCAAGACGTTTGAGCAGTACTGCGAATACAAGAAGACTCTCAACGGTGTCATGCTCTCACCAACACAAATTGGTCGATGGCTCGTCATCTTCTGCGACGAAATCAACTTGCCGGCACCAGACAACTATGGGACACAGCGGGCCATCTCTTTCCTGCGCCAGCTCGTGGAACACAACGGTTTCTGGCGTACATCTGACAAGTCGTGGGTCACGCTCGACCGGATCCAGTTTGTCGGCGCCTGCAACCCGCCGACGGACGCTGGCCGTACTCCGCTTGGAGCGAGATTCTTGCGCCATGCACCTCTTATCATGGTGGACTATCCAGGAGAACTGTCTCTCAACCAGATTTACGGCACCTTCAACTCGGCCGTGCTCAAGATCATCCCTGCCCTGCGTGGATACGCGGAACCTCTCACGCATGCCATGGTGCGGTTCTATCTCGAGTCTCAACAAAGGTTCACACCAAAGATCCAGCCGCACTATGTATACAGTCCCCGTGAGCTCACGCGCTGGGTTCGAGGCGTGTACGAGGCCATCAAGCCGCTGGAAAGCCTGTCACTCGAAGGCTTGATCCGCATCTGGGCGCACGAAGCACTGCGTCTCTTCCAGGATCGTTTGGTGGCAGAGGACGAGCGAAGGTGGACCGATGAGGCGGTCAGGCGCATTGCGCTTGAGTTCTTCCCTACTATTGAAGAAGACAAGGCTCTCGGCGGCCCTATTCTCTTCTCCAACTGGCTGTCCAAGAATTACGTCCCCGTCGACCGGGAGCAGCTCCGCGAGTTTGTCAAAGCACGACTCAAAACATTCTGCGAGGAAGAAGTTGATGTGCCACTTATCCTCTTCAACGATGTCCTGGAGCATGTGCTTCGCATCGACCGTGTCTTCAGGCAGCCACAGGGACATCTGATCCTGATTGGTGTCAGCGGGAGTGGCAAAACAACGCTCTCGCGATTTGTTGCTTGGATGAACGGCCTCAAGGTCTTCCAGATCAAGGTTCATGGCAAGTATTCTGGAGAAGACTTTGACGAAGATCTGCGCGATGTCCTCCGTCGCTGTGGCTGCAAGGGCGAGAAGATCTGCTTCATCATGGACGAGGCAAACGTGTTGGACTCTGGATTCCTCGAGCGAATGAATACGCTTCTCGCCAACGCTGAGGTTCCTGGTCTCTTCGAGGGAGACGACTACGCTGCCTTGATGACGGCGTGCAAGGAAGGTGCTCAGCGTCAAAATCTGCACCTTGACTCTCCGGAGGAGCTGTACAAGTGGTTCACTCAACAGATTGTCAACAACTTGCACGTCGTCTTTACGATGAACCCACCAGAGGGTGGTTTGTCGTCCAAGGCCGCGACCAGTCCTGCCTTGTTCAACCGATGCGTGCTCAACTGGTTTGGCGACTGGTCGGATCAGGCTCTGTTCCAGGTTGGCCACGAGCTGACTCACTCTGTCGATCTGGACAGGAGCAACTGGCAGTCTCCCGATACGATTCCTGTGGCCTTCCGCGGGCTCAACCTTCCACCGTCTCATCGTGAGGCTGTCATCAACTCTATGGTCTACATCCACTACTCGCTTCAGCGATACAACAGGAAGCTATACCAACAGCAGAAGAAGGTGACTTTCTTGACGCCTCGTCACTTCCTGGATTTCGTTGGCCAGTATGTCAAGTTGTACAATGAGAAGCGTGAGGACTTGGAAGAACAGCAGCGTCACCTGAACGTCGGTCTCGAGAAGCTCAGGGACACGGTGGACAAGGTCCGTGATCTGCGCGCCAGCCTCGCAGAGAAGAAGACCCAGCTGGAGCAGAAGGATGCCGAGGCCAACGAGAAGCTGCAGCGCATGGTTGCAGACCAGCGCGAGGCGGAGCAGAGAAAGAATACCTCGCTGGAGATTCAAGCAGCGCTGGAGAAGCAAGAAGCAGAAGTGGCAATGCGGAAGAAGGTAGTTTTGGAGGATCTCGCCAAGGCCGAGCCCGCCGTCGAGGAGGCCAAGGCCAGCGTCAGCAACATCAAGCGACAACATCTCACCGAAGTCCGGTCCATGGGCAACCCCCCGCAGGGCGTACGACTTGCTCTCGACGCAGTCTGCACACTCCTCGGACACCGAATCAACGACTGGAAAGCGGTCCAGGCGGTCGTGCGAAGGGATGACTTCATTGCGAGCATTATCATGTTTGACAATGCCAAGCAGATGACCAGGCCGTTGAGGATCAAGATGCGCAACGAATTCCTGTCCAACCCAGAATTCACCTTTGAGAAGGTCAACAGAGCTTCCAAGGCTTGCGGTCCTCTCGTGCAATGGGTCGCGGCTCAGGTCAACTACTCGGACATTCTGGATCGGGTCGGGCCGCTCAAGGAAGAGGTGACGCAGCTTGAGGAGCAGGCCCTGCAGACAAAGGCCGAGGCCAAGGCGGTGGAGAGCAACATTGCCGAACTGGAGGCCAGCATCAACACATACAAGACGGAATACGCCGCGCTCATCAGCGAGACCCAAGCCATCAAGGCCGAGATGTCCAAGGTTCAGTTCAAGGTCGACCGAAGCGTCAGGCTCCTCGACAGCCTGTCATCGGAGAGGACACGTTGGGAAGAGGGGAGCAAGTCTTTTGAGACGCAGATCAGCACTCTCGTAGGCGACGTCCTGGTTGCTGCCGCGTTCTTGGCATACAGCGGTCTCTACGACCAGACCTTCCGAAAGAGCATGATGGACGACTGGTGCCACCAGCTTCACCTATCTGGCATCCAGTACAAATCTCCGAACCCCGTCACCGAGTACCTGTCGAGCGCAGACGAGCGGCTCAGCTGGCAAGAAAACACGCTGCCCGTCGACGACTTGTGCACGGAGAATGCCATCATTCTCAAGCGGTTCAACCGATACCCTCTCATCATCGACCCATCAGGAAGGGTTACCGAATTCCTTCAGAAAGAGTGCAAGGACAGACGCCTCACTGTTACGAGCTTCTTGGACGATACTTTTACTAAGCAGCTCGAGAGCTCTCTGCGTTTCGGCAATCCCATTTTGATACAAGACGCCGAGCATCTAGACCCCATTCTCAACCACGTCTTGAACAAGGAGTACCAGAGAACCGGCGGCCGCGTCCTGATCCAGCTCGGCAAGCAAGAGATTGACTTTTCGCCGTCGTTCAAGCTCTACCTGTCAACACGAGACCCCTCCGCGCAGTTTGCTCCCGATATTTGCAGCCGAACCACCTTTGTCAACTTTACGGTCACCAAGAGCAGTCTGCAAACACAATCTCTCAACGACGTACTCAAGTCGGAGCGACCGGATGTCGACGAGCGTCGCACCAACCTCATCAAGCTCCAGGGAGAGTTCAAGGTCCACCTGCGCCAGCTCGAAAAGCAGCTCCTGCAGGCTCTCAACGAGTCTCGCGGCAACATCCTCGACGACGACAACGTTATCGAAACGCTCGAGACGCTCAAGACGGAGGCCGCTGAGATCTCGGCCAAGATGAGCAACACCGAGGGTGTCATGGCCGAAGTCGAGGAGATTACCCAGCAGTACGGCGTCATCGCCAGCTCCTGCAGCGCCGTGTTCGCCGTCTTGGACCAGTTGCACTTCCTCAACCACTTCTACCAGTTCTCGCTGCAGTACTTCCTGGACATTTTCCAAATGGTGCTGCACGGCAACCAGCATCTGGCCGGCGAGACCGATCACAATGCGCGCCGCGATATCATCGTCAAGGACTTGTTTGTAAACACATTCAAGCGAACGGCACTTGGTCTACTGCAGAAAGACCGCATCACCTTGGGCATGCTGCTTGCGCAGGCCTCGCCGTACAAGATGGACAAGTCGCTTATTGATATCATCCTCGACCGCCGGGTCCAAGGCAAAGACTTGTCGTCCAACCCTGAGCTCAGAGACGAGGCATTCATGCAGGCTAGGAAGCTCGGCGTGCTCAAGGAGAAGCTGGACGGCATATCAAGTGGTGACTGGGACAGGTTCCTCGCTGAGGAGCTCGCCGAGGCGGCTGTGCCCCGAATTTGGGACGAAAACACCGGGCCTGTTGACCAAGCGCTGCTGTCGCTCCTGCTCGTGAAGCTGTTCCGCATGGACCGTTTCGTGCCGGCGGCTGAGCGCTTCGTCGGCCAGGTGTTTGGCAGCGACATCTTCGACTACGTCGAGGACCTCGGGGCAACAGTCACTCAAGTCTCGGCCAGGCTGCCAATTGCTCTGGTGTCCAGTCCTGGATTCGACGCAAGCTACAAGGTGGACAACCTCGTGGAGAGGATGAACGTCAAGTGCACCAACATTGCCATGGGTTCCAACGAAGGCTTGGCCAGCGCGGACAAGGCCATCAGCAACGCAGCTCAGACGGGCTCATGGGTACTTGTCAAGAACGTTCATCTCGCACCTACGTGGCTCCAGAGCCTGGAGAAGCGAATGGAGGCGCTCAACCCGCAAAAGGACTTCCGCCTCTTCTTGTCGATGGAATCGAGCCCCAAGATCCCCGTCAACCTGATTCGAGCCTCTCGCGTGCTCATGTATGAGCAACCCGCCGGTGTGAGGGCGAACATGAAGGACTCGCTTTCGTCACTATCGACACGGGCGACCAAGAGCCCCGTGGAGAGGACAAGACTCTACCTGCTCATCTCGTTCTTGCATGCAGTGGCACAAGAGCGGCTTCGGTATGCGCCGAACCTTGGTTGGAAGGGCTTCTGGGAGTTCAACGACAGCGATGTAAGTACCACTGCGCGTGATAGGGAGATAGCTTGCTAACGGTCTTTAGTACGAATGCTCTGCATTCATCGTCGACACGTGGTTGGAGGGCGTCGCTGGCAACCGAACCAACATTGCGCCGCAAAACATCCCGTGGGACATGATTCGATACCTAGTGACGGAGACATATGGCGGCAAGATAGATGACGAGGGCGACTTCAAGCTTCTCGGCCAGTTGGTGGCCTCTTTCCTGACACCGGCAGCATATGACGTGGACCACAAGCTCGTCGACGGACCGGACGGAGGGCTGCTCGTACCCTCGGGCACGAGCCTGCAGGACTTCATGGGATGGATTCACAGGCTGCCAGAGCGCGAGCCGCCAACATACCTCGGGCTGCCGGCCAACGCGGAGAAGCTCTTGTTGGTAGGTCTCGGAGAGAACCTGGTCGCAGACCTAGGCAGGGTGACGGAGCTGCTCGACCAAGGAGAGCAGCTGGTGACGGATTCGTGAGGCCGTTGAGGCACACTCTCTTCTTTTCTTCTGTTTGCTGTACTTTGCTCGACTGATGCTATTACATGGCGGCGCCCCGGTGTGGTTCTTTCATGGTAGAAAGGGGATTGCAGAGATACCCGGACACGAGTTGGCTGTACAGAGAATCTCCTCTTGTTATTGTTGTTGAGTAAGAGACTTTGACAGTTTGATTTACGTTTGCGTATGAAGGCACGCGTGATACGTGGCGAGAGGGTGCTCATAAGGCATTTACAATGGACGAGCGGGAAGACGACCAAAGTGGAAAGGCGCGAGTCGAGTTTAGTATCATGGGTAGCAGCGGCTTCGGATGGCCTCCCGCAATGGTGCCCGGTTGGTCGGCGATGGTGTGGTCGGACGCCAGGTGGGAGGAAGACAGGTTGGTCCAACGTCGCGGAGAGGGAGCCATCGTTTGTGTCAAACTAGCATGGATACACCGCCTGCATGCTTCCCCGAGCAGCTGAGGCGAGGAGGGGCAGTAAATAGCAGTGAACGGCGAAGTGATGGTGGTGGTGACGAGGCATGCATGATGAGCAGGTAGTGGTGTGGCAGGCCATGCGTGTTGTGGGTTACAATGTAGGTGGCGGCGGGGTGGGCGCGGTGCGGCGCGAGCTGGGGTGCGTCGGTGGCGTCGACTTTCTTGGGCTGCCGTTGTCGAGGTCAGAATGAGCGGATGCGATTTTTTTTTTGTCGATTCGAGGACTGGGGCAGCGGCGGCGGCGACGAGCATGGCGATGTCGGGACGTCGGGGCGAGACGTCATGTACGAAAGTACTGACATGTAAGTCAGAGAGGCTGACGACAGGCAGTGGGCACAAAGGCCAATAGGGCGCTGGGGACTGCCTCGACTGCCCATCAGTGAGGCGGGAGCAGGGGGGATCAGACAGAATCCAGACCAAGGGCAGTGGGCGGGTTTCTTGCAGGCGAGCCACTCAGCAGCGAGCGGCCAGTCGCGGCGTCAAAACCTGAGGATTCGATGCGTGGATGGAGCTATGTACCTACGTGCCAGATGGGATCGATTCGCTCGCATGAGGTGCCGCCCCGGAGAACAAGGTCCTGGAGCGGCGGGATGGGTACCCGCTGAAACGGGCGCGCTGCAGTGGACCCGGCCGCTAATACGCTACGGCGGTAACTACTACCTAGTAGGTATCCATGGATACTGCGGTACGAGGCGCATCATCGCTACAGGTGTATTGTACGCAAGTACAAACAGGTTCTCGTAAGTACGAGCGCATCGTCATGCAACGCGCGAAGAATGTGCCCGTACGTATTTGCTCGCTGCAGGTTACACGGGGCGGGCAAAGGCTTGCGCGTCGCGGCCGGCCGGCAGTGAAGCTGTCTGTTTCCCCTCCCCCCTTCTCCGGCTCCATGCTTTGAGACTGCCTCGGGCCCCCTCATCCTTCTTCTTCCCGCCGAACCATCACCACCCTCGGGCTCCTGGTGAGACATCCAGACACACACCTAGCCAAGCCAGCGAACCTCAGGGGGGGCGAGGACCCAAGAGCCGCCAGAGCTCAAGGCGACGCGCGATGGGTGGTGCATGGGTGATGATGGGGTTCGTGCGCGTGTGTGTGGGTGGTGGTGGTGGTGGTGGTGGTGGTGGTAGTGGTGGCCACCCCTTAACACCCCCGAGGTCACCTGCGCCGCCCAGTTTGTCGCAGGCGCTGCCGCTGGCGCGCGCAGTGATTGGCACCCGCGGCGGTGGAGCGGCGATGCGTGACGTGATGATGGCCGATGAGGCCGGCGGGATCGAGCTTGCTTGCTTGGTCCATGGACCATGGGCAAAAGCACGGGCAGGCAGGGTCGCACTTTTCGGTTCTAGGCTGACCCTGCTCGTAGGTACCGCGGTCCTTGCTGGAGCAGCTACAAGGTAGGTATACTTGCACTCTACTGCCGTCGTCCACTGTGACGCTTGTCTATTCTGCTTGCCAGCAACTAGGTAAGCGAGCTTTCTACTGCCATACCACTCAAGGCGCCTGCGGCGACGCGTCGTCCCAAGTACGCAGTACCTGCCTGCACCTGCCGCGATCGATGGGAGGAACCCAAGTGGGCAAAGCATGGCAGCGGCGGCCGCTAGAGCTGCCGTTGATGACAGGCCAAGCCGCCCGCCGCCTGTCAGGACGGACGAGAGCCCTTCACCGTTTCTTGTTTAAGCAACCAGCAAGGTACCTCGCTAGGTAGTATCGTTGTACTCCGTACCTTGCCTCTCGCAGTTGCACCCCCGGACCTGTCTTGTTAGTGCTCCAAGCCTGTGCTCCATGTCGTAAAACGTAGTCCCTACCAAAAAGGCAGAGTGAGCTCATCCCTCCCGCCTTCCCCGCAGCTGCCTCCCGTTATAAGCCTTTACATTCCCCCGTGCCCTGGCAACTGCCCGGCTCCCGTCCTCGTTCCACCACCGACTTGCTCGCCCGCTGCCTCTTTTGCAACTTTCTCCTCGGATTCAGAAGTAGCAGCTTCGAACCTCATTCCCCCGTGCTCCTCGCTGCGCTTCGCCTCGCCCCGCCGATTCTCCCACTTATACCCGTGCGCCGCTGCGAACCCGCTGCGTCGCAGCACCCGCCGCCGCCATGGCCAACTGGAATGCCTGCAAGTCCCCCCGTTCCCCCCGGGTGCAAGCGACCACGGCAAACGATATCCGTCTGGTCGGCCTGTTCCAAGTGCTAACTTGCTATCCCAGGGAACCCCTTCACCAAGCGCGAGTCGCACACGTCGGGGTCCATCACCACCTACAAGATCCTCACTCTCCTCACCTGGCTCTTGTCCGTCGTCGTCTCCGTCTACTACACCATCCACAAACCCCACGATGGCTTCACCATCCGCAAGCGAATCTGGGACCAGAACTACCTCTACCCCAGCGCCTTTACCATGAATCACATTCTTGGCGACGTTTACTGGTACTGATTTTCCTTACCCTCTACCCGGCTTCTCTGCCGTGTGTTCATCCGCAATTCCTTCTAATACTTAAATCTTTTAGGGTCGGCCTGTTCGTCCTCCAGTTTGGCTACATCACCCACCTCTTCTCCCGCAACGCCGACACGGTCAATGCCGCCGCCAGCGTCGGAAGCCACTTCATCCTGAACAACCTCTTCCACTTTGGCTTCGTCATGCTCTTTGTCCGCTCGCACTTCCACTGGGCTGAGCTGCTACTCATTCTCAACTTCATCAATCTGTCGTCGCTCTACTTCCGCCACCACACGTACCCGCGCTTCATCCATGCGCCCACCGTCTCGGGGCCCCTCGCCTGGACCTTTGTCGCCATCTACTGGAACGGAGCTATCATGGTGCCGCACCAGCATAGCCTCGTGGCTCGCATCTTTGGCAACATCTTCATCTGGTCCATTCTCGTCTACGGAATGTTCTTCATCATCATCTACAAGGTATGCCTCTGGACGCTAGCCGAAGCGTGAAACACAGTTTGCTGACTTTACGCAGGACTACACCATGGGATTCGCCCTCAGTATGCTCGCTGCCGCCATTGGTGTCGCCCAATTCACGCGCAAGATCATCGCCCTCCAGTGGATCTTTGCCTTCATCATCATGGCCCTTCTGTTCATCATGACAGTCGTCGTGGCCGTGCCCGCTTGGACTGGACGAGAGATCAGGTGGCGACGAGCTGAGCCGGCCGACCAGGAGCGCGCTCCCCTGCTCAACGAGTAGTGTGCTCGCACGCCAGTTTTGCGCTCGCCGCCTCGAAGCTTCGGTAGCGCCCCAATACGGCACGCTGTGTCACCCCAAGTCCGCCTCCGCCCCCACCAGCGACTGTCATTCGCTGCCAGACGGAGACTCTATTTCACTTTACTACAAAGTATGACGTGGTCGCGATTATCGCTATCATGATTGCGAGGGAAGGCATCGCCGAGTGCGCTTGTTTTACTTTCCCATACCTGCCCATGATGCAGCGGGGAACCCCCTCTGCTCTGAGTATCATGCCCAAGGCGTTTGGTTGCAGGCAGCTTGGGATTGTTTGCGGGGACCTTTTGCGATGTGATAATTCAGGATCGTCGGTTATTCGTGTGTCAGGTAACAGCAGCGTCGGTTATTGAACGTTTGGAAGCTCCTCGTCCATGTATGGATGTAACCCTGATGGCCTGATGCGTGTGATTGTGGTATGACGTAGGACGAAGTTAGCATGGATGGGTGGCCGCGCTAGCGCGGGAGCTCCTATCGATAAGGCGGGTCATCACCACGAGGATGCCAAGTTGCCAACCGAAATCCAGTGAAAGAAAGCAATGCACGGAGCATCGGCAGTTTTGCAGCCACTCTTCCGTCCGGCATCTCCTTGCAGGAGCCGACGTCAATGAAGCCGCTGCGGGCGTTCCCGTTCCCGCTCAACGTCGGCACCGACATTTGCCAAATCTCGCGCATCTACACCATCCTCCGCGGCCCGCGCCGGGCGCGCTTCGTGAACCGCATCCTCGCGCCCGAGGAGCTCGCGCAAAGGGACCCGCGGCTGGCCTTTTTGGCAGGCGTGGGCACCACGAAGTCGTCGTCGCAGACGAGCGCGCGCGAGGCCGTCAAGCATGACGCCGAGGTAGCGCTGCGGGAGACGCCGCTGTGGAAGTCGGCGGCGTTTCTGGCCGGCAGGTGTGCTTGCCCTCCCTCCTCTCTCTTCACTTGCCTATCCATCCTCAGATCTCGCCTGGGACGGTCCTGGGGCCCGCGCCTGGGACGTCGTCGGCAGCGCGGGGACAGGCACTGGTACCGGACACACACTGACTGACGAGGACGCGCAGGTTCGCGGCCAAGGAGGCGGCCATCAAGGCGCACTCGCACCGGCGGCTGACCTTTCACGACGTCATCATCGAGCGACGAGCAGGCGGCGGCGAGGGGCGGCTAGGGAGCGGACCGCCGGTTGCGCGGATACGGGCGCCGCACAAGAAGACGGGGGACGAGGCCGGAGCCGGAGAGGAGGAGGGGGAGAGGGAGGATATGAGCGCCATGATCTCTATAAGCCATGATGGGGACTATGCGACTGCGGTGTGCCTTGCGCACGACCCGAGCGTGGTGGAGGGTGGGAAGGGGGGGGCCTGACGGGCGGTGACAGAGCGTGGGAGAGGAGGCGCAGAAGGAGAAGATACCCCAAGGTGATTTGCATATTTATCATATTTTATCTATGGATTACACTGTATATGGTCATACTATATTTGTTAGATGGTGAGGACTCGAAGAGCCCCCTTGGTTGTGGAAGAATGGTAGTATGATGCCCCAAGTCCGGAACACAGAGCCTGGATTTTGCTGCTGTGTCTACTTCGTACGAAGGGCTGCAGAGAATATACACAAAAAAAAAAGGGAGGACATTCACGCAAAGCACATCGATACCGGGCATCGCCATGCACAAAAAAGACACAGAGGGCGCGAGGATGAGTGCTGCGCAAAAAAGAACAAGCACGCCGGTATACCAGGGACTCGAACCCTGAGCCTTAGTCTGGTTCCTGTTACCCAAAGGATGGGACAATAGGAGGACTACGCGCTACCATTGCGCCAGCACACCGTGGATACTGTCGCGCTCACCAATGGTGATTGGCTAAGCAAGGGATGCCTATTTTGCTTTATGAGGGGCTACAAAAACGGACCCGACCGCCAAAGACCGGATCTTGGAGGCTATCAAGTAAGGTGAGAGGGCAACTGTTGTTGTAAACTGCGCATCTGTCGAGGAGAAGTGCCTGACCTGTTTGCTGGAGATTGTGACGACAGTTGTTGTACGTGACAGCGTGAGCGACGCGATGCGGTCCGCGTCTTGGTGAGTGCGGGCCGTCGGTGCTGCAGTCGCCCGCCACGCATTCGTTACCTGCTGGACGGACGGTCTTGGCCTGGCAATGCAAATGAGCGCGGGGCGGCAAAAGAACTGTATCAGGACGTCTTCCCCGCGCGACGTCGAGGGCGACCGCCCTGGATGCCGTGGCAGGGTGAGTGACAGATGCCCACGGAACGGTGGCCGCCCACGAGCGCCGGAGAGTCGAACGAGTCAGTGGTGCCGGCTCCGATGCCGAGCGCGCGCATGGGCAGGAGTCCTCGGGGGCGGGATTGGGGCTAAAAGCACGCTGCAGCCGGGGCAGTCGGGGGCCCCGGGTTTCTGTTTGAATGATGGGGCGGCATTCGTGCGTGCGCCTGCCTGCCTGCTTGCTGGGCTGGGCTGCTGGAGTGCCACCGCGCCATCGGGCATCGCTACGACGTGTACATAATACACAATTATATCGCAGTAATTATTGTACGGCCGGTGCAAAAGGCGCCGTGCGAGGCCAGCGCACATGTGACGAGCAGCGCATGAAACGCAGGCTGCCCGCCGCGACTCGTCGTCCTCGACGGCGCCGTCTCTGTCTCTCGCCCACATGACTTCATAGCAACGGACTGGCAGGCGCAATTCTCCGTTGCGCCTGCCCACGGACTGGACGCAGGCTGGCATGTGAAGCCGCTGTCCCGAAGCGGCCTAGCGCCGCCTCCGCACCCTGGGGCGGCGTGGGGAATCTGGCAGCGACGCCCCTCGCCGCTCGGTACGGGAAGCCAGCAGCGAGGGAAAGAGCTACCCGACCCGCCCAGCTCAGCCGAGGCTCCAGGCTCGCCGGCGTCAGTTTGGGCCAACCGACGACCGAGTGAACAAAAGGGCAGAGCTGCTCTCCATCTTCCGCCTCCTGTCCCCCCTCCTCCTCCTCGTCGTGCCTCTCCTCATCCCCCCTCCTCCCATCTACATACCGCTCCCAACCCGCATTTATACCCCGGGCCTTGTTTCGTTTCCGTCTTGCTTTTTTTCCTCGCGGGCAGAGAGACAGACGGCTCTTCAGCGACGTCACCACCACCACCGCACATTTACGCACGCACGTACACACACACAATGGCTGAGCAATTGCGATACGACGGCCAGGTCGTCGTCGTCACCGGCGCCGGCGGTGGCCTCGGCCGCGCGTATGCCCTCTTCTTCGGCTCCCGCGGCGCTAGCGTCGTCGTCAACGACCTCGGCGGCTCCTTCAAGGGCGAGGGCAACTCGACAAAGGTGCGACCTTTCCTGCGCTGGTTTCGCTTGACTTTGAGGGACTGCGGCTAACCCCGATTTACAGGCTGCTGATGTCGTCGTCGACGAGATCAAGGCCGCTGGCGGCAAGGCCGTCGCCAACTACGACAGCGTCGAGAACGGCGAGCGCATCATCGAGACGGCCATCAAGGCGTTTGGCCGCATCGATATCCTCCTCAACAACGCCGGTATCCTGCGCGACATCTCCTTCAAGAACATCAAGGACCAGGACTGGGACCTCATCATGAAGGTCCACGTCAAGGGCGCCTATAAGTGCGCCCGCGCCGCCTGGCCCCATTTCCGCAAGCAAAAGTACGGCCGTGTCATCAACACCGCTTCGGCCGCCGGCCTGTTCGGCAGCTTCGGTCAGACCAACTACTCGGCCGCCAAGCTCGCCATGGTTGGCTTCACCGAGACCCTGGCCAAGGAGGGCATCAAGTACAACATCCTCTGCAACGTCATTGCGCCGATTGGTAAGACTCCGCTTCACATGCAAAAGCCCGTAAGCAGTGGGTGCTGACCTCCGTCCCAGCCGCCAGCCGCATGACTGAGACCGTCATGCCCCCTGATGTTCTCGAGAACCTCAAGCCCGATTGGGTCGTTCCCCTTGTCGCTGTTCTCGTCCACAAGAACAACACGTCCGAGACGGGCGGCATCTTCGAGGTCGGTGGTGGCCATGTCGCCAAGCTGCGCTGGGAGCGCTCCGGCGGTCTCCTCCTCAAGGCCGACGACTCCTACACGCCCGGTGCCATCCTCAAGAAGTGGAACAAGGTCGTCGACTTCTCCAGCCCTCAGTACCCCACCGGCCCCAACGACTTCCTCGGCCTTCTTGAGGAGTCGATGAAGATGGGCCCCAACGAGCAGGGTGAGAAGCTCGACTTCACCGGCCGCGTTGCCCTCGTCACTGGCGGCGGCGCTGGTATCGGCCGCGCCTACGCTCTGGCCTTTGCCAAGTACGGCGCCTCCGTCGTTGTCAACGACCTGGTCAACCCCGATGACGTGGTCGCCGAGATCAAGAAGATGGGCGGCAAGGCGGCCGGCGTCAAGGCCTCAGCCGAGGACGGCGACGCCGTCGTCAAGGGCGCCATCGATGCCTTTGGCCGTGTCGACATCATTGTCAACAACGCCGGCATCCTGCGGGACAAGGCCTTCTCCAACATGGACGACAACCTGTGGGATCCCGTCATGAACGTGCACCTGCGCGGCACCTACAAGGTCACCAAGGCCGCTTGGCCTTACTTCCTCAAGCAGAAGTATGGCCGCGTCATCAACACGACGTCGACCAGCGGTATCTACGGCAACTTCGGCCAGGCCAACTACGCCGCCGCGGTAAGCAGACACCCCCTGAGCTACCATGCTGAGATGCATAAACACTGACGCTAACTCACGCAGAAATGTGGTATTCTGGGCTTCTCCCGTGCCCTGGCCCTCGAGGGCTACAAGTACGGCATCTACGTCAACACCATCGCCCCCAACGCCGGCACCGCCATGACGGCCACCATCATGCCCGAGGAGATGGTCCAGGCCTTCAAGCCCGACTACATCGCTCCCCTCGTCCTCGCTCTCTGCAGCGACAAGTGCCCCGACCCGACCGGCGGGCTGTACGAGGTCGGCAGCGGCTGGTGCGGCCGCACGCGCTGGCAGCGCACCGGCGGTCACGGTTTCCCCGTCGACGTCAAGCTCGTCCCCGAGGAGGTCGTCAAGCACTGGAAGGACATTGTCAACTTCGACGACGGCCGCACCGACAACCCGGAGAAGACGCAGGAGTCGCTGCAGAAGATCATGGCCAACATGGAGAACAAGGCCGGTGCCAGCCAGGTATGAGAACTCACTCTCTCGTCATGCCCGGCCCGTGTATCTGTAGCAATACTAGCGCTAGGAATTTTGTAAAAAAAATTCAAAATGAGAAATGATCACGCCACAAACGAGACTTGACCCGATGGCTGATTCGCGTGTCTTTACAGGGTGCCGGCTCTGCTCCTGCTGGCAACGAGTACCTCTCTGCCATTGCCGAGGCCGTCAAGACCGAGGGCAACCCGTGCGAGTTCAAGTATGAGGAGCGCGATGCCATCCTCTACAACCTCGGCGTCGGCGCCAAGCGCACCGAGCTGCAGTACACCTTGTAGGTGGTTTCTTGCAACCATACCGTGGAGTGATGCCCGCAGGCTAACCACCGTATTAGTGAGGGCAACGAGGACTTCCAGGTCCTGCCCACGTACGGCGTCATCCCGCCTTTCAGCACTGAGATGCCCTTCGACTACAACGCCATTGTGCCCAACTTCTCCCCGATGATGCTCCTCCACGGCGAGCAGTACCTCGAGATCCGCCAGTGGCCGCTGCCGACGTCGGGTCGCCTCGTCTCGCGCGGCCGCCTCCTCGAGGTGGTCGACAAGGGCAGCGCCGCCATCGCCAAGAACGGCATCACCACGGTCAACGCCGAGACGGGCCAGGAGGTCTTCTACAACGAGATGACCGTCTTCCTGCGCGGCTGCGGCGGCTTCGACGGCCCTAAGAAGGGCCAGGACCGCGGCTCCGCCACCGCCGCAAACGTGCCCCCCAAGCGCGCCCCGGATGTCGTCGTCGAGAGCCAGACCACCGACGACCAGGCTGCCATCTACCGCCTCAGCGGCGACTACAAGTATGCACCCCCTGACGAGCTGCCGCTGCGCTTGAACAGCTCTTTGAGCCAAACTGATGCTGACTGTCTCGTGTCCGCAGCCCCCTGCACATCGACCCTGCCTTTGCCAAGATGGGCGGCTTCAAGGCCCCTATCCTGCACGGCCTCTGCACCTTTGGCATCGCCGGCAAGGCCGTCTACGACCGGTAGGCTCCCTTTCTCCCTCCCTCCCTCGCTGTTCCACGTGTTCGCCCGCCTAGCGAACAAGTGAACAAACCAAAAAGAACGTGCATGCTGACCGATGACACCTTTCTACAGCTTCGGCGCCTTCAAGAACATCAAGGTCCGCTTCGCCGGCCCCGTCATCCCGGGCCAGACCATCGTCACCGAGATGTGGCGCGAGGGCAACCGCGTCGTCTTCCAGTCCAAGGTCAAGGAGACGGGCAAGCCCGCCATTGCCGGCGCCGCGGCCGAGCTCATGACTGACGACAAGAGCAAGATGTAAAAAGCAAAGCACGAAAGGGGTCCTTACGAAGCAAGGACGGTGGTGAAAGACTATGAAATTGTGGGATATCCGCACTCCCAAGAGGGCTGCAATCTGAGAGAGCATTTGGCGATGGGTCATGTATTATAATGATGTCTGTACTGTTAAATGAAGTGCCGCTGGGGTACCATTCATTGCCCCCGCCGTTACCCGACCTATGCCCGCCGTGCGAGATGAATATGAACATATGAGATAAACAGTGAAGTTGCAGGCCGAAGAAGGCCGGCCAGTCCGTGTATTCCTCCCATCCCGTTGGGGGGTTCTCAAGCCGGATATAAAAGATGCCCCGCGTCCGCTCCCAAAACGCCGAGGCAAGTAAAAACCAAAAACGGGGAAATACAGACATTGTAAGGATCGTACAATGGTGAGGATGAGTCGCGGCGAGCAGCCTGCACGCCCCGGCCTCAGGTGAAGAGCACTTCGACCAAAAAGTCGAGCATGTCCGGCAGCGTCGGGATATGCCCTCCCGACAGCATGCGCCGAACGCGGCGGTCCGAGCCGCTCGCAGCGACGCCCGTCTCCAGGTACGTCTTCTCCTGACCCGAGAGCTCGCGCTTCTCCGTCTCTTTCCAGCGGCGCTCGGCCTCGTCGCGCGCCTCCCGTAGCACCTCCTCCACATCCTCCGACTCCCATAGGTTGCAGCGGTCGCACTCCCGACATGGCCGAGGGTCGCCGTCCGGGCGGAAGTGATCGCAGAAGTGGCGGTAGCCCTCGTCGCCGAGATCGGCGCGGCACACGTAGCACATCTTGTATCCGCAGGGGCAGGTCAGCTTGTTGCAGCCCGCGTTCTTGACGAACGAGGTGTTGCACCGCGGGCACACGCGCTTGACCGCTAGGCTCATGGCCTGTTCGACCTGCGTTCGCAGCGCCACGAGCGACGACTCGTGGCACACGTGAATGTCCGTCCACGACTTGTGGCACGAGAGGCAAGACGGCCGCGCGCACTTGGGGTTCTGGCAGTCGAACCGCAGGCCCCGACGCCGGCGGCAGTGCCTCGTGATGGCCCTTTGCCATTCCGTGGTGAGGCCGCTCCAGAGTGTGAGGTTTGTACTGAGCACGACGCAGATGACTGTGGATGCGAAAATAAAGGGCATTGTGAGAATGAGGAACGCGGCGCAGGTGGTGAGAATAAACAGCTTGTAGGCGTTCGCAGCGCTAATGCGCAGTCGTGTCTCATGAGTCGGCATGTAGATGTCGTCAATCTCGGCGTAGTTGCAGAATGGGCAGTGTATCAGCGGCACCTTAGCAGCGACGAGGCTGTGCTCTGCCAGCCGCTGGTCTAGCCGGTGAAGCAGGTCTGCGCCCGACTTTTCGTCCATCAGTGCCCGGTGTATGTGGTCGGCCGGGACGTGGCCGGTGCACCCGTCGCCGTCCACGGCTAAGCACTTCAGCGTGCCCGTCTCGGTGTTCATGCTGAGCCAGCCCTGGCCAAACAGGGCTTCCTTGATAGAATGTTGCACGCAGCGAAAACATATCATATGTCCGCTCTTGCTGCAACTCGTAAATTCCTCAAATGTGCTGGTCACGAAGCAGCAGGAGCACTCGTGCGTTGCGTTGACCTCCTCGGCTTCGTCATTGTTCAGCCGCACTGCCAGGTCCCGGTCCCTGGCCTCTCTATCCAGACGGACCCGTTCTTTCAGTGGCCGCACGAGGGCATCGTACAATTCGCGATCGAGTTCGGCGTTGCCCGTGGTGCGGATCGTGGGTACGATAGACCCTTGGCCAGTCGACCGCCAGACAACGAGCGGGTGGTTCTCGGCGGCGTCCTCGCCGGTCCCCGTCACCGCCTTCCGGCGCAGAATCAGCGATGATATCGTGAAGCGCCACGACTTGGAAGAGAGCGACACGAGGGTCCGTCGGGCATCGAGATAGGAATGGTTCGACTCGGCGAGGACGGCGTTGATGGTGGCTCTCGGCAGGCCGCGAAACTCTTGCCAGGCAAGGGCGCGTACGGCCTTGATATACTCCTGGCTGCGAAAGACGTCTGCCCTTTGGACGCCATCCTGGCCCTGGCCGTTGGTCTCTATCGCCCTCCACCGGCCCTTGACCCAGGCGACGCGGTTCTTGAGGAGCGCGTCAGCGACAAGGGCCAGCCTCGACTCGCCGTCAAAGTTGGACAGCAGCTCGCGGAACACCTCGATCTGTATGTCGGGGAAGACGGCGGCCAGCGCCTCGAGGCTGTTGTTGAGGTCGCGCAGGTTGGGGCGCTCGGGGGGGATGCACGGGAGCTGGGCCTCGTCGTGGATGAACTCGGGCTGCAGGTCGTGCGCCTCGACACCGCTCGACTTGGAGCGGCTAGACGACGGCCTATCGCCCGAGCTGAGCAGGCCTGAAAACACCATGATGGGTGTTCATGCTGGGACGAAGGATCGCGTGTCGCGGCTTCGGCGTCGTTGGGGATGTTGGATGTTGGTTGTTGGTCGGGGGGTGCGTGCGCGTCGGGGTCGCTGGCAGAGTGAGAAGTTGGCCAGCGCTGGAGGTTGACACTGGGCCCGCTAGTAGAGCAAGGCGGTGGGGTCAGCACGGCCCCGCGGAGTTGGGGAAGGAGTGCCGACTTCACATGGCCCCGTCAGAGTGTCACGCGGCCCAACAAGGAATTCGACGACAAGGACGACGACGACAATGGGCGCCATGACAAACAACATGCAGGACCTCGCTACCACCGAATACGATACACAGACTCTGCTCGCGGGCTTATGGGTTTGTCTGCGGTCTTGCTCTTGGCCACGACTCCGTGCAGGGTAGCCTCGCGTCGCGACTCGCCAGCATCACATCGCCAGCTCCTGCCGCACGCAAACACCCTCGCCCAGGATTCCCTCCCAAGAGAGTACCTTTTCTTTCTCCCTCTCTTGCCTGCCTATGCCACCGCAGCAGTTGCGGCAGCCGCCGAATCACTGGCGCCCCCACGCGTCTCGCTGCCCGAAAGGAGCCTCCTCAGGACATTCCAAGTGAGCCTAGCAACGTCATTGTCATACTTATTCCACCCCAAGGAGCAGTACCAGTTGATGCTCCCGACGCTGAATATGAAGCCTCCGCCGTTGGTCTCGTACATGACCATGTCGCTGCGGATCTTGGCGCACGCGGAACCGACCGTGTTGACCATGGGGAACATGGTCTCCTCGTTGAACAAGCCAAAGGTGTCATCGTGCCCCGTGCTCGTCGCCAGGAGGACCGTGTTGGAAGGCGTCCCGAGGCCAAAGTCCAGCCTGTCAATCTCATCGCCTGATGCTCCGCCGCCAAAGCCCTCCGTGCCCAGCAGAGCCACGTTTCCCGCCTCGTCTCTCTCAAGCCCCTCAAACAACCAGGCAAAGCCCCCAGAGCGTGTCACCTCATCGGAGAAGCGGTATGGGACCCCCAAGCCGTTTCCACAGGCGCAGCTCCCGATGCCGAACAGAGATTGCGGAGTCCTCCCTCGGGCTCTCCAGAGGCCGCCGTGCGCGCCATTGAGCGAATGCACGCGCTCCCCGGCAGGGAGTTCGATGGACCGACAGCCCTGGTCTCCCTTGCGTACCTCGACCCTGTGTGGCCTTGCGGGATCGACGACGGCGCACCAGTAGAAGCCGTTACCGCCGAGATACATGATGCTGCCGCCTCGGTTTGCAAAGGCGCGGTAGGCGTTGAGCATCTCCAAGCTGGGATACTCTGGATGGCACCCCGTGATGACGACCTTGTATCCCGCGAGCGCGTCCACGCCCTGCAAGTGCACGTCGTGATCGGTCAGCACGTCATAGCCCCCTCGTCCAAGTTGTTGCTCGAGAAACCCTATCATGAGCTGGTCGGCGCTGAACTCTCTCGGGCGGTGAAAGGCCCAGTTGATGTAGTCGGGTCGAATGTTGAGGATTGGCCGGCGAGACGAAGTGAAGACGGCGCCCGAGCCGTCGCGGTGCACGTCGTAGAGCGAGCACCCCAAGTCGGCTCGGCGCGCCATTCGTCGCCAGTTGGCATCCTTGCGAATAGGCACGCCCCCAGAAAGCTCCATGCGGGAGGCACGGCTTTGGTCGTACATGTGCTCGTTGGCGTAGGCGAGATATGTAAATGTCGAAAGAACGATGGCTGTCTTTGGACGGGTAGCCTGGGACCGTGGATCCGGACGGACGAAGAAGGTGATGGCGTCCGTTATATGTCGGTGTTCTTCGTCCGCGCCTTGCACGATAACGGCGTAGGCCCCCGACGGAGCATCATTGGGGACCTGGACGGTAAAATCTGTCGGCCACATGGCGTCGTCCAGGTCATCCTCGTGGAAGTGAATGGCACCGTACCCGTACTTGGCCTTGGTCCAGTCTGGCTCCGCGCCGTCCCAGCTATGGTCCCTGACCGCTCTGGTAGGGGCGTTGACCAACACGCCGTGATGGACCTTCTCAGACGTGTCGGTGATCTTGTCCGTTGGAATATTCAACGAGAAGTCGTACGACGCCCACGTTATGTAAGTGTTGCCATCATAAGACAGCTCAATGTGGGGTGAGTCTAGACGGCCGTTGAAGAAGCTGGCTGCGGTGGCAGCTGGTCTGAGATCCTCGCCGAAGAGCCCAGCCGCCAGAGTCAAAGGGCTGCTCCCTGTAAGAGCCAGTGGGCCAGGTATAGGCGCGCAGAAGTCGGCCGGTTCCGGGTAGATCTCAGCTAGATTCTCGCAGTGCCTGGCATGGACGGCGAGTTGGCGAGTGTCTATGCTCAACTTCACCTCTGCCCATCTTCGATGGCGCAGTCGTATCCCCGTATCGAACTGCTGAATGGCGTCTCCGGAGCCCACATAGAAACACAATGTCCCTGACTTATTTAGAAGCAAAGCAAAGCCGGACGAGTTGTGAGCGTCCAGGCAAGAAATCAGAGCTTGATCGTGGCCGGCCTCAAGGAGCCACGGTTCGACGAAGCAGCTCAGGCGCACGCCCATGATCCGTTCATTAGGGATGGCCTTCCACGAGTCGACCACGGCGTACGATCCAGAGTTGCATCGCCGGTAAGAGCCATCGATAATGTCTGAGCCAGGGGTCGGCTTGAAGACTAGCTCTTTCTTCACTTCTGGAGCTTTGGGGTGCTCCAGACCTTGGACTATTCGAACGAGCGTCCATGTGTATTTCGGTATCGTGCTTGAAACCTACAATCGACTTGTCAGGTAGTTCCAGTCGATGCACCTGATACTCTTACCTTGACGTCAACCCTCTCTCCAGGAGAAGCCATCCACGGCTCTACATATCCGATGACTTCGTCCTCGTCGAGGTACTTGCCATCTAGAGCACTGCCCGTTGATATTTCAGCGTCGGCAAAATGCCCTCCTGGTGTGGCCATGGTGGCTTTAGCGACGATAATTTGACGTGTGGACTAATAGCCAGCGAACATAGAGAAGTGTCAATTACTCCTGCCTATGCGAAGCTTAAATTCTCTTGGGATCTCGGACGAAGGGATATCCAAGACTGCCTTACATGGAGAAAAAGAAGGTTTTGAGGGGTAAGACCATACTTGGCGAAGGGCGAGCAACAAACCGAGCCCTGTACTGTATCCGTCTGTCCATAATGGGTTTCCCGAAGTCGGCATGTACAGCCTTGGCGATCCCAGGTCGGGCAGCCACAGAACAGCCGACGACTCATCCGCACTTTGGGGAAATGCACCGAACCTAACATGACGGTCTCGGCAACGGCTCACCGATGACGATCTAAGACTCCACTGAGACCCCCTGCTCTCTTCCCCAGACTGGTGCACCCCGCGCTTTTAACCCTTTCCAGGCATGTCCTGTTTGGGCAAGTGAGCACATGTAAGTCGGTACAGGAAATCGACTCGTACAGAAAGCATAGACGTAAGCATGCTATCCATGCATCACTCTTGATAGTTGTGTTGCCTCTCTGGCCAAGGAATCACACATCCTACCAAGGCATGCCGTGTTGCTAGCAGATCATTCCGGACGAACGGATCTCGTACTACATGTGTCTGTTGGATGAATTGAAGAATGGCTTCCCCTGAGAGCCGGACACCTTTCAAACCCGATCTCGGGGAGCTAGATTTCCGGACACTCTGACTTGGCGCGGTCTCCAGCATTTAAGACGGCGCTGCCAGTCGTTTTGCTGCCATTGACTCACCTTTCTCTTGCCGAACAGCTTCTTTATGAGAGTATCAAACAGAAATTCTCAAGGGATGGCGCCCGCCGAGGATTTTCAACATGGCGACGTGCCAGGCACAATTCTTCTCTTTGATCCAAATCACGAGCACGGAGACCGCACTCATCGCGGTGACATAGTTCTCCACCCGACCCCAAGCTTGGATCCCGAGGATCCCCTCAACTGGACGCGCGCTCGCAAGCATCTCGCCGTGTCAATGGTGTATCTTTACACTTTCACCATTGGCATCTGCACGGCCGCCCAGTACTCGATCCTGACTCCCATATCGGAGGCCCAGGGCCTCACAATCAGCCAGCTGAACATCGGCACCGGCATCATGCAGCTGATGCAAGGATGGGGGTGTCTCCTGTGGCAGCCGCTCGCCATGACGTACGGGCGGCGCGTCGTCTACATCGCCACAATCACACTCTCCATCGGACCTGTGATTTGGACTCCATTCTCGAACGGAGCGAGCCAGTGGTATGCGCACCGCATCCTGCTTGGTATCGCTTGCTGCCCCGTGGAGAGTCTGCCCGAGGTTTCGGTGCCGGACCTGTTCTTCGCCCATGAGCGTGGCAAGTACATGGCACTTTACGCCTTTGTCCTGTTTGGATCCAACTTTCTGGCTCCCTTCCTGGCCGGGTTCATCAACGATGGAGTAGGCTGGCGATGGGTCATGTACTTCTCGACCGGCTTATTGGTCATCTGCTCCGTCACCATGTACTTCTTCATGGAGGAGACCATCTACTTCCGCCAGACTACCGAGGGGATGGATCCGTCATCGCTGCGCATCAAGACGGCGGATGAAGAGCCGACCACCGCAGAGACACCGTACATGCAACCGCCAAAGAGCCGACTCGAGAAGCTGTCTCTCATCACAAAGCTTCCAGGTCGGCCAAGCGACAAGCAGATGCTACTCAAGAGCTGGCGGTCACTCAAGATTCTCGTCTTCTTCCCCAACATTCTGTGGGCGGCGTTTCTGTACGGAAGCAACATTGCATGGTACAGCGTAATCAACGCAACGATTTCAATGATCCTGAGCTCGGAGCCGTACGGGTTCAAGCCGACGATTGTAGGTGTGTGCTATCTATCGCCGTTGGTGTTTGGCGCGGTGTCGAGCGCGTGGGCGGGCAACTTTGCGGACTCGGTGGCGCTCAAGCTGGCGCGCCGCAACAACGGCATTCGAGAGCCAGAACACCGGCTGTGGGGGTTAGCAATCGCCGCCATTGCGTCGACGGGAGGGCTCATCATGTGGGGAGTCGGGGCGAGCCTGCAGGCGCATTACATGGTCCTCATCATGGGCATTGGGGTCGTCACGTTTGGCGTCATATGCGCCAGTGCCATCTCGCTGGCGTATGCCGTCGACTGCTTCAAGGAGATTGCCGGCGAGTCCTTTGTGGGCATCATCGTGCTGCGCAACACCATGGGGTTTGCTTTTAGCTACGCCATTACGCCGTGGATCGAGAAGGTGGGCTTGAGGGACTGCTTCATATCGGTGTCGGTCATCTCGCTCGTGTGCACGGGGACGTTTGTGCTCATGATCCTATGGGGCAAGAATTTGAGGAGGTTCTCGGCGGACAGGTACTGGAGGTATGTTGCGGCCGAGAGGGGTGACACTGCGCTTCGGCATTGAGGGCCGGGCGGTGCGCAAGGGTCGGGGTCGAGCGGGATGCTTGGTGTGTATCATTGATGGTAGTTGCATTATCGTACTTACTAAGAGAACAGCTGTTTGGGCACCAGTCCTTCCTTGCTTGACCAGCATGGGAAAGGGTGTCATGATGTAGCAGCAAGGAGAGCCACGAGGGCAGCCAGGGCAAGGAGAGCAACGGCTTAGCGACGGAAGACTTGTAGATAAATAGAATGGACTGGCTTCCATACAGATCCTTGCCTTCCCAATGATTTGCGGCGACCTAGAGGTGGCGCTCATGAAATGGGTCGTCATGGACGGCCGTCCTCGTGGATGTCGAGGGCCACCAGCAAGGCGCAAGTGATGTTGGCTTGGACTTGGAGACAGCGCGCAGCTGGCGAACGCGTGTGGGTTAGACCTTGAATGTGAGGGTTCGGCAGCTCGCTTGGAGGAGGGGCATGGATGGATGGACGGACCGGTTGGCATCGAGTGCCGAACAAGTGCCTTGTGGTGCGGCAGAGGAGGGTTGGGTGGGACAAGTGGACGGGAGGGGCAGTCCGCCCGCCGCCGCCTGGCCGCTGGTGCATGCTGGCCTGGCTGGCATTGAAGCGCACCTCGTCTGGGGTGCCCAGGTGGGCTGTTGACATGGAACGGGGGGCAACGGACCCGGCACCTGGAGCACCTCCCAGGTGGTGCCTTGCCAGACGCGCGTAGCCCTGGAGCCATGGAGCACACTGGGCTTGGTCATCGTGCCCCGGGCTCCAGTCTGATGGACGCGCCGCAAAACCTCTAGCTGGTGCCGCCATGGCTTCGTGTAGAGACTAGACCTACAAGGCCCTCTTCATTCATTGTGCGACTGGATGCGCTCATGAGGGAACGGGCAGCTAACTACAAAATCCCAGCCCTGGAGCGGACGTCGTCAGTGGCACCCGCTGGCAGCTGGCGGGGACGACGGGCTGCAGGGGTGTCGCCGCCAGCTGCACCTGGGCCCCACAAGCCCATCCCTCCCCGGGCGGGTGGTGGGGCCCCCCCAGGCACCCCTCCATGCACACCCTTTGGAACTTCGGCCCAGCTCTTTGACGCGGTCCCTCGCCCATGCTGTTTTGGTTTGTTTCTCCCGTCACCATCAACATCACAAACCTTCACCTTCACCTCCTCGCACAACCTCTTCGCCTCGCACCCTCAACCCGCACCCACTCTGTCACGCATCTGCACCGACCCTCGTATCATCAACGCTCCCTCTCCGCTTCGCACCACCATCTCTTTACCTCGAAACTCAACCACCGAGCTTCACCTCGGCAGCCACTCCGAAGCTCGACGCTCTCTCTTCGACGAACGCATCGTTCGTTTCCGTATGTCCCCCACCCGCCAACTCGCAATGATGGCGTGTAAAAATCCGCCTCGTGCTCATAGTGTCCACCCCAGTGCCTCGTTCGGCTTGCTGGACTGTTGTCGTGCCTGTGCCTGCTTGGCCGCGACTTCATCCCAGCCATCGCAATGGCTGCCTGGGCGACCCTCAAGGTCGTCGACCTCAAGGCCGAGCTTAAGCGCCGTGGCCTTCCCCAGGGTGGCCTCAAGGCTGAACTCGTTGCCCGCCTCGAGGCCGCTGATGAAGAGGCCGGTTCTCCTGCGGAGCTTGCTCAGACTGACGCCGCCGCCCGTGTGTCTCCGGAACACGATGGCGAGAATGGAGATGTCGCAAAGCTAGATGCGGCCCAGGATGTGTCTGAAAATACCTCCCAAGAGACTGGTGATCAACCAGTCGACGCTGGCATTCCCCCACCCACCCCTATTAGCGACCCCGAGTCGGGAGCTGCCCCAGGTGAAGCGCTTCGCGACGCCGGTGAGAGTGAAGACAAGCAGCCAGAGCACCACGAGAGCTATGAAATGCATGGGGCTCTTGCACCAGAGTCCTCTGTCCCCTTGTCAGACACCGCAGCTGCTTCCAGTCTTTCCCCCGGCGCGGATGCCCTCAAAAACGATTCAGTTCCCGAAGCCAGCGCTGAGGACCTCAAGCGAAAGAGACGCTCCGCAAGCCCTACCCCCAAGGAGATGGACGTGAAGCGAAAGCGAGCTCAAGAGGTCACCCAAGACGGTAGCCAGCAGTCGTTTGCCGAACCCGACGCGTCCATTCCTGAAAGAGCTGAAGCCCAGCCGAATGCGTCCGAGGAGAACGCCGCAGCAGCCACGGATGACTTTGACAACGATGTATCGTCAGAGACCTCGCAGCCGAACATTGCCCCCTCAATGCACGCCAACACTCGCGCCATTTACATCAACAACCTCATGCGGCCCTTGCAAGAGAAGGCCCTCAAAGACCATATGGTAGACCTTGAACAGCCTACAGGCGGCAACGGCGACGGAAATGTCATTGAAAGTCTCTACCTCGACCCCCTCCGCACGCACGCTTTTGTTGTTTTCAAGTCCGCATCGTCCGCTGCCCGCGTTCGTCGCCGTCTTCACGGTCGTGTGTGGCCCCCAGAGAGCAATAGGAAGGCCCTCTTCGTCGACTTCGTCCCCCCTGACATGGTCGATGCCTGGATTCGCACCGAAAAGACTAGCAACAGCGGACGGGGTCAGCGCTGGGAGGTCGTTTACGAAAGTGTGGGAGACGCATCAACATTTGGAGCATCTCTTCGATCCACGTCCGTTACTGGCCCTCCGACGGCCGCGCCTGGCGCTGGCGCGCCACCCAGACAGGCGCCGCCGGGCGTTGTGGGCGCTCCGACCGGACCTCGTGGGCATCGCGCTCCAAACACTCGCCCAGACAGCCGCTACCAGCCTGGCACAGGCTCTGCCCCGGGAGCCAACTTCTACCATGATCGGTACCGTACAACCGCCCGCCCGTGGGTCTATGTCCGCGAGGTGCCTTTGGCGCTAGTGGATCGGCGTCTCGCCAACATGCAAAGCTACTATGGCTATGCTCCTGACCCCAGGTCCGATGGGGAGATTAATCGCTATTCTTTCCAGGGCAACCACGTCTTCGTTGACCGCGGCAGAGAGAACTTTGCTGGGGTCCGTCCTCCCCACCGCCAGCAGGGAATGGAACGCGGCCGCGGAGGGCGAGGCGGAGGTCGCGGTGGAGGTCGTGGCCAGTCCCGCGGCGGCGGATATGGCTTCGGACGCGACCGCTACGTCCCTGCCTAAAGTGTACGCAGTGACGATGTCTGTCCACGGCGTGGGGCGTGATTGCGACGATCAGAGTGTTTGATTATCGAGTATGACGACTTTCATGAGCCCGAATGGGGTTTTGCGACAGCTTCATGGCTACAACCTGGCTGTACGGACTCCCTTCACCGGCTTTGCAACCTGTCCATCGGGTCAGGCCGACCACAGATACTTCGAGAACGACCGAAGTGCGACGACGACGAAAAAAAAAACACAATCCCAACAAAACAATGACAGAAGCAGTCTCGAATATGACGACGACTTTAATGCTTAATGATACCCAAGGGATGAAGGCGTTTACCGGGGAAATGACGCACTCGATCCGCGCTGCATGCTGCCGGCCGAGCAGCGTATGTCAACTTTACATTTCACTTCTGAAAAGCTCAGCAGCTGTGCCTTGTGGCACCCACCCAAGGCGGCTCTCGAGCGGCAGCCGGCAACGGCATTGCACCTTGCATGCATCTTTGCCTTGCGGAGCTGCACCTGCACCCGACCACAGACTTGCGGAACACGCAAACTGGCGATGATGCCCTCGTGTAACTTGACGCGATGCACGCATGGACGCCCCTGGCGATGGCACTTGGAACGGAAGAACGGAAGAACGATGATCGGACGACCTTTTCGTGGCGCAAGGCTGGACGAGGGCTAGCCCCTTTGTCACGGCCGAGGCTGTATTCGCCTGCAACCTGAGACATTGGCCAACGGGAGTTGGGATGGATGGCTCTTCGTCACGCGCTCTGACGCGCGCGCGCGCACCCGGGTTGAGATGATTGGACATGTGTGGAAACTTTGGCAGGCTTGCTTGGTTGGGACGCCTTGTCGCCTTGGATCCGTTGGTTTTCGACGGGCGCTGGCAACGAACGGCACGCATCCTGAATGAGCGACCTTGCCTCTTGTATTACTCCCTGCAGGATGCAAATACAGCTGTGTACCTAGACTGCAGTGACGGCTCGTCTGTGCCCTCCATGTCTCTCTCGCGATGCAAATGAGCGATGCTGCCTAGGTAGCTCTTCATGCAACTGGGGCGTCATCAAAGTGGCGACAAACACCAAATCCATTGCATTGCTGGACTATGACAAGCACCAAAAAATACTGTATCAAATCATTTTGGGGGACCGTCTCTTTCGAAACGTCGTGCCACAATTTGTTTTAGACCTGAATATCCCATCCCAATCCATGTTGCAGACGCCACTTGACCCAAACAGAAATGTCACCCTCACGCCAAACCTCTCGTCAGCGCGTTATCACGCAGCGCTGGCGAGGGGCGTGGGCTCAACACCGACACGCTCCTTGCTCAGAATGTCCAGGACAAACTGGCTAGGGCGGTTGTCCTTGTAGATCTTCTGGGCATCCTTGGCGAGCTGGACGTTCTGCAGGTACTTGTCGAACAGGTACGCGCTGTCCATAGGGCCACCCTTGGCCTCAGGGTGGAACTGGGTCGAGAAGATGGGTCGGGTCTTGTGCATCATGCCTGTTGCGTTCTGGTTAGCCTCCTGACACCTTCAAATCCTGGGGGTGAGAACATACCCTCGTTGCTACCATCATTGAGGTTGACAAAGTACTCCTTGAAGTCGCTGGGCAGGGTGCTAGCATCAACGGCGTAGCCGTGGTTCTGGCTGGTGATGTGGCATTGACCGGTGGTCAAGTCGAGGGCCGGGATGTTGTGAGCCCGGTTGCCGTACTTGAGCTTGATGGTGCGAGCGCCGACGGCCAGAGCCAGGAGCTGGTGACCGAGGCAGATGCCCATGATGGGGATAGACGAAGTCTCCATGAGGCGAGCAAGGTTGAAGACAGTCTCCTGGCAGTGAGTCGGGTCACCGGGGCCGTTGGAGATGAAAACACCGTCAAAGTGCTGGGAGACCTTGTGGATCGGGTAGTTGTAAGGGAACACAGTGACCGAGGCGCCACGGCTAACGAGGCTACGCAGAATGTTCTCCTTGACACCGCAGTCGAGGAGCGCAATGTGGAAAGCAGCACCGGGAGACTCGACAACGAAGGGAGCCTTGGTGCTGACGCGCTTGACAAGGTTGATCTGGCCGGGGTCGAGGAAGCTCTCATCCTCGTCGGCGTCGTAGTCCTCACCAATGGAAATCCTAGCAAGGGACGAACCCTGCTCTCGGAGGTAGGTGACGATGGCGCGGGTGTCAACGCCGGAAATGGCAGGGACGCCCTCTCGGGCGCACCAGTTGCCCAGGCTCTCAACGGCGGTCCAGTGGCTGTAGTCCAGGGCCACGTCGGAGACGACAATGCCGGCGCACTGGATGTGGGGGGACTCAAAGTACTTGAGGAGGTTGAAGTCGTCTCGCTCGTTCGAGGGAACGCCGTAGTTGCCGATCAGCGGCTGGGTAAAGACGAGGATCTGGCCTCGGTACGAGGGGTCGGTCATGGACTCGGGGTATCCGACTAGCGAGGTGGTGAAGACAGCCTCGCCCGAGATGTTGGAGTCGGCGCCGAAGGCCTTGCCCTTGAAGACGGGGCCATCCTGTGCAAGGAGTCGTCAGCAATTGTCGAGCCAGGAAGGGTCATAGAATAAGGAACATACTCGGATGGTGAGGGTGGCAGGAGCAGAGGCCACGGGGGCCGTGGCTCGCACACCCTTGAAGCCGATCTTCCTGCCGGTGCTTCCAACAGGGGCGGCCTGCTGGGACAGGAATCGGATGCCGAAGGCGGAAGGGGCGCTCAGCGCGGCGGGCTTAGCCGCCGGCTTGGCGAGGGTGATTGCCAGCCGGGAGAACATGGCAATCGTTTGGTGTTTGCAATTACGTTGTGTTGATGCGAGATAAGAGAGGTTGGCTGGAGATAGGCAGAGGTGTCTCTAGGATGACTGGGACCTCCACAGGTGGTCTGGATCGGTTGTTAGTCGAGACATTTTGTCAGGGCGAGCACACGGCATGCCGGCGGGACAGGCAAGCAGCCGAGCCACACAGGTTGACGCACCAGAGAGATAATCCTGCAGTGAAACGCATTAGCATGCAAGCCACGTAGGTACGAGGGATAGGACAAGGCGCAGAGGGGGGTCGCCGTCGTGGGGAGGGAAACTGGTGGGAGGGCAGTAGGAGCGGTGACCTAGGCTCCGCCAGCGCAGGCGCAGGCGACGGTCACCCGCCCCGACGAGAGCATCAAAGACACGAACCGTAACCTCAATGACCAGGCGGCCGCACGGGCAGGGGCAATAAACGACAACAGAAGGGTCGAGGGATCGGGGGTGCCACAGCATATGGATGTGGAAGCACGATTAGGTATCACTTACTTGAGAAGTGAAGACTGACGGGCGCCCGTTCATAAGGGCGGATTGCAGCAAGCTGCAGAGCAACGAAATGGGAGGGTTGAGGCTGCAGAGGCACTCGGGCGGGATAGGAGGAGAGGAGGAGGAAAGTGTTCCTTGTTCGCTGTTTGGCTGTGGTGCAAGAGAGGTTGCAGGTGACGAAAGTCTGAGGGGGAGAAGGAGAGAGAAGAGGACGACGAAGCGGGAGCGGAAGCGGATGGACGAGGGAATTTGATTCAATGGCGGCGGGAGTGGGTGGCAGAATGAGAAAAAAAGCGGGCTGCCAATGGAAACGGCGGAGTCACAGGTCGGTCCCAGGTCCCCTATCGGCCTCCGGTGTTGGGAGGCGTTCCAACTTGGTGCCTCACCCAGTGCACACTGCGCTTATCCGTTCCATTGGCCCCGCCCCAAAAATTTCCGTCCAAGCGTCCCCCCCCAAAGCCGCCGCCGCTGTGCCCTGGGGCTGCGCGGGACGGGCTGGGCTGCCATGGCTTGCCCGCTTGCATTCGCTGCAGCGGCACGCCCTGCTGGCGCCCCGGCCCCCCGCGCGGCGGACAGGCCCCGATCCACTGCCAGCCAGCCAGCCAGCCAGGGCTTCCAGGTTCCAGTCACCGCCACTGAGTCGCCGTTGGCGCTTGACCGCTTTCGGAGCTCGGCAGTCAGGGCAGCGCCGATATCGTTCCCGCCTGTCACTCGCCATTGTCACCGATCTCAGGGAGAGCGGCACATGCCTTGGCGGCGCACCGTTTTGCGTCCGTAACGTCCACTGTACTATGCGCCGACCGTCCCATCTCAGACATTCAACCTGTATACTCTATTCTGAAGCCCAACACGCAGAGCCTAAAAGAAGAGAATGGCCTGCCGCCTTGGCAGCGTTCCCTCCCGTAGCACCGTTAGTCACGGCTACGACGCCTCGTGCCCACCACCGTCAGCAGCCGTGATCTGTCACAGGTGCATGTTGCCGAGTAGGCACAAAAACCCCCTGCATCCGGCCGACTATGCAGGCGTCTTCCGTGATGGGCTTCACATGACGATGGCATGGCGAGAATCGGACCGGCATGTTCCTCGAATCGACACTGCCGCCGGCCTGTGAAATTGCCATGTGGCACCGCGAGGCTCTTCCCCGCCACGACATATGCAGCCTAGGGCATTGACTGCCATGCCGCCGCGCGCACGCTTCCCGTCGAGCAACACAGCAGCAAGCATGACGTGCGAGCCTAAGCCGCTGACTTCATGTCCGGCGGCTGTCTACAGCCCTGTCCTACGCTGTGCTGCCTCGGGAACTTGCTGTAGCCGCCAGAGACGATGGGACATGCCAGATCGTCCCGACTGCCCCCACAAGCAGAGTCGTACAGCCTCACGTGTGGTGTGTACTTCGTAGAGCCGGGGTCAAGCTCCGGAGTGAACCTCTGATGGCAACCCCTTACGTCTTCCACGACTGTACGATGCTTGGCGCTTGTAACTGTCGCCGTGGGTGCAGCTCATGGCGAGGTGGGTGAATGTCACACTGAGCCATCGGACATCCTTGGCTCTCCATCATCGGACCGGCGAGCATGTGGTATTTACTGCGTTGTATTGTGCTGTCATGTGCCGTGAGCGTACATCTATGGGGCTCCACCTCGTCTGCGCGGGTGCGTCTACAGAGCGCCCAGCTCCTTGAGCTTGCTGACCAGGCCGTCCACGTCCTCGACCTTGCCACCGCCCTGTCTCGCCGGCGGCTCTGTTGTTCATAAATCGTCAGCATCAGATCCTCTCCAGGTGGGATTGGGAAGGGGACGCCGGCCATACCCGTCACCTTGAGCACCTTGAGGCGCTTCTCGTTCTCGAGCCCAAAGTCCTTGAGCGTCAACTTGTCCAGCTTCTTCTTCTTGGCCTTCATGATGTTGGGCAGGCTGGCGTAGCGCGGCTCGTTGAGGCGCAGATCCGTCGTCACCACGAGCGGCAGCTTGGCTCGCACCGTCTCGACGCCGCCGTCTACCTCCTTGGTCACGGTCACGCTGTCGCCCTCGCCGAACTCGACCTTGCTCGCCTGTGTCGCCTGCGACCAGCCCAGGAGGCCCGCCAGCATCTGGCCAGTCTGCGCCGAGTCGTCGTCGATGCTCTGCTTGCCCAGGATGACGAGGTTGCTCTTCTGCTGCTCCGCCGCGGCCTTGAGCATCTTGGCCACCGTCAGCGGCTCCAGGTCGTCGCCCTCCTTGACCTCGACGTGGATGCCCCGGTCCGCGCCCATGGCCATGGCCGTGCGCAGGATGTCCTGCGCCTTGGTCGGCCCGGCGGAGATGGCGCAGATGTCTTCGACGCCGCCCGGGGCGCGCTTCTTCTCGCGGATGCGCACCGACTCCTCGACCGAGAGTTCGTCAAACGGGTTCATGGAGTGCTTGACGCCGGCCGTCTCGACCGCCGTCTGGGCCTTGTTGACTCGCGGCTTGACCTGTCATTGTTTGGGGCCATGTCAGCGACGGTTCTCGTCTCGAAAGTCTCCAGGCAGGCAGGTGACCGAGAGAGGGGTAGCTACCGCATAGTCAATGACCCGCTTGACGGGAACGAGGATCCGTAGAGCAGACATGGCGACTGTTGCAGGTCAATGGCGCCGTGCCGTGCGGTTGTGTGGTGGAGGAAGACGAGCAGTGAGCCGCCGCTGGAGACCGAAGGCCCGCCGTCACTGCCCCGAGACGTTCCGGCTAAGACCGGCTCCAACCTCGGCCACCCGACTCACGTGACTACCCGCATCTACGGTCCGTCGTCACCGTTTTACTCTGCAACCACTTAGACACAGTAAAGAGTGCATGTATTTTCGTGTATAGCCGTCTTGTACCTGGGGACATGGAATTGGGATCTCATTGGTGTCTGCGTTGTATGTGCGGCAACCACCCAACCTCCAATCTGAGGGAGGGTGAGCTGGCCATCAAACTGGTGGCCGCTCCGCCAACATGCCCCAATCTCGCCGAACCGACACAGCGTAATCTTCTTTACTATAAACACGCCATCCTCGTCAATTCCTTCAATTGGAGCTCCAAATCGAGTCTCAAAGACGTGCTACTAATGCTCATAGTCCATACTTGTGCGCCGTCCCCCCCCTAGCCGCCCCGGATCATGATAAAACGCACAAGATGATTCACTGTTTGCCATACTTACATGTGTCTAAGCTTCTTCTCAAAGGCACTACTCACCAGTCGTCCCATTCGTCATTCTTCTTGGCCGCTGGCGGGGCCGCAGCGCTGCCGCGGGCCTTGCCCATGCCCATTGCGCTGGTGCCAATGGAGCTGTTGGCTTTCTTCTGCTCCGCCAGGCTAGAAAAGTCGTCCCAGAAGTCTTTGCGGCTCGCGTCCAGAGGCGCATCCCGACGCGCATGGTCGTTACCTTCGACGAAGCGGTTGAACCCATCGTGCGCGTTCTTGCCAGCCGCTTGCGCCTGCTTTGCCAACGCAGCAGCAGTCAGCTGCGCTTGTTTAGCGAAGTCGCCCTCAGCAAACTGTGTGCAACCTTGCGTCAGTGTTGTACTCCTTTTTTCGCTTCAGCACCGCTTATGTGTGATTGAACTCACGCTCTTCGCGGTAGGCTGGATGTAGCCATCGTTGACAGTCTTGGCCGTTTTCGAAACGGTTGACGTGAACCAGCCGAAGCCTTTTGTGAGCGCTGCCATGGGATCCTTCTGCATGTCCTCAAAATTGGGCAACGGCCCCTGGTTTGATGGCGTTGCAGCCGGCATGTTGCCAAAGCCGCCGTACTTGCCTCCCTGGCTGGGAGGAAGGTGATCGGGCCGGGACGCATTGTCGGCGCCCAGCTTGGCAAAATATCTGTCGTCGACCTTAACCTTGCCGCTGCCGTTCGGCGCCGGACTCTCATCTCGCGTCGACGTTCCGCTGAGAGGTGTTCCCGTCCGGGATGCAGACCTTTGTGCCGAAGCAGTGGCCGCAGCGGGAGACGGGGTCGGCGCCGCCGCGGGCTTCTTCTCGCCCGGGACGTATTCGCGGCCCTCGACCTTGCACGATAGCCTCTCCTTGTATTCCTCGCCCACCTCGCCGCTGTATCGTTCCGCGATGGTGGCGTCGTCCCACGTGATGCCCCTCATTTGTGTGTCCTCATGCTCCTCGAAGAATGTCCTCCATCGTTCGTTGCCCCCGAGGCGCATACGTTCAATCTCGGTCGCCTTGAACGCGTCCATGGAGATGCTTCGCACGAAGGATATGTGAACACCCAGTCCGCGGTGAACGCCGGCGCACGACAGGCAGATGAAGACGCCGAACTTGGGTGACGCCCATTGCGGCGAGGGCGCGTTGCAATCGCAGCAGACACTGTTCTTGGATTCCTTCTGGAGGGCAGCGAGCTATGGTTTCGGTTGTCAGCGCACATTCTACCCCCCAGGGAGGGTCGAGCGCTTCATCCCCCGCATGCACACTGACCTTGGAGCGCGTCTCCGGGTCGACCTCCCACATGGCCTTGGTCGCCATCGCGTGGTTCTGGGCGGCAGGATGGCCGAATTGGCGTTGCACCGCTTCGTGTCTTCGCGACCGAGTTATTGGCGATGTACGGTGGGACTTGGGGATCGTGGTCGGTTCGGGGGGGAGGCGTGGTTGGAACCTGGAAGTGTGCGTGTCGAGCGCCTCCATCCAATGCGCTGCCAGGGAGAAGGGGCCACCTCAGATGGTGCGCCAGGTCAGGCGCCTCCCCTTGCTTTGGCCTTGCGCCAGTGCCCAGCCCAGGAGGCAAGAAACCCCAGGTGCTTGACGGGGCTGGCTGGCGGGGCACCCGCTGTGATACAACCCCGCCGTCGTTGGTCAAAGCTCAGCACGACAGCACCGCCGCCTCATCATCACGGCGCGCATTCACCCGTCCATAGGTACCAAGTAGTTTAAAATCTGCCTCGTCCTTTGTAGCTGGTCTGCGGCTTCAATTTCCGTCACTCGCTCGCTTCTTGGCAACCAGCCCAAGGTTTGCATGGTCCTGACCGTACCATGCGTACTATTACGAAGTACACCCATCTAGCATGACCGCGACCGGGACCATCCACGGCTGTCAGCGGTGTTGTCAGGCCATCATGTCCCCAGCCAGCTATTTAGCTTCGAATTCTACAGCTCCTTTACGCCTGCGCTGACAAGGAATGCGGAAGCTACAAGTGTCTCTTTCGTAGGGCCTCCGCGCCACGAGCTTCACGAGGCCAGAGCAGTTTGGTATCATTCACGTATGCAGCAATCACTACGAAGTACGGCCAGTCGTCAACGTGCCAAAAACGCCCCTTTTTTGTGTATCGCACTTCTATCCCCTCCCAGCCCGTTTTCCCGCTTAAGCTATAATACAACCCAGCAGAACCGTTGCGGAAAAAGGAGTGGTACAGATACATGAGAAGGGGTTTCGTCTTTCGTGTCCTCCCGTGTTGGTCGGAGGTAAAAAATTGCCAAAATTTGAGAGCGTAACCGGAAGCCGCCAAAACGTCTAAGAGTAGAACCCTGTCAACAAGTGTCAATAGTATCCCCCTCGCCGAATAGCGGAATCCGGTGTCCCTGAAGTCGAGACTGTAGCCAGCATCTACCGTAAGAGATATCGTTCAAATCGCGTGCCGTGTCGTAATAATGCTCTCCAGATTGGGGTGGGCCTCGGCATGGAGAGGCAACCGTTGCCACGCAATTAGGCGGTGGCGGTCGCAGCAGGGGCCTCAGCGGCAGCCTCGGCACCCTCCTTGGTCTCGTCGCCTTGAGGAGCGTTGGCTTCCTCATCCGTCTTGTCGGGGCTGTCGATGGCCACCTTGACAGCGATCTCGCGGCCCTCGATGTCCTTGCCGTTCATTTCGTTGACAGCCTTCTGCTGCAGCTCCTCCGATGCCAGGGTGACGAAGCCGAAGCCACGGCCCTTGCGGGCCTCGCCGCGAGCCTGGAGCTTCTTGATCATGAATCGGGGGATGGGACGCAGGGCAATCTTGGCCGAAGAAGGCTCGTATGCCTTGAACAGCTCAATGAGCTACGTTGCGTGTTAGCTTGCCTATGATCGTGGCAGCAATTGCGGTGAAGTGGCCAATCGTACCTTCTCCTCGGTCAAGTCATAGGGCAGGTTGGCGACCATGACCTTGGTCTTGGAAGGAATGCCGTCCGCAGGGGGGCCGCGCTCGCGGCGCTCACGCTGAGGACGGGCCTGAGTCTTTGAATTCTTGTCGTCCTCGTCAGTCTTGCTCATGTTCGTGATGTCCTTCAATGGCTGCACCTCAGTGGTGCCCTCAGCATCGGCCGGGGCGGCCGCGACTTCAGTTGCGGCAGTTCCGGGAACGTCTCCTTCCTTCTTCTCCTCACCAGCGTCCTGTTGTTACGTTAGAGAAATGCTGATGGCATATTCCAGCGCAACGGATCAACCTACGCCAATACGACCACCACGAGCGGCACGGCCACCACGACCACGTCCGCGGCCACGGCCACGGCCGGAGGCGCGACGGCGGGAGCCTTCGGCACCAGAACCCTCGCCGTTGGCACCGTCAGTCTTGTCACCAGCAGCCTCCGGCTTGCGAGCCAGCTGAACGGAGACCTTGCGCTCCAGAATCTCCTTGCCGGAGAGCTCGGCAATCGCGCGCTCAGCCTCGGAAGGGGTGGAGAGATCGACGAAGGCATAGCCCACGGGGCGCTCGGTGCGGGGGTTCTTCGGGATCGAGACAGACTCACTGTCGTAAAGAAATGTCAGCCAGTGCTACTGTCTCGTTGCTGCCCAAAACTTATATTCGGATGCGAGCGACATGCCAGGACTCGTGGAATGGTGCTGATGGATTGCATCCACGGCCGCAGGCGAGCCCACGGACAACAGCACGGCTTGGGAGATCCAGACGCGATATGGGGTGGAGGCAAACCGCTGGCGTTGGCAAGCGGTTGCAAAAAGCCGCGACTACACGGCGGTGGCAAGCGAAGACGCGCCGAGCTGGGCGCAACGGTGCAAGGCACCCTTCATCAATCTGACGCCTTCGAACGTCTGCCATGCATAACAAGCCTCGCAGGCAGCGGAAGACAGAAGAATGCGATGAAGAGATCGAGGGTGCACCTACACAAGATAGCTCTTGAAGAAGTCCTTCAACTCCCCCTCGGTTGTCGCGTAGGCCAGGTTGCCAATGTACAGGCGGCGGCCCTCGGCAGCGCTGGCCGACGCAGCCTCGTTGGCGGCGGCCTTGTCATCGGCAGGCTGGGAGATTGAGGTATTGCTCAGAGTGTTGGCAACGTCGTTGACGGCGGCCTCGGGGGCCTTCTCCACGTTGGTAGCAGACATTTTGGGTGGCTGGTGATGGAGGATCGACAGGTGAGTCGGTGAATGACGCTCGAACGTGGGCTGGCGGGAACAGGCAGCGACGTTCGAAGGAGTAACTCGGGGGTTGAACTCTGGTGCAATGAGGGAGGAGATTGGACAGGGTAGCTTGGTGCCCTAGATAACGTTGGGGGGGTGGACAGACGGCGATGCGTTGCGCGGAAGACTCAAGGTTGACAGGTGATATGAAAGGGGAGAAAAGGGGAACGCCAGGTTGGAGTCGCGAATCTGAAATATTTTTCTTGGGGGGCGACGGCGCAAAGCTGCGCTGCGGTCAACTGAGGGAGGCGTGCTGCGCTTGCCACCCTGGTGGATGTTTGGCGCTGGTCCACTGGAGCTTGCCTGGTGAGATGCTGGAGCGGGGGGTTCCCGTGCAGGGGTCCGCTTGCCTCGCAGGGGCCTTCTGGGTGGCTCCTTCAGCGAGCGCCAGTGGAGGGTCGGCCACAGCGCACCAGGCCCGGGTACGGCGAGGAACGCTGAGGTGAGCGCTAGCACTCGCCTAGAGGAGATGATCTGGAGCTGCTGGGTAGCTTGCTAGATGGGATGGAACAACCGGGAGGGGCGGGCGGGCGTGCGGCTGGGGAAAGCTTGAGAGGCGCTTGGAAGCAGCAAACACTGCGCACCTGGCTGCAAATCCCCACAGAGCCTTCCATCTCCTTGTAAACGATCCAGCCACAACGCCCCTTCTTATACTGGTATCTCCAGGCCTCACCAGGTTAAGCAAACGAGCAGGCACACGGTCACTGGGGGCGCCCGTTTGGAACCCGAGTGCGATAAAGTCTGGTCGAGGAGACACATGCTACGGCCACAGCGCGGGGGCGCCTCCTGAGCATCGCTGTTCGACCACCAAATGACTGCCGGAGAGCAGGGGCCGCATTGAACGAGCCCTCGCAAGCCGTCCAAAGAGGCAACGTCGCCGACCAAGCCTGTAGGGGCTCGGTACATCGCACATGTCACTCGGTGCCTTTGCCTTGATTGTGCCTTCCATTTGACGGTCCATGCCTTGAAGCAGGGTTCTCGCGTTCGCGGTCTGCTTGCATGATGATTGCTGGCACCCGCGTGGCAGGGGCCACCGGCGCCTTACTGGCTGCTGCGTCTCGTTCGCACTTGCCGTGCGACACCGACAACACCTCAGGTCCATGCGTCCACGCGACGCAGGTTAGCCGAACAAAGAAATTACGTGCAGGCGGCTCTTGAGCTCCAGGGTGTGCTCTCTGCCCGTCAGTGCTTGTCGTTGCTTGTCCAGGACGTACTGTCCTCCGTCACTGCGCAATACGCTCAGTCGAGGAAGGCGACGAGGCCACGTCCGACGCCCACCTCCCGGCGCGTGTTACACGGCTGCCCGTCTGAATCACGCGGCGAGCGCGCAAGCGGATGACACGCACAGGCCAGCCGAGCCTCCGTTTGGCACCCTTTTCGCCATCTGCGCTTGGCCGTCATGATTCACTGCCCCGCGATCGCGTTTTCATCAAGCCAGGCCATTTTGCTTTTGCCACGGCACCAGGATTCCAAGCTTGCGACGGGCGGTGATGGGCGGCAGAGTGATTGGGGCCTCGTACCTCGTCAAGAACTTTTGCGTCTGATGCTGACCTTGACTGCAGATGGCCAGGCCACATGCAAACGAAGTTCCTTGGGCAGTTGAACCGTCCAGCCTCAGGCTGTAAACTACTTCCATGTACTTTCTTGGGCCTCCGTTCGTGGAATCTTGCATGGCGGCATCAGGGACTCAAGGAGCCATGAGCTCCACCTGGCGCTGGCTTCCATCCGATCCGGTCCCCACCTGTTAGGGTGACCCGGGGCCGTGTTGCCGTCGTCCTCCAGTGCTCTCAGTGGGGGTTGAGTGTGGCGGCACGAGGCCCCCGAAACTTGCCCAGCGCGACTGGTAAGTTAGTACCATATACCACAAAAGTCGTGCAGAATTACATCACCGGACGCTTCAACCATGAGCTCAGAGCCGCTGTATCTCATCACCGCTTCGAAAGCACCTCCCAATCAGGTATTCCGAATTCTATCACAGGAAGCCAAGACACGGTCTGGCACCACGCGACGGGCAGCAGCATGGCGCACTACGCATTACCTATGGAGACCGAGGCTGACCGATGCGCCGAAGCCACTCGGCGCTGATTGATTAGATCCACGACAGCCTTTCCGGCCCGGCATCGGACACCCACCGAGACTTTTTGGCCCGAACCTCGAAGGTTTTCCACCACCATCCAACTCCCTACTCGACAACCACGCGCCAGTTCACGACACTGTTATCAGGTCAGCGCATTTTCACTCGAAACATCGCGTCCCGGCCCCTCCTCGGTCCTTCGATTCGGATTGCAGCACGGGTGGCGCGGGCGAGACTTTCGCCCATTAAAACTCGCATGTCATGACCTCATCAGACCGGACCGTTCTGGTCCTGTACGGATCAGAAACCGGCAATGCGCAGGACATGGCCGAGGAGCTGGGCAAGCTGTGTCGGCGGCTGCATTTCAAAAGCCGCGTGGAGGAGCTGGACTCCGTTGAACTCGTACGCATGCACATCGACAACCCGCAACACATGTCGCCGTCCCGTGTGTGCTGACCATGGCCTGGTAGACCGCGCTTCTCGAGCACCAGCTCGTCATCTTTGTGATATCTACCACCGGACAAGGAGACATGCCTCACAACTCTCTTCTCTTTTGGAAGAAGCTACTGCGCAAGAGGCTACCAAGGGATTGCCTGGCTCGAGTGAGATTCACGTGCTGCGGCTTGGGGGACAGCACATACCTCAAGTAAGCCGTTGTTCCAGCCTATCTAGGCTCTTTTGCCCAGCCCAGCTGACGCAATTTGTCAAAGATTCAACTGGGCGGCGCGAAAGCTCATCCGACGCCTGGAACAGCTCGGCGGAACGACGTTCATGGAGCCATGCGAGGCTGATGAGCAGTTCCCCGAAGGGTAAAGCCACATATCCCAGCTTTCCTCCTCCTACTGACCAGCTTTTGCAGGGTAGACGGCAGCTTTTTACGATGGGCGGATGACCTGAGGAAAGTTCTGCTTGCCCAATACCCTCTCCGTCAGAGTCTCCAACCTATTCCGGACGAGATGAATCTGCCACCGAGGTGGTCACTTCATGCAGCACTTCGGAAAGCAGAGGCCGACTCTATCGCCACCGGGCTACATGGAGATCTGAACGGAAGTGCCGAGCCGCCTCGTTCCAACACACCGCCCTTGAATCTCATCCCCGTTACCAACGGGTGGAACGCCAGCCTCTCGGGAAATGAAAAGATGACCCCGGACACGCACTGGCAAGACGTACGCTTGATGTCGTTTGACATACCGTCGCGGGGCCAGAACCAGAAGTTGCATTGCAACCCCGGCGACTGCCTCACCATTTACCCCAAAAACTTCCCTGACGACGCCCAAAGGCTCATCACTCTCATGGGTTGGGGATCCGTCGCCGATAAGCCCCTGGACCTCTCTTTGTGCGGACCTTTACCAAGCAACCTCCACGCCCCATCCCCATGTACAATTCGCGGGCTACTCCTTCACAGCATCGACTTCATGGCCGTGCCTCGGCGATCGTTCCTCAAGAACATTTCGTACTTCTCTTCTAATCCGGACCACAAAGAGCGACTTCTAGAGTTCACCATGACGGAGTTCCTCGACGAGTACTTTGACTACGCGACACGCTCTCGCCGCACCATTGTCGAAACGTTGGAGGAATTTTCGTCCGTCCGGATCCCACCCGAGCGGATTCTTGACGTGTTCCCACTCATTCGTGGCCGCGACTTCAGCATCGCCAACGGCGGCGACCAACTCGCGCATCCAACCAGTGCAGACACTACACGGGTCGAGCTCCTTGTCGCCTTGGTCAAGTACCGCACCATCCTGCGCAAGCCTCGTCAGGGCCTGTGCTCAAGGTACCTCGCCGACTTGCCTGTAGGAACCGAGCTGCTTGTCACACACAAGCCAGTCCTGTCGCCCATTCATGGCCCTTCCAATGCCCAGCGTCCTCTCATCGCTATGGCTACTGGCACCGGCGTCGCCCCAGTCCGGAGCCTCATCCACGAGCGCCTCACACACCCCGTCTCCGCGCCAATCGTGCTCTTCTTCGGCAACCGAAACGTAGCGGCAGACTACTTCTTCAGTGAAGAGTGGGGAGCAATCCCGCAGGATAAGATGACCCTGTTCACCGCATTTTCGCGAGACCAACGGGAAAAGGTTTACGTCCAAGACTTGGTGAGGCGCGAGGCCCCGCGTCTCGAGCGGCTCATCCCCCAGTTACCCATCTTCGCGGTATGTGGCGGCTCGACCAAGATGGCGGATGCTTGCAAGAATGCAGTCTTTGATCCGTTTGTCGAGGCTGGGGACGAGTCGGAGCGGAAAAGGATGCTTGAGGAGATTACTTGGTGGCAGGAGATATGGTAGACTGGCGCAGGTGTAGAGAGTGATGGGATAGGACCAGCTGAAACTAGATATCTGCGTCTTCTCAATATAGAACAGCGGGCAAAAGCTGCTGCTGATGACTAACAAGCATATGCATATGGCATCAACTGTTCTGGTACCAGTGCTGAGTCCGTTAATGTCGAAGATCATGCCACGCTCTCTAGGTCGTACCGGTCCATTGCGAGTTGCGCCGGCATCTCATCCGGACTCGCACGGCCACATTTCGTCTCGACATGGGTGCGTACAACCGCGGTTGGAGCCGCGTGTTCGGCCAAGCCAGCTTGCCGGAATTACGCTATGAGACAAGCCAACGAGCTACCGTGTCACGCCCCGGCGCGAATTAGTGTTGAGATTCGCACAGGCAGACGGGAAGGGCACATGAGATTGGTAGATTAGGTAGTGATTTGGTATATTGAGAGGCATCACTGGCTAAGCCAGCCAGTCTAATGGGGGCAAGATAAATGACGACGATTCCCGTCCGCCCCATAATGTGACTGTCGTCGTATTCCTGCAGTGAGGCTCCGGGCGTGCCTCCCAGGCCACAACCCGCCCACATCGCTAACCAAAAAATCATAGACTCGTTAAGATATATAACTCGACGGCAGCTAGCCACCCAACACCGCGTCGAATCGGATCCAGAGAGCTGCGACGACTCGATGGCAATCCAAGTAAACCCGCCAAAGACAAGGCGACAAGTAGTGCCGCCGGAAAACTGGCCATGGGCCATGTATAGCGGAGGGCGAATCCCAGGCTGGTCCGCCACTCCCTCATCATGCCGGAACTCCTTCGCTAGTTTTATTTCCCAAAATGAAAAAAGGGGTAAGTCAAAGGCAAACCAAGATCAAAGGAAAGAAAAAAGTGTAGATCACATGTGATCTGTGCAGTCGAGCGCAGTGGCAACGACGGGATATATCAGCCGGGCAACTTATAATAACCAAAATCGTAGCACGGCAGGTGCGGTTGGGCGGATCAATCGTGCTCCCAGCTGTACCGTTTCTCCGCCATCTGGGGAACGTGAATCAAGTCTCGGCCAGGATCAAGACGGTGTCGTATTGAATCCGGATCGGAGTGTGACGTGCCATTGGCTTGAGAAGTCTCCTCCGGGTGTGAAGGTAGTGTTGTGCGCTGATCTTCGTTTCTTCTCGATGGTTGGTGGCCGGTGTGGTGCGACCTTGCCTGGGACTGGCTCGTCTGGCGAGTCATCTCCTCCACAAATCTCTCCTCCTCCTCCGTGTAGTTGCTGCCTAAACTTCCCTCGGAAGGCATCGAGGTTGCGTTGAACATTGGAAGCGGGATACTTCGCCCATCCGAGCCGACGACCCGTGGCACCATGCTGGATCGGTGGATCTGAACGTTCTCCGGTAATGGACCGAGGCATACCACCCTCGAGGGGTCTATGGGTGTCCTCTGAAACGACGCCGGCGGGATCGGCAAGCTATCTCCCGCTGGAGAGGCTGCAAGGGTAGATGTAGTTGAACGTGATCGATGAGTGCCAGCAGTGACCGACTCGGTCCTTCCGCCCCCACTGCCAGCCCCCGTTGACAAGGATCGTGGAGGCAGGGACGCTGTGACGGGAGATGGGAGGTCCGGAGAGTTCCAGTCGGCCCGAGGTGAGACGGGCGAAGGTTCCGAGCCGGGTAAAGTGTTCGAGTCTCCGCCTCGGGACCTGGTCGGAGAAATAGGCGATGGCTGGTCCGTTACATTGTGTATCTCCGCAGGTCGTAGGTCTGGGATCGACTTCTCTGGTGACAGAATTGCCCCGTCGGCTGGGGGTGAGTAAGCGGGAACCGGTCCCTGAAGCTGTCTGTCCAATTTCCTCCTCGCAAGCTCATAAGCGCTGAGATTCTCTGTATTGTCAGTACCAAGCTCGGTTTCACCCAAATCTGAACTCTCGTCGCTTCCTCCATCCAATTCCACCGGGGGAACTGGGGCAGGCAACTCGTAAATTTGGCAGTCGGGTGCTTCGAGAGGCACTTGAGTATCTTGTCCGTTGCCACGCGCGGCTCGTCGAGACTTTGCGCGTCGGGCAATTTTAGAGAAAATCCTAGACACTGGTGTTCGCGGTAAATCCGAGGCAAGCGTCGAAGCGGAGTCCTTGCTGTCTTTGGTTTCATCTGCCGCCTTGCTTTTGCGGAGCCTCCTGCGCCGTCGACAATAGAGGCAGAAAGCGCATAGCACCACAACGCAAAGCAATACAACACCGACGGCGATGCCAACCATTTGACCAGTGCTGAGTCCTTCGGTCTTGGGTCCTGGCGGTCCGGGATACGGGCTATTGTTGGGCTGCTTTACTTGCTGTAGCTCGGCGTCGCCCACAGCCGGGAAACGGGCTTGATGGACGGAATAAGACGCCGAATCGAATCGGGTAATAAGATATGCTTCCTGTAAGAAGGATCGCCCAATGACAAAGTTTTTGTTTGACGATTTCTTCAGGGTGAAATAGGGGATCGCGGGATCGCCATATTTAATCTGTGAATGATATGGGTACTCGAGCAAGCTGACGAAAGCTTTCAAGGGAAGCGTTATGTTGACAACCCCCGGGACTTGGAGCGGAAGACCAAAGTCGTCGTGGTTGTCGTAGCTTGTTAGGCTAAACGTGAACTCCATTGCATCTTTCGAGGAGAAACTGCGGTACTGGTCGTTGGTGAGGGTGTAAAGGCCATAGGTATCGTTGTATGTGATATTCAATGCCTCGGCAAAGCGGTTGCAAACTTCCTCGGGGAACCACAAATGCGGCGTCGAGCTGTCAATAACTGCCGTAAACGCACCATTCCAGTCGGAGAGGACTTCGGTCATGGAACTCCAGTGCTTAGGCTTGTCATCACTTTTGTTGACGGCGATCTGGATCCCTCGGACGAGAGGGCGTGGAATACCCTCGGTGGGGTCCAACGTGAACCGGTTGTCGTGTGAGACGAACCTCTTGATGTCAAATCCTCCCAGCGTAGCCGAAAGAACGGTTCCACCTGTGGAGAAAAGTCAGCGTCCCATGTCTCCGGCTATCACATCCGACCATCCTCTTCACGTACGATAGTGGGCGCCGGCGGTAAAGCCGTAGGTGTAGCTTGGTATCCAACCAAACGTCTTGACAGCTTGCGTCATGGGCGACTCGGCCACCGTGCGGTTGTTGAAGTTGGCCTGCTGGATGCCAAGCCCAAACATGCCCAGAAAGGGCTCGGTGGTGTTGATGGCGGACATTAATACGTTTGCCATGCCGAAGCCAATGTCGTTGACGGGGCTGTAGGCATTCATGGTATCCAGTCCATATTGCCCATTCGCCCGCACTCCCAAATACTTGAGTCCTAGCTCATATGTACCCAGAGCAGACCAGTGGCTAGACTTGACTGGGCTGTAAAGACCACCGCGGGCGTTACTGCATGTAAGCTCGTCTGCATACACCGGTCAGCGTCGTTAATAGTCGGAGGCGATAGAAGGATAACAGGTAATGACAGCTAATACGACCGACGGGGACAACGCAAGGGGGTGGAGGGTCACGTACTGTCGGCACATCCCCCACTGCCGATGGCCCAGAATTCCGAAAGCCCCGTGCTCACGATGACATTGACGAGGTCGGACTTAGAGCCCAGCAGAAATTGAGCGGTGGACCAATTGCCATCTATGCCCAGCCTAGAGTAAAAACGTCAGTCGAGATAGGTCACGCTGGGCAAAGCGGCATAACGAACCAGTCGCCTGGCATGAGACTGATCGGCGTCGGGTCCAGGGCTGTGACCACGCCGGCGAGGGCAACGGCCGCAGCCGTCACTGCCAGTGAAGCAACTGACAGCATGCTGTTGCCCTGGCAAGCCAGCAAGGCTGGCGTCGTCCGTCGCGAAGAGCCCTCGCAGATCAACAAGTCGCGCCAGAAGCCGGAGAGTTCATGGGTCGGCGGAGGGGAACAAAGGGTCGCTGCTGGCGAAGCACAGAGTCCATGTGCACGTCGGCTACAGGCGAAACGCTATCGTGAAGCCGCCGCGCAGCTCATGCACGGTAAAGTTCTCGGATCCGCCTGCAAAAGCGTTGGTGAGGGTCCCCGTGGCGTCGGTAAGGCGCAGTCGGCGCGATTGTCGATGGTGGAAAAAATGCGGGCCAACGGCGACGATGCCCTTTGTCGTCGATGTCGTCTCGTCGCAAGCACTGTATTCGACCTCGTGCGCTGTGGCCTCTCGTAAATACCCGTGGCTGGCGAGAAAGGGTCGCTTGGGACAGCTCAAAACGAGTGGAGGTTCAACCGGCAGTGGAAGGAAGATGGAAGAGAGGATCGAAGGGTCACCGGGGACGGGAGGGCGGAGAAGTTGTGGGTGGATGTACTGGTGGCACTAGGCGTGCCTGGGAGCACGGCAAATGCTGGAGAATGGAGATGCAGTCTGGAGAATGTAGAGGGGGGTGGCGGGATGGACGGATCCATGGATGGAGGGACGGGGCCGCCCTTGAGATGAAGACGGGACACTCCAGTGGCTCCCGGGCGCTGGACGCAAGGCCACGGGTGTTCGCCCATCAAATGTTGCCACTGTTGGCGAGCAGGACACCGGTTGGGTACCGCCCGTGGCCTGGCCCCGTGGCCTCCCCTCCACCCCCCGTTCCAGGGCACTCAGCGATCTCACCTCACGTCGCGGGGCTCGAGCCGGGGCCCGTGAGGGAGGCCGCTGCCGAGGCCAGAGGGAGTCCCCAGGGTCGAGGGTGCGCTAACGCGAGGCCCCGCCTCAGACACAATTCGACGCCCTGGAGCGCTGCCATCCATCCTCTCGCCCTCCCGTCCCGTCATCTCAGCAGCCCGTCCACCTAAGTGGAAGGTACCTTACTTCTAACCTGCCAGACACACCTCACTCCAGGCACTACTGAGGGTGGCTTCAGGGCCATTTGGGTCGCAAGAGCCTGCTGCCGCAGCCCCGAAGATACCCGGCCATTGGTTCCCAGAGTGAACACACGAGGGTGTCGCTAGAAGACACCGTGAGCAGCGCAGGCTGGAGTGAGCACGTCGGACAAGGTGAGACTGCGAGCAAAGGGATGGCACGCAGGTCCAACTCATCCAACTGAACCGAGACACAGCACGCGCTGGTTTCCCTGGTCACCGACAATCTATTTCCACAGTCTCAGGCCACGGACTGGGACGGGCTTTTCGGGTCACCAAATGAGCCAAATGAACGCATCGACAAACCGTTTGAAAGGCGGGCTCAGTCCCAGCTTCCGCGGCCGTCGCCCACATGGCTGACGGATGGAGAACAAGACGCCTTGTTCTTTTCTTGGCCGCATTACATCCCCGCGAGGCGCAAGAGTTTCGCTTCAGTAGCATCGTGCTAATCGTACTGGCTCTCTTGCTGCGTTGTAGCGTGTGGCTTCGCTTTCGCTCGCCAATAAACCAGAGTGCCAAGCGGGATCCGGCTTCTCCGCAGTCGTGACAGCGACGATCTATCCTTTGCGAGGAACTCCGACCCAGACGTCCTCCGGCCGGCTTTCTGGGCCCTGCCAGATGAGAGCCAGTTGAGCAGTCATGCGCGGACGAGCGACGTGTAGATTCTCGGCTCGTCACCCAGCGCCATGTGGCGGTCGGTGGCGCATGGCTCCCTGTGCAGCCCGGACGAGCACAAATGCAATCTTATAAGGCGGCCTTGACCAACATCCAAGATTTGCGGCATTCAAGTGCCTGCCCTGCTGGCTGATTGCGTGGCCCGGGAGGACACGATGGCCAAGACACGGCTTGCCAGTGCCAGGCCAGGGCGGAGGGTCCTCAACCTCGAAAGCAAGTGCCTCGAGGCCCCAAGGGGCCCCCAGGGCCCATGGCACAAGCCACTCGCTTCGACCACGGACAAGCCGTGTGGATCTGACGGATGGTGGCTCGCAGGTTTCCCTTGGCATCGTGGGTACCTTTCCCACTGAAGTTAGCTGCCTCATCCGCCCCGCGCTAGAGCCTCGCGCAAAAGGCGATGCGCAGATCACCTTGTCGACATCGGTCCGTCTGAGGCACCGGATCACTGCTCGAGCCGGGTCGCCAGAGCAAAGGCATGCGGGCGGCGGCGAGAAGAGATGTGAGGCAGTCGTTCCGTCGCCGTCGCCGTCGTCGAGCCTCGCAATCGGCTCACACGCCGCCGCGGCTTGTGGGAGAGGTCCGTTTGCTACGGGTCTCGGGACACCTGCCTCGCCGTGCCTTTGGAAAAGCAACACGCGCAAAGGCAGTCTCGCAAAGAGGCGAGACCGAGCTCCATGTCTTGGACACCCGACATGACGAGGGATACCCAGCTGAGATGCGAGCCCCAACACAACCGTGGCGGGGCGCTAATCCGCCTTGGGCGACACCGCCTGGTCTCGCTGGAACTCGGAGATCGGGGCTGGACAAGCCAGACGCCACGCCGCGACGTTGCTTCCAGCACATGGGATGTGAGTTGTCTGCAGTGCCAATGCTTCACGTGAAGAGGCCTGGTTGGGACGCCAGGGATATGGTACCATGGGCCAGCCACCACCGCACCCGGCAATCGGGGGTGCATGGCATTGGCGACCAAGCCAAGAGAGCAGAGCCGTGGATGGCAGCAAGCAATTCGTATCAGAGAACGAATAACATCATGGCGGAATTTCTCGTCGCCAGACATTGCTGTACACCAGAGTAGAGTACAGCGTTCAACGGGACGCACCCTTGGATTTCGGGAGATTATTGGACTCGCCCTTGATCTCTCCTCGTAACTGCTGTCCGCAAAGCGTACACGTGCCTCGCAATGAACAACACGACCTCATACGCGCAGTAATCACGCCGAACCCGCTCGTGTTCGGCAGATGCCTCGTCGTCATGTCAGCCCATCCCCGCCTCCCTTCCACTGCCGGAGCGCAGCAATTCCCGGGAGCCCACGCATGTTGGGCTCCAGAGGCGTCGCGATCGGTCAGCCTGGGTGTTAGAGGATGTCTTATTAGGGCCTCCCGACCCGTTGCTTGTTGCCCGTCAATGCGCCACACGGGTCGCCAGTTGGCCTTTTGCCGCGCAGAGAAGAAGCAAGCAAGCCCTGCCAGCGGCCAGGCGTCGAGATGATGAGAGACTGATCACTCAAGTGCGCGCAGCGGCCCAACCGACTGCGAGCACTACAGTCAAATCACCAGGACACGGCCAGGATATTACGGGGCATGACCGCATGACGCGGCGCACGAGCAACCGGTGATGTCGTCGATCTTCGGCAGATTCAGGCGCGTATGGGCCCGTCGGCGCGCTCTGCCGGCTTGCGGAAGCGCGAGGAGTCAAGCACCAAGCGCTCACTGAGACCAGTGGAGCACGGCGGTGAAGGCGGCTCCATTGCCCTCATCATATTCACATTGCCTGCCAAATGGCCAAGCCTCATTGAGCTCGCAAGTGAGGGATGCCGTACAGAAGGCAGGACACCATCTGCAGTCCCGAGGCTAAAATATTGAAAGGACCACGGAACGGGCAACCAGGGATGGCGCTGTTTGGGTCGCGCCTGGAAAAAGTGAAGGTGCCATCTAAGGGCGCTCCTTCCACTTCATACCTGCTTTGTAACTACGTAGGGACTTCGTACATAATACTTGCCCCCAGATTCAGCAACACGCAGAGCATCAGGGCAGGGCGGGAAGCCGCTGCCCCATGTGCGTGAGCATGCAATTTTCCGTCTTGGTGTTGCTTTTTTCCCCATTGACGAGGTCCCGTCTTGAAACTGTCATCATTCCTCGACCTGCAGCGCCGACACCTGCCCGTCCAGACCTTCACATAACTGACGTACTTCGTAGCTACGGTACCAGTCAGTGCAGAGCGAGCGGACGAGCACCAAGCGACCGCCAGGGGACAGCCCTCACAACCTTCACAGCCTCCCTACGCTTGATTCGAGAAATGAACCTCGCCCAGTCTCGCCAATCCGTCCCCCAGTCGCCCTTCGATACTTCGTGCGGTACACCTGCCGAAAAATCGGGCCCCATCGCATGGCCCGCGGGTCTCCCCAGCTCCGCTCTCCCCACCCGAACAACCACGCAGCCACATGCGCCTCCACCAGCACCCCTCCGCACGAAACCTCTATGTGGAAGGCGGGCATCGCAATGGAGAAGGTCGATAGCGCGTCTCCAACACCCCAATCAAGCCGTGTCCTCGAAGGATTCTGGGTGAAACCGCCTCCGCAGACAGCACCGTGCCGACCGAAGCAGGTGCTTTTATTTGCCCTGTCTCGGTCCTGGTCGATGATAGGGCTCGCGGTCTCCCTCACAGTCACAGAGTGCACGCATGCCGACGAACATGAGTGCTTGTGGCACGCGGCGCACTCAGTCTGAACTATCATGCAACGGAAGGATGACCAAGGGCTTTCCTCGGTCGATGGTGCTCCGGATTGTGTTGCCTGTACCCTGCGAAATACGGTGAAATATCGACGCACGACTCGCGCACGCTGTTTACCAGGTACTCGTCTGCATCACACCGTTGTGCCTGACTTCGGTGGTCGACCAGGCTGGGTTGAGATAACCCTGCCGGCGCCAGCTCGACCGCGCATTCACTCCGCAGAATCGGACCCTCGACGCTTATCGAGAGGACTTAGCCTGGCGTAGACCAAAAGACTGGGTTTTGAACTGATTCTATGCGTCATGTGCCGGCTTCACTCACCGGGACATGAATAGAAAACCCCAAGTCCCAACTACTATCGTCTTGGCTGCGTTCTCACCCTTGCCTCTTCAGAAAGGTGCCTCGGAAGCGGAACCCCGGTCCAGGGCCCAGTCCAGCCCGCCTGTCTCCCATCAACTAATACTGTGGCTCGGGAGAGCAGTGCCGCGGACTCGTCGCCCCAGTGGCAGTGGTCACCGGGTAGGTAAGGCGCTGATGCTCGAATACGATAGGCGCCACGATGGGACACGCTCGTGCTTGATCTTGCGTTGTTCGTATCTCACGAAGCTCGCCCCAGCAACTCGCCAACTACCCAAACACAATACCTTCCCGACAAGTTATTTGGCCGAAGCGGGAAGCTTCGCTTGACAGCTACCGCCAAGTACATGCACCAGGTGCATATATATATCACTTGCCGATATGGGACTCCGGACGCGGGACCGCTAATATTCCGGCGGGCCGATTTCACATCATCGGAATTCCTGGACAGTACGTTTCACGGACTCCCGGTGCTAACGCTGTCGGCTTCAACGGCACTGTACGGGAATGGACGACCTCGTTCTCTTTGTTGTGTCGGCTCGTGCTACGGAAACGTGGTGTCAAATGCCGTGACCACTTGTTGGTTCATGTGGCACAATTGCCGACTTTTCGACATCGGGATGTCCCTTCTACTCGCGGCTGACAGGACGCATATCGAGCAGGAGGGCCGCTCGGTGGCTCGTGCAAACCTGGACCCTGCACGATTCTCATATCCCAGCTCACGGAGAGGCCAAAGCCCCACCACTAGACAGCAAATGCATCCATTGCTGGCAGCGGTAAACAAGCCTGACTCGGCAGGGACCTCGCGAACCAAAGCATACCTACGTAAGTTGCTGCGTGCAGTGGGGGCCGAATTACTGGCAATGCATCCCCGCTGGCCGTGGCTCTCCCGGCCGGTGGCAGAAAAGGATCTCGTACCGACGACTGTTTGAGTACCTGGTGTGGGTGCCCGGATTGGGACTCCTGCGCGATGCCCACTCGGGCTCGGGACCGAGACCAAGCGCGAACCATTATTCCAAGGTGAACACAGCCGTCGCATCGCGCCCTGCTGCCGCTGCCCACCATATGCCAGGGTCTCGGGACTGGCGAGACCTTTGACTCGTCCGAGTCAGCGTTGCACAAGATACGTGCGTGCGAAACAAAACATTTCGGAGATGATGCCCTCCACAGAGATATCCGATCCACGTTGACCCTGACCAGGACCAGTGAGGGGAGGCAAGTGTGAGACATTTCCGGGAATGGGCTCTCTGTAGTAGGCTTGCATGACCAACGAGAAGCGTCACGCCTGCACACGAAACCGTCCTTCAACGAGGCCAGGACGGCCGTGGCATTCCTTGTCAACGTGTCGAGAGGCGTCGACTCGGGCGGTGGTGGCCTTGCCTGGTCTGGCCACGATGTCCGCTCAGCCTCGTGGTGGTGTGGTCATGTCTCGCCGGGTCAGGTTTGAGAGGCACTGTCACACTGTTGCATCGGTTCATCGGCTCGCGCCAGCACCCGGCCGTCAATTCCGCATCAGATCCACCGCCGGAGGGGTTCTCCATGAGCTTGACGAGATACTGACGAGACGGCTGGCCTCGGGTGGCGGCACGCGGCATGCGGCACAGATTTCCTCGCAGGTGATGTCCTGGCTGAGCGTAGCACGTGTGGACGTTCCTCTTGACGCGGGTCCATGAAATCAGGGGCGCGATGGCGCGGACGAAATAGTGCAGCGCCAGCATGATGAGCGTCAAATGGGCCATACTATTACCAGGGCTGCCAGTCCGGGGAGTCCTGGTGCAGTACGCGTCCTCCGGAAGACCCCAAGGCAGAAGGAAGCACGACAGAGATACTACTGGAGTCCGTGGCTGGTGTTCGAGACACGGACTCGGCTCCTGACTGGCCGGGAGTGGATGGGATCACGATGGGTGGGCTGGCAAATGATGGAGCCATTGAAGGGACCCCGGCCTGGTCAGCCGGGGGATCGCCCTCGCCTCGCAGTCGGATGAGTGGGCAAATGGCTCGCACGGGATCCACCTCGATGCCCAGTCCAGTCTGGCCTCGGCGCGCAGAGGTAGAGCAGAGAGGCTAGTCACCGTTTGCTGGACGCCCTCCTTGGCCGTTCTGGCAGTTGAACCGCACCCTTGTCCCAATTTGTTAGCTGGGAGCGGGCAGCCCCTCTTGGGGCAAGAGAAGAGGCCCTGTTAGTGCGGCGGATTACCAGATTGCTTCTGGCGCGGGCGACACGGCAGGCCACCTTGTGTATCGTCTGCTGTATCGACGGCCGTGCATTGTAGGCGCAGTCAGCTCAGGTGGGATCGAGGTGAGCAAGGCAGGGAGACGGGGAACACAAGGCTGGCACCCGGCATTGCGACACGAGATGGCCGCCAAGCGCGTGGGAAATGGATGGCGGCAAGGAACTGATGGGAGAGTCGAGCAGCCAAGAATCCAAGGCAGGGCAGCCATGTTCAACGCCAACGCGAACGCCACCGCACGAGCACGCCAGGGCCCATCTGGAAGCACCAAGGTTCCTCGGTGGAGATGCTCCATCGGCCCGCATCAGCCATCGCCAGCATCCCAGGCCCCGTCCAGGTCCCGTCCTCCATCGGCAGCGCCCACGACCGGGGGCCTGCCCGCCAGGACGCAGCTGGTGCTGAATCCTGACGGCTCCTGTTCATCCTGTCCCAGAGTCCTTTTCACTTCCACTCACACCCTCTCCTCCCTCTCACACTTTCAACACCTCACTTTAAAGGGGCGTGAGAGTCTCACGAATACCGGCGGATGTCGCACCTAGCACGAGTCTTTGCAACGGCCCGCCTCTCCTGAGTTCTGATCAGCGAGCTGACTGATCTGCTTTGCACTGTCGATCAATCATGGTCATGCTGGCTTCGCATCGTCGACTTCACCAACCGCTCCATGGCTGATACCGGTTGCGCCGCTCGCTCGTCTCCGCCCTCTGCTTGATCCAGTTCCCCAGGCGCGCCGTCTCTCGTCGTTCAGGGCGCAAGATGAGAGTGGACCCGTGCCTTCTCTTGTGCGCGGCCGCCCTGCTCGCAGACTCGGCGTCTGCAGCGGAAGCCAACCCACGACCTCGAGGTGCGTTCGGACCGCGGGTTGCGCCCGTCGTTTGCCGCGAACCGGTGGCCATTGCGCCCGTTGGTCGTCGCTGATGTTCCCCGTGTTGGTTGCTGATCACCCTTTCTCCGCGCTCCAGGTCTCAACCGCCGGGATCAGCGATTCTACCCCTCCTCCAACAGCAGCACCTCGGCAGCAGCACCGACATTGCCACCGCCAGCTCTGACTTCCCTGACATCGACTGAGCTGCAGGATGCCAGTCGACAACGTTCGTCGTCCTCGTGTACTAGCTCATCAAGCTCCGATGTCGATGCAGAACCCGCGCCATCATCACCACAATCTCGTTCGACGTGGCCGCCCACAACATTGCCGACCAGCAGCCTCACGTCGCACCAGCCCAGCAATGCCTCCGTATCCGGCAGCCCTTCGGGTCCGGCGACGCCCGTGTCCCCGAGCTCCCCGTCGTTTACGGATCATGCAAGCCGCAACTCGACTCACGCGATGACTCCTCCATCAACGCAGCCAAGCAATGGAACCGTCACCATCACGACCTCGAGGTCACGCAACCACACCACCACCCGCCACCCTCACGGTCCTGTCGTCTCCGTCACCATTGACTGTCCTGCAACCATAAATCCGTCTGACTGCACAGGGAGGGGCTACCTGACCGTCAACTACACGAGAAGCGACCCCACGTCAACTGAGAAGTGCACGCCTGTTACAGACAGTCATCGGCCCCTCACCGAATTCTCCGTGGTGTACACCTCCACGATTACCTTCTATGGAAATAGGACTGACTACACGCCGCCCTATGAGCCCATACGGACTCCGAAATACTGCGCGCCCACCATCGTGCCCGCTATTCCGCCAGGCTTCACCGTGAGTCCGAAAATTCTCACCTCCGACATTGCCAAGGAGTCGAGCCGAGGGGGCGAGCTGGTCCACCCATCCACCCTCCTTCCTTTCATCACATTCATTACTACGGACAAGAACCCGTCCGTTGTGTACCCATCCGACCCCGTTCCAAACTACAGCCCTACATGGGGCCAAGTAGGAGACGGTGGCCCTGGTGATGGTAGTCACAAAACCGTTGGTAGGGGCGGGAACGGCGGCGGGGATCCCCACAAGACCCCTGACGCCGACAGCATCACCGCCGCACCACGCCCGACCTTCAAAGTCACGGCTCGCGGTACACAGGTGGTCATCAATGACAAGACCTTCGCCGGCCTCAACCCGGGTCAAACAAGCCTCGTGACCGTGGATGGTGGAACCTTCACAATCTACCCCAGCGCGGTCATTGGCGAGGGTGCCACTATTCAGAAACCGCCGCCCCCTGGCACGGGTGTTCAGGTAGCAACGCCAACCGCCGCCGTCGTTGGCGGATTGCCCGTCACCTTGTCAGGCTCCCATGCTATTGTCGGCGGTGCCACCATGACGATACCAGAGACTGCCAGTACAACTGTCATTGACGGTCATTCGGTCTCCATCGGCCCGGGCAGCCTAGTTGTGGGCGGCCAAAGTCTCTCCTTTAAGCACGTCGCGCCTTCGCGGGAGACCGACGTCGTGGTGAGTGGAGGAGAGCTCCTCACAGCCATTGGGCGTAGCGTGGTGGTCATTCATTCTACGACATTCACATATGGTCCTGGTATCCCGGAAACTTCGCAGGTTATACAAGACGACACCATTTCAATTGGACCGTCGGGTGTCATCGTGCACGGCACGCTGATCGGCGGACAAGCCGCTGGCCCAACCGCGACCTCATACGAGATCGTAGGGGGCGCCACCATCACACGGATCGCTCCGTCAATCGCCGTCATCAACGGCAAGACATTCACCGTCGGGCCGGGGACCGAGTGGACAACGACAGTCATAGCCGGGCAAACTTGGACCGTAGGTCCGACGGGCCTCGTGGGCTCCTCCATGACCTTCAAGTATCCCTTCGGCACGGCGGTCACGACGACTATTTCTCCGACCGGCACGTGGCTCAACGACTTTCCGATCGAGACGGCCGGGCAGAACAGGGGCGGCGATGACGACGACAGCTCCGGGACCTCATTGCGGCCCAACCTCTTGGTTGGTTGGACAGCGTTTTGCATAGCGATTGGCGTTTGGGTTTTGGCATAAGAAGGAAAACGGGTTTTTGCATTTTGCGGGACGAGAGCGACGCCCCGCCGGGTGTTCCTGGGAGACGGGCTTACTATATGATTGCATTTCGGTGAGCCAGCCAGCGGCTCTGGCTCGTTTATGTTCATGCGTTGGGGAAGGGCAAGCGGGATCTGCTGTTCATCGGAGAGGTTGAGCAGGATTGGGAGCGCCCAGCTTTCCGTCTGGCATTGTGTACGTAGTAAACAGCCCGTGGCGTGTTAAAGGGCTTGTAGAGGTTCAGCTCAGCCACATAAGAGAAAGACGGGGACTCTCAAAAACCGCCTTTACTTTTCTTGTTCTGCGAAGTAGGTCGTCATCGCTGCTACACCCAGAGCTTAGACATTGTGTCACACTGGTCACGAAATAGTTGGCAGAATGCACGGGAGTGAGCTGTTAAAGGCAAAGTGCTCGTCGTCTGCTTGTAGATATATACAACTGATAAGACTATGAATTACACCCGGGCCCCCCGGTGTTGAACGCTGCGGGCTCGCAAGTTGTTGAAACTGAAGTGAATGGATGCTTGCTCGCTTCTCGCGATGCCGAAACGCTCGCCTCATCGCTCTCTGGTCGCGATGCTATGCCGAGGGTCCTCCACGGCCCGCTCGCTATATTACCACCTCATCACTCCTTTCCCCTTGCCAACGCCCTCACTCTTCAGCGGAGGGAACTCGTCCTGCTGTTCCCCGGGTCCGACCGCGGAGACAACAGACGCGCGCGGCGGCGACGACGTCTGGTCTTGCATACTGAGGCTGAGGGCTATTGCTAGGTCCTCGTCCTCGTTGGCGGCTGGACGGGAGGATCCGGCAGCGAGGTCATTGATGGGGGTGTGGCTGGCCGGCGACGATGACGCAGAGCCCGAGTTCTTCCCCTTCTTGCTGCCCTTGGGCTTGACTGTGATTGCATACTCGAAGTCGCCGGAGCTGTTGCCTCGAGGTGACTGGCCCAGGTCGTTCACGCCCTCCAGGAGTGAGAGGCGGATTGCCTGCTGGATCTGCTGCTCAAACTCACTCTCGTCGTCGGTGGCTGCGATGTTGACTTGAGGGCTCGCGTCCGTGACGCTGGGCTCGGGCGTGACTGTGTCTACCGTGGTTTCGCTTACCGAGGATGCAGTATCGAGGCTGGCGTCGGCTGCCGAATCGCTGGCTCGTCGCTGTTCGTCCTGGAGGTACGCCTCCTCCGACACCATCTGCGCGTACCGCAATGCCTCTTCCTCGGTCAAGTCCCCGAGGGCGCCTACGCCGAAACGCCGCCGCAGTCGGGTCTGCTCCCGTGCTCGCTGTTCGTTTTCACGCCGGAGCTCGGCTTCCTCCGCAGCAATGTAGCCAGACACAGCTCCGCCGAGCCGACGACTTGCCAGGCGGCCATGAACGTCGGAATGTCGAAGGCGGCGCTTGCGGCCCGCTGGATGGTTTGCTGAGCTATAAGTCCAAAAGCGCATGAAGGCTCCAAAAGACAGGACACCACGGAGGGTGGTAGGATCTGGATCCAGGTAGATTGCGCCCACGGCAGAATAGCTGCCCTCGCGTAGAGCCGGGTTCATCACCATCATGTGCCGAGGAACACGCCCATTAGACCGGGCGTTCAGAGTCCTTACGGGATCAGTCGTCGATGCCAACGTGTCCCAGGCCTGGACGAGCCCATCGCTGCCACCATGCACCAGATACAGCGCCGATATTGCGAGACAGGATATCTCAGGTGAATCGGTCTGGATGATTCGGATTGGGCGCACTCCTTCAGAAAGTCCATGACGTGCATCCCAGACTAGCACAGCCCCGCCTTTGGTGCCAATAGCGAACGGCCGTGCCCTGCGGCCTGGGATTTCAACGGAGGCCGAGGCTATCTTGGGCCTGGTCTTGGTGGACGGCGCTCCAGACTCGGTGGCAACGTGAAGGGGGTCCTCTGCCAAGGTGTGCAGGCTTTGCAAGGAGCAGTCCAAGGCAGAGGAAGTGATAATGGACTGGCCATGATTCCTGAGCTCGAAATAAGAGCAGTGCCACTCATGTAACCCTTGCGTCAGGCCAGATGGCGCTGATGGCGTCGGAGGGGGTGGCCTGGGCGATACGGGCTCAGGAGAGCCGGACGTAATGGTGGCTTTAGACTCGACAGCCCCGAAGAGAGACGAGACGACGCGGACAGGTGAAGGCGCAGCCGATTGCGCTCCTCGAGTGCCGTCGTCGACCTGTGTTGGTGCCAGCATCCTCGAAAATCGTCGGACGCAAGCAGGTCGATCTTCAGCCAGCCCACAGTCGATCACGAATACGCCTTCTCCCGCGTCTTTGCCATCATCGGCGGCAAAGTCGACCTCGAGCCTGCGTCGCATGTCCCAGCCCTCACACACCTTGCGAAAGTGTGCGGGCTTGTGGCGCAGAAATTTCTCAATCTCCCGTGCCTCGGCGGCCAGCTGCAGTTTGTTGAGCTTCATCGAGTCCGACGGGGACCGGGGAGAATACGCGCCGCGCAAAGCGTTCTTGTCCAGGTCATCCGGGCGCGCAACGCGGCGCGTGCCTTCGATGAGATGCCAGTAGACTGAGCGCCCAGCAAGCCATGCATGCCTGGTGATGTCGTCGCCGCTGGCACGGGTCTGGGGCGCCGAGAGTGTCTCGGTCAAGTAGAAAACCTCACCCAAAGCATTGAGTGCCACGGCCCAGGCTCTGGCCGATGACTTGCGTTTGATGCTGTACGCGTCGTCGACCTTGATGGAGATGATGGGCACACCAGGGCTCAGGATCCATCGCGCCGTCATATCGCCGCTGGCATGTCGCGGTCCGCTGGGGTCCCAGCCAAGGGAATACGCAGTGACGACGCCAAGGGCAGTGCCGGTGAGCATTCCGCAAAGTGATTGCGTGGCAGTAGGCACCGCCGAGGACTTGGCTATCCAGACGCTGCAGATGGCGTCCGACATTTCAGGAATCTTGGGGATATCGGGATAAGTGTCGACGACGCCGCTATCGCCGCCCAGGTAGCGGCCGCATAGCTCGTCTACACCCCTGAAGTATGCACGTCCACCAGGAAAGCCTTCGCCCGAGAGCACGCCATACGGCTGGCTCACATCCATGACGTTTGGAGCAGCAGCAGGACCATCTCCGAGGCCGTACGGCACAAGATTAGGAGCCACCTCCTCGAGCTGAGCAGCTGTGAAGGGGTCTTGGAATCCCCACCGCTCGATCCTGCCGCTGGTAGGATCGCTCATTGTCGCCACACCGAGATCGGCGGTGCCTTGAATAGCCTGAGGGGGCTTCTTCCCATTGGAGAAGACGGCGTGAACATTTGTGACCAGCCAGGGGAGTTTGGAGTTGTACGTCAGGACAGCGCTCTTCTTCTTCCCGGACGGGCCACCGCCTCCCGACGAACCGATGTTGCCGGTAGACGTTCCGGGCTTGCCACGAGCCAGGCTGCGAATTAGGCGCGTTCGGAATAGGTACTCGCTACGCCATGTTGCGAGAGGCGTCAAGCGACAGAAGTAGCGAGTCTCGAACCGAACAATGTCAGATGCTGTTTCTGCCCAGACGTCCGCTTCTGCCTTTGCAGCTTTCTTGTCTAGGAGGGTTTGCCCCGGAAAGTAGCGCAGGAAGGCCATCCGCCATGCGTGCGGTGTCGTCACGAGTGCGTAGAAGCGCTTCGACACCAGCGCGACCGAGGCATGTGAATCGGGATGGAGATGGGACAACACGTGTGTCAAGATCTCTGCTAAGAAGTCAGAATCCGCTTGACTACTGGCGACGAGGCAGCACGTAGGAACTGACCGTTGGGAAAGTCGGTAAGCTTCACGCCGTTGAATGAGTCAGAGCGTTTGATGACCTTGAAGCCCATAGCCTGCCTCGGTGTGGGCGGCGTTAGGGCATTCTCATAGTCCAAAATCCTCTGGCCTGCGGCCGTGGGGCGATGGCGACTGCCGCTGCCGTCGCGCAGGCTCAGCCCACGTAGTCTCTCGTCGAGCTGGTTGGCATCGACGGCGTCGAGAGGGTCGAGACGCGTGGAGCGTGGCGACGCGCTGCGGGAGCTGCCGGAGGCGGCGGAGCGGACGCGCTGCAGGTGGTCGGCTTCATGGTGAAGGGAGCCATCGTGGGCGGAGTGGGAAGGGACTTCGAGGGCGGTTGTGTGACGACGCGATTCTGAATTCTCGGTGGGCTCTTGTTGCATATAGCTAGCCGCGAAGAACTAGGGGAGCAGGTTTGTCGACTGTGCAGAGGGTCTTTGCACAGTCTCGGGGAGCTGATTTGAGTGAATCGGGTATTGACCGCAATGCAGATGCAATGCGTACGAGGGACTTCGTGTGGTTGCGGTCAGGAGCTGGGAGACGCGTAAGGCTGCTGTTAACGGGTGAAGACGAACGATGCTGTTGTAGGAGCAAGTCGCGATCCCTCGGACTCGTTAATTCCTCGATCCTCGTATTACCTCATTGACTCAGGGCCGTTGCTGCCGAAAATGAACCGCCAATGCAAGGTCCACGCGTGTTAGGTAAGCCGCCCAACGCAGTTACTTCCAGGGCGCGGACAAGGTGGTACTGCGACTTTCTTCTCGTACTAACAATCACGATACGGAGTACAGGACCACTCAGTTAATAGGTACGTAGTCGCCACCATGAAGAAGCAATGTGCATATGAAGAAGTTGTCTGGCATCGTAGAGACGACTTATATAAAGAATGTTGCACAATTGCCCGCGCAGGCGTGAGCCTCGTTGTCCCTTTCAAGCGAGATGCTCAGTTCCAGTGTACTACAGTACTCCAGTACCGTAGGTAGGGGTAAGAAGGTAAATTTAGAGCGCACCTGTCGTTAATCCCACCACGGAGTTTGCTACAGGCAGCAAGCTCCTTGACTGACAACCTCCTGGTACGATCAGAGCGGATGGCAATCCAAAGGGAATGCACTTCCACTTTTACCTTTCAATGGGCTCAAACACGGGCCGGTCCGTGGTTCCCCGAGCTGCTGTTGCGTTGAAGCGGTGTAGATCCTGTCAGCTGGCATCGTCTGGCGTTTTGTAAGTACGCACGCCCGCGGGTGCCAGCACGAACCCGTCGTCTCTTTGCGCAGAAACGGCACAAACGATTCCAGCGTCAGGCACAAAGCATCACCGTGGCACAGGCAAAGCTGTGGCACCTCAGACGCAACCTGCTGCGCGACAGCAATCTCCCCTGCTTCCGCGGAAGCGGCACCTTGGGCAACCTCGGCCACGGCTGTTCCACCCGCGCGCCAGCGCCCGCATCGCCAGATGGCAAGCCACTGGGCTCGCGTCGACCAGGGTGCCTTTTCCATTGGCGCAGTTACGGCCAAAGAGACAGCTTAAAATGTATCAAGCCCGCATTGGCTGCACCGAGGCTCCGGTACCGTCCACAGCGCAACTGACGACATGCTGCAAGGACCAAAGCACGGCCGCCAGACCAACCGGCTGGAATGGCCGGCCCGAATCCTGCATCCTGTCCACGTACGATTCTCATGCGCGGGTCCCCCCTCCCCCCCTTGCGCTATGTCGTACGAAGTACTCGTACATTTTTTTAAAAAAAAAAGAAAGAAACCCATGATGCAAGGCCCTCCGCGCGGATGTGCCCTCCGGAAAGCTTTGACCGGCATATGTTTTCTCCCAGCACATCCTAACGGCTTAGTTATCTCGTCCGTTTTCCTGGCGAGGGACCTCGAGAAAGACCCAGCTGACAGGACGTTAAATAAACATGGCAAGTGTGTCGGTACGGGGCGTTGGCACATCTTCGACACACCTTGTTGGCCGGTGACATCAACACCCTCGCCCGACCAGCGGGCGTGCAGTGTGAGTAGGTCGCCGGTTGGGCTTTAAGGGCTAAATCGTGAGGCCGTACATTTTACTCTAGCATAAACAGCATAAACAGCAGGAGCCAACAGGGCCCGAGAGCGTCGCTTGATCGGTGTTTAGAACGTAGAGCGGCGCTCACGTGTGCCGTGGTGGATCGAGCGGCGAGTGAGTGATCCATGCATATGATATCTCGTTTCCCAAGTCTCCGGGCTCATGGTGCACTTTCTGAGGCTGAGACCACTTCTCGGCCAGGGCCGCATGTGGTCGCATCCTCGCTAGGTTGCCTGTTGGCTGTCGGTGCGGATTGACAGCGCTGGCTTGGGCAGGCGGACTTGGCCATCGAGACTGGGAAAGCGGGAGGTCCCACCAGACAGGACTCGATAACAATTGTAAAAGATCAATTTGAACGGCAAATGATCGACAACAGTCGACTGTCAGGAACGCATGAGCTGTATAGACGAAGGAAGGGCGTTCTCGGTTCGGGCGGAAACCTTGCACGCGAAGTATACTGTAGTTTGTCACGGCAAGCACAGATCTCATGACCAACCTAACCGTGAACCAACGCCAATGTAGAGGTCAAGAAACGATTCACACGTAATTTTACCAGCATACAAAGCTTGCATGCATGTTCCTGGCCGGCACTGATCACGGTCCCGGGTTGGCGGGAATCTGAGGCAAGGGTAACAGAGACATTTGGCGAAGACAGACACGGCTCCGGAAGAGCGGCAGAGCATCCGGGCAACCCACAGTCCGTACATATGAAGGACGCTGACATCCCATTGAGGCTCAGCATGGAATTAATGTGCAAAGTGTGTTCGAGGAACGAGTGCCTTGGGTGGCATCTACTCGTAGGGGCGTTGAGCCAACTTTTTCTGCTCATCCGTGGCATTTCGGCCCCTCACCCGCACTCAGGTTAGTCAAATTCGACACATCAGAAAAGGCCGCAGTTGCAGTGCCCGTCCGTGGCGTCACGCATCCAAGCGTGCGGAAGTGCGGTGCAGGCCAAATCTGCCATGCGAGCGCGGGAAAAATCCCAGGAGCGCGGGTGTCCGTCGGCGACGAAAGAGCAGGCGTGTGCCCGAGATGCAGATGCCGGGGTGTCCTAGGCCTGGCCCCCTTCGATAACGAGCATTTTGGCCGAGGAAAGAAGCCCAGGTTGGGCGCTACTGGTGCTGGATGGTCCGGCGGACTGCGGGCGGGAAGCGGGCGTCGGACGGGCGGGCCGCATACCTAGGCAAGGCCGGACCGTAGGTGCTGCTTGGGTGCCCAGTGCCCACCTAAGGTACTGGGGAGCCCGGAGACGCGCCCCTAAACCAAGCTGCCTTTCAGGCTGTCCGGCTCCCAATCGACGATTCGACGGGGCTGCCCGGCAATGGCGCCAGCACCCCGGTACTCGCACAGGTGCCAATGATGAGGGTTCCAGCGCGTGTGCGGGCGGTCCGCGCTGCAGGGTTCCGAGGCCGTGGTTCCATTGTGGGCAGGGGCAGCAAGGGCCCAGGCCGGGCTTCGATTGACTTGCTTGACGGTTGACAGGCTGCGAGGAGGTCCATCCACCCATCCATCCACCCTCCCATTCACTCTTGCAGCGTCAACGGCGTCTGTAGCGGGAGGGATGGGGCATGCAGACCAGACCTGGGGCTCGGACTGGATGCTCCAGGCAGGATTGCGCTGGCTTTCGTGTCTCCCCCTGAGGTGGTGTGGTGGATGGGAGAGGGCATCATCGGGTGAAGACAAATTGCACCTTGCACCTCTCGCGTTGTATTGGCCAGGGACAGAGACGACGGCGGCGCATTGTCGTCACGACTGCTCGTGACAGTTGTTACGCACCGCAGCCGGGCGCCTTCAGATTGCGGACCGCCGTCGTTGGGAATGGATGGAAACAAAACCGGCAGCACCATGGGGTCTGGTGACTTCCAGCCCAGCAGGCCCTCGAAAGCACGGCCCCTACCGCACTGAGCGCAACTCGGCCCCGGGCGCGCCGCGATGACAGCTTCGTGTTTGCATGTCCGACCAAAATCGCAAGTCAGCCCTCCTCTCGCCGTCGTCCGTCCTCGTCGTCATCCTCGTCGCCGCCGCCATGCCCACAGTCTCTCCTACACCCTTCACACGACGTCTGGTGGGGCCGTTATGCCCGCCTGCTGGCCCATCATCTCCTGAGTCCTCCTCATCGGCGGCCCCCATTGCCACCTTGCAGGTTCTCGTACGAGTCCTGCAGGCTGTGACGTTCCCGCCTGGTGTTGTGCGACACTCCCGCAGCTGCCACTGCCACTGTCGCGCTTCAATGTAACTCCGCGGCGGTATCAATCAGTCCAACAGGTGGTCCGACGCGAGCTCGTGGCCTCAAGCTTCGAGCCACTTGTGGCTGCCTGCCCATCCTCGCAGTCGTTCGTCAAGTACACACTTCGTACACACGAGTCTCTCTTCCAGTCGCCCAAGTCGAAGCCAACATCCAACACCTTCTACGACGGGCGCAAATAGAAGTCCTGCCTCTCCCCTCCGACTGTCGTCGCCCGCCGGCGGGCTGGTAGCTGCTGATCCCAGCTGTTCGGTTGGGAGGGGACGGGGCGACGGCGTGGCGCCCAGGCCGGGAACGAGGGAAGGCCGTTTGTTGGCCCAGCTGGCGGCGCTGCAGCCACGCCTCCCAGACAGTCGGGACGCTGTGGGTTTGATGATGAGCCGCCCACGCGTCGAATCGCCGACATCTTCATTGTCTGCTGAGTTTGCCCTGACCGACTAAAACTCTGCAGTCTGTATGCGCACTCGCACTGGCTCGAGGGTCGGCGGAGGGGCAAACGGCTCCTAGCGGCGCGAACCCAACGATGAAGCTGCCGTCCCAGCTCCCGACGCCCTGGTTCTGGCCCACGCCCCCGAGGCGCTTCACGGACACCACCAACCACTTAAACCACCAGTAGGTATTCTTAGCTGACGGGCGCGCGGCGGGAGCCGGGAGTCGGGCCCATCAATCCCGCTTCTCCCCTCTTCCCTCCCTCCCTCCCTCCCTCCCTNCTCCCTCCCTCGCAGGCGCGGTTCCCACCCTCCCGTCGTCTCCGCTCCCCGTGCCGCCCCCCATCCCCCATCTCATCCCAGGACCCCGGGCCCAGCGAGCCAGAGTGTCGGGTCCAACCTGTCTGACGTGTGGACTGCATGATGCCCCTCGGGTCGCAGCACAGACTGCCACAGGCAATTCAGGACGAGTGTTCCAACTGCCGAAAAAGAAAAGGGCTTTTTGTGCGCTGTCAGCAGGGGCCCCGGGACCAAAAAGAAAGAAAAGAAAACTTGGGGAAAGGGAAGCGGCGGGCAGAGTAGGTCAGCTCCAAGCGCCGCGACCCGTCCGAAGCTAACCAAACCGCCTCGGGAATGGCCTGACCCCCGTTCCAGCGCCCTGGGTCCGTCAGGATCCAAGCATCCATGGATCCATCCATCCATCCATCCGCCCGTCCACCCACCAACATTCAACCACCAAAACCCACCTACCGGGGCGGCCCTCCAGTGCCTCTCCGCGGCGCCATTGCGGCGGCAGCGGGCAGAGGGGCGTTCTGGGCGAGTCGTCCCTCGTCCTGGCGGTCGCCAATGTGGCCGCCTGCGTGTTGCTCGAAACTTTGTTGGGCCGGCTGAAGCTTGTCGGCCGCCGCAGACAACGACAACAACGACGACAATGACGAAGAAAGCGCCTCGCTTGTATATTGCCTGGAGTGACTTGCTTGGCAAGGGGAGCAGCAGCCCTTGCTGCAGCACGCACACGCAGAATGTGAGGTGTTGCTTGCATGGGAGCCCGTCCAAGCCATGTCATCAGTCCGCCACCGCGGCAACGCGTCCGGGCCACGACGACAGGATGGGGCAGGACGCTCCAACCGCTTGCTCGGCCGTCTGCGACCGGCGGAGCCCAAAGGCGAGCTGTCCGCCATCTATTGACCCCTAGCTATTACCTGTGAACTTGCCCATGATGACCGCGTCGTGCGTCAAATGTTGGTGGCTTGATGCGTTGGTGGGTTCGTGGCAGATGGTCCACGCAGCGGGCGAGCCTGGCGGCCGGTAACCTAACCCCTAACACCGCCGTGCTGGCGCCTGACCCTGCTTTGCCTAGGTGGTGTTTCCCGACCACCGGGGGGCCCAGAGGGGGGTGGTGGGTCGCTGGGTTTTCCTGACCTTGCCTATAATCCATCCATCCCAGGCAAGCCAGCCAGCCCAGCCCAGCCCAGGGTAAAAGAGACCCGGAGTGGGGGGGGGCAAAGGTACTACCTTAGGTACCTAGTAGCTGTGACAGCCCCGCCTCAGGGAGCCGTTGTCCGTTGCCGCCGCCCGCGCGCGAGCGTGGCCCGCGTGCAGAGTGTACAGAGTACGAGCGCAGAGCACTTCCAAACTCCCTGTCTAGCCCGAGTTGGGTTCCTCCCGTCCAGCCAGGGCTTGGACTGAGGCGTGCATGCATTACTGCACCGTAGGTACTCCGCAGGTGCCTCCAGGTTCCCAGCAGCCACTCCAGGCGAAGGTCTTCTTCCTCGCCTCTTGCAGCTGCAGGGCCCTTTTAAACTCGGTCGGGTCAGGTTACCGGGGTCCTGGCGCCTCACACCGTCTGCTCCTCCTCTTCCACTCTTCAAATCCTCAACTGCCCTTCCTCAACCTCGCCAAAACCAGCTCCGAACGACCCCTAACTCCATTTTCGTCCGGTTACCGCAACCCGCGGACCGCCTCTCATTCACCTGAAGCAATTCCTCGACATCCACCTCGAGACACTGCCAGGGTTGTCTGGCCGCAGCTATAGCGCTTCCCAGAGCCGCTCCGCGTTCTGCGCTCGTCGACAACCTCACCTCCCTCGATCGGCTGGGCAACGACGGCACCTAGAAACCCGTCCTCTGGCCCACACAAAGTCATTCTCCTCAATCTGCGCTTTTCTTAGTCGTATTTGTAGCCCTCGCCGCCCCTCACGCATCTGGCGCGTGGCTGCGCTCCCACGTCGCCAATTCGTCCCGCAGTGACCCTTACTCCGGTAGAAGGGATCAGGGCGAAGTAGCCATGAGCTCGCGCCCCAAGAAAGACAGCCCTCTACCACCAGGTGCCAAGACGTGGGTTCATGCCCTCCCCCCCCGTTTAACCCCTGTAGTTGCAACGTGGGTTGACCCGGGTCTAGCAAACCAACGCAAACGACCAAGACTAGCGAGAGTCAAACCGCCAAGGAAGCCATGGAGGAACGCGTCACCAAAGTCTCCAGGACCGAGCTACTCGAGCAGCGGGCCAAGAAGCTCGCGGAGCGCTACGGCCTCGAGTTCAGACTTTCGGACTGGATCACGGGCGCGGAAGACGACACCGTCCTGCGCGTAGACAAGCCAATCCGCATCCGCATCCGCCGAACATGCCACTTGTGCAACGCGACCTTCGTTGCGGCCGAAGAGTGCTCCGGCTGCCAGCACGTTTGCTGCAAGGACTGCCCTCGCTATCCACCGAAGCGTACCGAGGCCGAGAAGGCTGCCAGTCGTGAGCGGAAAGAGGCAGTCAGCAAGGACTACAGGGAGAGTTCACGCATTGTCGCCGATTTGTATTACGATGGCGGCCGTGTCGTTCTCAAGCGTTCGAGCAAGACTGGTGGGCAAGACCTCATTCACAGGAGGCCACGACAGCGCGTCCGAAGGACATGTCACGAGTGTCAGACGCTGTTCATGCCTGCCAGCAAGAAGTGCGAGAGCTGCGGGCATATTCGGTGTACTGACTGCCCCAGGGACCCGTAAGTCTTTCCCGGACGAACCCCTCAGTTGATAAAGGCACATACTGACAATGAACAGACCCAAGAAGGACAAGTACCCCTTTGGCTACCCCGGCGATGCTTTCGGGCCCAACAGCGTTCCCCGATACGAGTGCCAGCGTTGCCAGACCTTGTACCCGGAGGGCGCTTCCGATGGTGTCGAGTGCGCCAAGTGTGGCACCAAAATGTCGGTTGCGTCGCCCAGGGCCCTGCCGCGCAAGATTGAGCCGGAGCCAGACCCCGGTGTTCTTAAGATGTTGCAGGCACGCCTGGACAGCCTGAAGGTCTCCTAAACACGATATTATGACGCCACTCCATCGCAGGTGGCGTGCAAGGCATGCGGCTTCTGCCACCGCAGGGGCGGTGCTGAGGCCGCGGGAGGTGTAATTGGGACGTCATGCCGGCATTTGCTCCTTTCGAAGCATCAAAAAAGTATTGACGGATGGCTGCTTGTGAGTGGCAAGCAGAGACCACTTTGTAATGGGAAAAAATACGTTCACGAAAAAGCAACGACGACGACGACGACGGCAATGATGGCAGGACGTGGAACGGCAACTGCATTTCGACCTTGCTTGGAGAGCACCTGGCGTTTTTGACTGCTGGCGTAGGAGCCTGGGGAGCCCTTGTAGCTCATGCGGCGCGGAGAGTTTGCATGCACAAGTAGGGGGAGAAAGCGGTCGTGCGACGCGCGGCTGTTACGGACAAGCACCGCAAGACTTGGGCAACTTTCATGGCACGGCGACGCGGCGTGACGGAAGGAGCAGCCGTTGTATGCGTTGGTTTTGTTTAGTTTGTTTAGGCAAAAAGCTCATCCCTCCAAGGTTGCTCGGTGTCGGGATAACATGAATCACCTCGGTCTTTTATGCCCCGACCTTGTTCCATAATGATCTTCTCAACTCGTTTGTCGTGCCTGAGTTATAGGACGTGCCTTCTGGGTTTATGCATCACGCTCGTCTCTTGCTCGGCCTCCAGGCCACGTGAGGGCGCTAAAGTGATATCTTGTTTCATCTGTCATCTGTCACAACTCGCGAGTCTCAATCCCCCCTGCTTCCTCTTGATGGTGCACCTATTGAGCCGTCGCGGTGTTACCGCCTGCGCGCTCCATCTCTCGTATCAGCGGCTCCAAGCGCAGTCTCATGCCTGCAGCCACAGACGCGCCCAGGGCATCTCGCCTATTAAAGCAGAACCCTACATAGCCCCCAGCCCCGTCCAGGCGGTTATTCAAGTAGGGATACTGGTTGTCGACATTGCGCTCCGCAACGGCGGCGTTGAACGCGGCCTCGTTTAGAATGGGCATGATGTAGTGCGTCGGGTAGAAGCGGCCACGGATGCTGCGCTCCTCGAGCACGGCGTCTTCCTTGACGAGCGACCATCGCCAGGGCTGCTCCGGCCTCACGGCGTTGCGCCACCGCGTCTCTTCCTGCAGAGGGATTGGGAGGTCCTCGGTGGGCACAGGCTGCGCAAAGGGATCGTCGGCCTTGACGACTTGGTAGATGGCGCCGATGAGAACAATGGACCGCTGCCGGTTCACGGTGCGCAGCATGATGCGGCGCACGCCAAGCACAGAAGAGTCGTTCCAGGACATGGAATCTCCCGCAACGGGATTAACGCGCAGACAGTCGCCAAGCTCGATACGCTCGGCGCCGAGGAAACCTCCATAGAATGGCACCGTCTCGCTCTGCATGTCTTGGGACAGGGGACTCCAGAACGAGAACGACGTGTCGATCTTGGAAGCGGCCATCTTGGATGCGTCAAGGAGCATGTTGTTGCGCTTCACTCGATCCTGGCCGGCGTAGTTGAATAGTTCGGCCCATGGCGTCGCGTCGAATGGCTTGCCCTGCAGCTCTGGCATTGATACGCCGGGGACACTGAATGCGTGAAAGGGCCGCATCTCCTTGGCCTTCTTCTCCACGGGCTGCTGTGGTACCGCCTCATGCCCTATGGGCGTAATCTCGAAGCGGTCGTCGCCCGGCGCGCTGATGACGCCCAGTCGCCACGAATTGCCATTTTGATACCAGACAAGCTCGCCTGCCCTGAACAGCAGCGGTGATTGCAAGCTCCAGCTCGGAGGCCTAGCTTGGGTTTGGGCTTGCGGCGGTGCCTGCGAGTGCGACTGAGGTTGCGATTGGGGTTGTGGCTGCGGCTGCGGTTGAGCCTGAGGTTGCTGCACTTGAGCCGTCTGAGCCTGTCCTGGCGAAGGCGCCTGCACCTGCGACTGAGCTTGGGGGCGCGCCGGTGCAGGAGGCTGTGTGGGATGCGCGCCGGCGGGGGTAGGAAGAGGCACCTGGGTCTGCTTCTGCTTCTCGGATCCATTGGCGGGCTCTTTTGCCTTCGGTTGTCCAGGAAAGGTCGGCAGCGGGACGGGGGTCACCTTGTGGGGGACACTTTGTGGTCTTGAAGTAGCCGCGGCGGCAGCGGGTATGGGTAGCGGCACCGCCGTCTCTACAGGTGCGGCTGGTTTCGTCGCTGGTGGCACGTTGCAGTGGACGCAGCAGCAGTCACGATAGTCCGCCGACGTGCTCATGAGCCAGAGCAGATGGAGCCCAAACTCCTGGGGCGTCTTGTAGAGCTTCCCCTTGATAGGATAGCCCGACACCCAGAGGTGCTTGGACTTCTCGTACAGCCAGTAACCCCGCGGAAACTGGAGATACCATGGGTTCCCTTCTGCACATGCGCGTCAGCCGATGCGTAAGAGTCTAGGGAACCGTGAGGGACGTACCATCCGGGTTCGGAGCCAACTCTTGCTTGAGCAGGATGCCGAGCTTGATCCTCCACTCGATGAAGCGGGGGTCGTCATCTTCGAGACGAACCATGTGCGCCTTTTGCCTCGTGGCACTCGCTGGCGCCTCCCTTGCTGTCTTCTTTACGGCGCTCGGAGCCGGCGCCGGCCAGTATCCGGGGCCAGAATCTGCGCCATCGCTGCGCAGGATGCGCTTGACGTCAAAGTCTTTGAGCTCGGCCATTGATGCTCGATTGTAGCCCTGGCCGAACAGCCTGGCCCTGGCAGCAGACGGCGGCTACTTGCGCGAGGAACACCGTGGCTCTGCGCGGGAGAACGGGACGCGGAAGACAGCCCTTGGCTTGGTTACACCATGTACGTCCAATCCTAGATTCGGAGCCTCTTAGTCGGTAAAGGAGACACCGCAACCGCTGGACCCGAGCGCAATGCCACTCATGGGCGGCGGAACCGCGCCTGGCTGGACGCGAAGAGGCCGTCAGCCCTCCTGGGACCCGAGTAGCAGGAGACAGGCGAAAAGACACGTGCGTCCAGGGGGATGTGCACGGCTAGCAATTCAAAATGTCGCGAGGCGGAACTGCGTGACGGATTGAGGCAGAATCCTTCCGGCTGAGACGTCTGAGACAGGACCGAGGCGTGGTTGATGCTCTTGAGTGCTGGTGAGCAGACGTTCACCAGACACGACGTTGCAGTTGTTGGCAGCGTTGTCTGGTGGCTGGTGGTGGTGCAGACGGTGGAAATATGGATGAGTAAGCCAAATGGCAGGCGTATTTGGGCTACCCTGCATAGAATGATGCTCAATGAGCCGTCTTCATAAACACAGGGATGGGACAATTTTAAGGCTCTGCTTAAGTATTGTCTTCCTCTATGGATTTTTCTTTTCTCGTGGTGTACTGTCGACTTTGGCTTGTTCAATTTCTCGGGGCAAGATCCAGTGCCTATCACGCCTCACCTGATGTTCGCTAAAAGATATGTGCCTCCCGCTACCGGCACCGCGAGTTCGTCGCTAGCACTGTCCCAAATGATCTCATGCCCAGACAACACAATTGAGAAAACGGCTCCCTGTGCAATCAAATTGTCGTAAAATACCGCCGCACACTGTTTGGCAAGAGACAGTATGCAAGTAGCATTTCGCCGTTGTCTGCTCTCTCCACACGTCGCACCCATAGGCGTTTGCACCGGCCACTTCACCACTAGATCCAACTAACTGAGGCGACTCCGGCCCGCTGAGGCTTGACGCACCGCCACCGAACCCACGCTAATCCATTAAACTTGCCAACGCGTTCCCGTGCCGCCAAGTCGCGTCTGCCAGACTCCTCGAAACTCACATCTGCAGACCCCCTCCAAGACTGCCCGCGCTCGCTCCGCAGCCCGCAGCCGATTGCGGCCAAAGGACGCGCCAGCCGACCGGAGCAATGGAGGACCTCCTCAAGGACGGCTACGACAACAGCCACCGGGCGTTTCTGCAGGCGCTGCTGTCGCATGGCGCCATAACGTTCGAAGAGGCACAAGCCATCCTGGCAGCCATATTCAATGCCGCCGCCGGCGGAAGCGGGAGCAGCAACGGCGACACGCGCCCCGAACAGGTGACGCAAGAGGACTTCCAGGCGTACCTAGAGGTCGCGTCTGACGCGGCATCGCTCTTCGATTACGAGATCCGGAGCACCGTCCACCAGGTCACTAAGCAACGCATCTACGCTCTCGTCAACACAGCGTCGGACCCGCAGACGCAGCTCGCCACCACCTACAGCCCAGAGGAGCTGGCATTCATCAAGCGTGTCCTCGACGGCATGTTTGACAAGTACAATTCACCACGCATGGAGGTGATCGCCATCACCGAGATGCAGGCCATCAAATTCGCGCGGCCCAGGAACCGGCGCCAGACCGGCGGCGACGGCGACGGGCAGCAGCAGTCAGAGTCGCAGTCGCAATCAGCGGTGTCGGCTAGGGGACTCAAGCACAGCGAGGTGGAAACGGTGCTGGCCAGCCTCGTCGACGGCGGTTGGTTCGAGAAGAGCAGGGCCGGCTTCTACTCTGTGACGCCGCGCGCGCTTCTCGAGCTCCGGCCGTGGCTGTTAGAGACGTACAACGACCCGGACGCCGCGCCGGACGAGTGGCAGCGCATCAAGTTTTGTGAGGCCTGTAGGGACATTGTTACGGTGGGCCTGCGGTGCTCCGAGCCCAACTGCACGCTGCGCCTCCACGACATTTGCCAGGAGGCCTTCCTGCGCGCGCAGCGGGCCGAGAAGTGCCCCAAGTGTTCGCGCCCGTGGGTGGGCGACCGCTACGTTGGCGAGCGTGCCGTTACCCAGACGGAGGCTTACCAGCGGGGCCGCAGGCAGAGCGGCGCGCGGCGTGCGACGCTGGCCGACGAGGTCATGGAGCAGCAGCGGCAGGCGGACGAGGACAGCGAGGAAGAGGAGGAGGATGTAGGCGAGGAAGAGGAAACGCGCGAGGTGGCAGCCGAGTGATGGAGAGATACGAACGAGGCGACTGCGTCGCACGATCACGCGGCGGGCATACCGAGATGGCTGGAGTTGCCAAGAGATACCCAACAAAAATGTGAAATTCGTCAAAGGATGTGACTACCTTTTGAAGCAGTGCCCAACAATTGCCGTGATGGAGTCGGCACAGTACTTTGCGCAACCCAGCTAACTTCATGCCTGGCGACCACTATGTGCGAAGTACGTACCATCAAAGCACGTGAAGACACCTCAGCAAGCTCAGTGCCGTTCCACCCACCCAGATCCAAGGTGGCTCATGACATCACTTAGCCGTGGTGGCGGTGCATCGCTTCAGCGGCCGCCAGCGAGCTCCCTCCACCAGTGGCGGGGGATCTGCGAGTGTCGGTTGTGAGGTACTTGGTCTTGGGACGAGTGCCAAGGGGAGCTGGCCGTCCTTGCTTTCACCTCATGCAAACAATAAAGCCGCCGACCTCTGAGGCCACCCCCTTTGTGTTGCGCCATCCTCGCCCACACACGCCGATATAAAGACACTGCTCAGAGCCAGGCGCACATACAGTACGAGCTCCAGCCATCAAATCCACACACACTCCACAGTACACATACACGCAACCGCTCGCCCCCCCCCCTCCCCACGATGCTCGAGTACTTTACGTACAAAAAGGTCAAGAAGCACCGGGCGCAGAAGGAGGCTGAGAGAGAAGCGAAAGACGAGGCCCAGCGCCACGCCAACGAGGTCAAGGACTCGGACGACATCCTCGACGAGCGCGCCAGCAGGCAGGACCACGACAAGAACGCGCACCGTCACAAGGACAAGCACCACCGCCACCATGGCGAGCACCAGCAGTCATCAGCGTCGCCCGTGCTGGACCCTGACGACGAGTCCTTCCTCGAGGAGCTGTTAGCCGGCGCCGACGGGCCCGCGCCGCCGCTGCCCCCGCGAACCTACCTTGCCGAGTTCGACTGGCCGTCCGACAACGAAGCTGCCGCATCATCCTCCGAGGGGCGCGAAGAGGTCGGCGAGGCGTCACAACCGCACAAGAAGGGCGGCGCGGACAAGACCGCCGCGGCTGAAAAGAAGCCGAACCGGTTGTCCCTGCTCTTCACGCGACACAAGAAGACGGAGCAAGGCCTCGAACCCGAGAAAGACGTGTCTCCCGCCGAGGGCGAGCGTGAGACAAAGGACCTCAGCCGCGTGCTCGACCGCCTCAACCTGTCGGCCAAGAACAACAAGGTCATCTCGTCGACCGACTCGTCCGAGGTGCTACAAAAGTTCACGCAGGTCTTCAAGGACCTGGTCAACGGCGTGCCCACCGCGTACGACGACCTGGCCAAGCTCGTCGAGGATCGCGACGGCACCCTCTCCAAGGGTTTCGACAAGCTGCCCTCGTCGCTCAAGAAGCTCGTCACCCAGCTCCCCGAAAAGATCACCCAAAGCCTCGGCCCCGAGATCCTTGCTGCCGCCGCCGGCTCCCAGGGCATCAAGGCCGAGGCCGAAGGCGGCATCAAGGGCACCGCCAAGAAGATCTTGCTGCCGCATAATATAACCGAGCTGGTGACCAAGCCCGGTGCCATTGTCGGCATGCTGCGCGCCATTGTCGAGGTCCTCAAGACGCGCTGGCCTGCTTTTATTGGCATGAATGTCATATGGAGCGTCGCACTTTCGTGTAAGTTAAAGCTTGTGTAATGCTATACCCCCTTGCCATGATTTTGAAGCTGACGCCACTCCGCAGTGCTGCTCTTCGTCCTGTGGTACTGCCACAAGCGTGGCCGCGAGGTCCGCCTCGAGCGCGAAAAGTCGGAGTCGGCCATTGACGGCAGCGATCGCATCGAGGAGCTACCCGATGACCCGGCCCTGCCGGCGCCCGAGACGCGTGTCGCCGACGCCGACGCCGAGGTGGCTGCACTGGCGTCCGCTCCCAGACCGACTAGATCGCCAGCCGCGGACCGGCGCGAGGCGTCGCCGTCGCGGCGATCTTGAAAGCCCTGGCATGAGTTGACGATCAACAGCGACGACGGAACTGTGGATGTGAGGGGATATGGCTCACGACAGTTATGAGAAGGGGCGGATTTGCCCGGTATGACGGCTATGAATTGCTCTGTTAATTATACAAAGTGGGCGCCACTGGATTGACGCTGCGATGAGACACGTTACGCATAACATAATCTTCGTTGTTTGTGTTTCAAATGCAATGGGTATCTCGACCTACAAGCCCCGTAACCATGCTCCAAATGTTACATCGCCTTGGCGCCTACGCTCAGTCGTCCTGCACCAACTCTTTGATCTCTTCCCGGCCGAGACCCATGGCCGACGAACCGGTCCGCGGCGCGGCGCCGTTCTGGTCCGTCGAGCCACCGCCGTCTTGCATCCAGAAGTCGACCTCGTCGACTACATCGTACACAACGTCCTCGGCAATCTGTTCTCTCCACCGCTCAGACAACGCCCTGATCCGTGGTTCCGTTGGGATCATGTCTACGTCGTCATCCGTCGAGACCGAGGCGTGCTTGTATCCCGGCGGCGGATACCAAAAGTTGGGGCCAAAGTTGACCTCTGCCGCGCCGCCCCGGAAAACGCTCACGGCAGGGTAGTAGCCAAGCATCCCGTCATCGAGGCCCTCGCGGGCGCCGACTTGGGGCATGGGTTTGGAGGCGGGAGGAAGGAAACCGAGCAGGTTTGCAAATGGCTGACCCACAAGGACGCCGTTCTTGTAAATCTTGATGCACGACTGAGGCAGTGTGCGTAGCGCAGGGTGCGTGTGTAGCGGATTGGGAGCCTGAGAGGATGACGAACCTGCGCCTATGGGCGATGGGTTCATCAGGTCCTCCAGCTCCTTCGTCGAGTGGTACTCGATCTTCTCGAAGTACGTGTGCGCTTTGAACCTGATAGGCACTCGGTCGCGCACAATGTTGGGGGCCTCAGCAGTAGACGGCGGCTCCTCGTCCGCCGAATCGACCGCAGGGTTGTAGTTCCCGGACATGATCTTGCGGTGCAGGTACTCGGACGGAAGCTGTATTTCGAGTCCGATGACATCGCCCTCGCGAATGCCTTCATCAGCGGGGAAGAATTCCTTGGGGCGCGACATATGCACCTTTTCACCCGCAACGTCCCTGATACCGTAGCTGTAGGCGTCAAAACCGACGGGCGCGTCGAGCGATGCTTCGCGTCTCGCCCACCCCACGCGGACATGCTGGCCGCCCTCGGGTTTGCCCGAGCCATCTTTTGGCTCTCGCACACCCTTGACGATTTTGCATTCCCAGTACCAACATCCTTCTCGGACTGCCACATTGGCTCGCGCCATCCGAAATCCTTTGTCAGTGGTGACATGCCGCGCGGATTTGTCAAAAAACACGTGGCTCGCAGCATCTTCGTAGCTCATGCGAGGACCGTAGGGTTCAGACTCGGTCTGGCGATAGTATATCATAGATGGGAAGAGGGGGTCGGCAATGCAGTGCGTGTAACGAAAGTTTTTCTTGTTGAAGACGCTTGGGGAGAGTTAGCGACAGCCGTGCCCATTCATGCATCAGCGAGTTCACTTACTGTTCTGAAGTCTCGAAGAACTCGACGCTCTGGCCCCCCTGAGTCGCGACTTCATGATGAGATGTGGTAATCGGCCCTCGCGGTGGCTCAAAGTCGGAAGGCTTCGGCGGTGCAAGCTTGTATCGTAGAGGGCCCGTCTCGCCAGTCGGAAGCTCGGGAGGAGCTCTCGGGTCTGGGGTCCCGGAGCGACTATCCGGGCCGCCCTTGGCCTCGCGTTTTTTAAACGAATCCTTCTTCGCCCGAGAAGACTTAGCCCGATTCGGCTGTGACGCGTCTTCGGGAGGCTGGGAGTCGGGCCGCCTAACGTCTGGGTTCAGCGGTGATGACACTGCGGGCCCGTGGGAGTCGTCCAGCGCGCGTTTTTGCGGGATGGAGGAAACGGAGCCCGAAGGCGTCGGCTCCCGTTTGGGAGTCTCGACATCCGAGGACATCTCCGAGGCTCCAGGATTGTGTGGTATGCGGATGCGTATCGGGCGGCGGCCGTGGGTGGTGAGTGAGCCGGCGGTCGTCGCCCTTTGTATGGCTGCAGAGCTAAAGTGTCGAGGTGCAGCTTGACGCGTTGTGGTGGAGGTTGGCCAGAGATGGGAAAGATAAGATAGCGATTGCAGGATCTGGGCTGCCCATCTCCAGCCGTGGCTTGAGTGGGTTCCCAGCGGGCACCGCCGGAAGGAGGCGCATGTACAGTCAGCAGGAGCCAGGCCCAAACGCGGACTAGCGCGACCCGGATGACCGAGCCTGTGGTCACCCCTGCGCGGTTGGTCAGCCGCGGACCAATGGCAGGGTGGCGAATGTAATCACAACGCCTGGACTTGCTCCTCGTTGGGAGGCTAGAAGACTCCCCACAGCGCGAAGGGGCTGTCAAAGGGTCGCCATGACGCCGAGGAGGGTCGCCGGCGCCCAGGATATTCTCTCCTAGCGCGCGTGGTGCAGCGTTGCAGACATCCATGGATCGCAGACGACGTGGCCACGATGCGGCCGCGATGCCTGCGGATGGGGAGCTGAGGCCTCGCCAAGCACGTGGTTTGTGAGTTTGTGGGCTGATGATGCCACCTGGGCACCTTCAGGGGGTCCACGTCCGGCGTTGCGTGCATGCAAGGTTTTTCCGGGGGGATTAGGTTAGGTTCCAAGCGTGCAGGGCTTCTGAGGCATCGTGCGTGAGGTGAGGTGCCCTGCTGTAGAATCGACCGGCTAGCAGGTGCCGCGTCACTGAAGCGGCGCCGCCAGGCCCCTCCGCACCACTCGCACACCCCCCCGGAGCGGCTTCCCAGTGGCTCCAGACCGCCACTGCGACTGCAGCCCAGGCCCTCATCAGCGCCTCAACTTATCTCATCATCCTCCGTGGCCCCCGCGTCCACTGCCAGACGGCAACTTTCCCGACTTACCTATCGCTGCTCGAGGAGCCATTACCACTCCGGGCACACGAACCAACTTGGCGTGCAGGATCTTCCCCTTCTATCCCCTCCATCTCGACACCGTCGCACGCCGACTTCAACACCATCTCGCGTCGCTTGCCCAGGGTAAACCGCGCAACGTCTGCAGACCCTGGCTCACCACTTGCAGGCGCCAGCCATTACCGCCCAGTTTGGACGTCGTGGTACCTCGCCGTTGTGCCCCTCGAGCCTCGTCATCCCGTCTCCTGGTCTCACCGCCGGCACCGGCGACCTGGTTCCCTGACCGTATCTGTCAAGACGAGCTTGACGTCGGGCGACACGTGCGTTCCGGACGGCCACATTTACCCATCCTCTTTTCGCCTTCGTCCTCGGCGTCGACAGCCCCTGTCGTCACCATCCCTAACGCTGGCCTTTCAGACGCCTCGTGCCTGCACGTCGACTTCTCCTGGCCACGAAGCCACAGCGACACCGTCTTGACGCCCACACCACTGCCGCGCCAAAATCAAAGACTCTGGAGCCATCTCCCGCTGCATGGCGATGAGCCACGTATCGCAGGCTTCGGCGCCGCCGGCGCACGGGAGAGAGCCCGGTTCCATGCGGACCGCACTCCCGTCCCGGCCCATGTCGTCCAAAACCCGCGACAATAGCGGGCCCAGTTCATCAGGGGATGCCCGGCTGTCTGTTGATAACAACGGCTACGATTCGCGGCGCAGCGACGGCAGCGCGTCGCCCAACTCCAAAGCCAGCCCGATGAACGATGGCGCCAGTTCTTCCAGAGGCCCTAGCCCTGCCTCGACGGTTGGCGAGGGAGGAGCGAAGTCTGGCGCCAGTCAGGGAGGACAAGTATGCAGGTACGATTTCGAGTTTGACGTCCGGGAGCACGAGTATCTCGCCGCTGACTCTGTTTAGCAACTGCGGCACCACTCGCACGCCACTCTGGAGGCGATCACCTCAAGGTGCTACGATATGCAACGCCTGTGGACTCTACTTGAAAGCGAGAAACACTTCTCGGCCCACGAGTCTCAAGAAGCCCCCCAATGTCGTCTCTACCGGAGCGTCGCGGCCAGTCCTTAGCAAGACCACATCCAACTCCTCCGCCAAAGCCTCTTCGAACGTTAGCGGTGCCACCTACGTCTCAGCCGAGCAAACTCCGACAGGTACTTGCCCAGGCGGGGGACGCTGCAATGGCACTGGCGGTGCCGAGGGTTGCAACGGCTGCCCTGCATACAACAATCGCGTGTCGAAGAGCGCACAGCTCGGTGTCATGCAGAGGCAGAAAGGCTGCGGCGGCGGCCGAGCCGACCCGGAACGAAGCGAACCAACCCCTATCGACGTCAATGCCCTTCAACAACAAGCCCAGAGCCCCGATACCACCGTCGTGATCGCGTGCCAGAATTGCGGCACAACAATCACACCTTTGTGGCGACGAGATGAGAGTGGGCACACCATATGCAACGCTTGCGGTGAGTTGGCGTGCGACGATAGCGGACTTGCGTGACTAATACTAACCCATATCTTCAGGTCTATATTACAAGCTGCATGGGGTCCACCGTCCTGTCACGATGAAGAAGGCCACAATCAAACGACGCAAGAGAGTCATTCCCGCTTCCCAAGAGGACGAGCACGACGAGTCTGCGGATGACACTCGCAGCTCGGAGAGGACCCCAGAGAGGGGAACCGAAAACGAGGACGGCTCCATCAATCTTGGCTTTCGTCGCCGTCCAGAACACCCCGCCGCGATCGAGCCCGAGCCCGTAATGCGATCGAGTGGCCAAAACTCACCGTTGCCGCTACCCTCCGCAGTTGATCTGGCCGCATATCACCAGTCGCGCGGCTTCTCGCGAAACGTGGCAAGCCCTCTCAACGACGACAATCGCCTGCCGCCAATGTCCTCTATGACGGCTGCCATGTCGGATAGACAGTCGTCGATGTCGCCCGCCTCATTTTTGTCACCCAGACGGAAGCGTTCTTTCTCGGCCACCGAGACCGATGCTGGAAGCGTGACTGACGGAGGACACGAAGGCGCGAAGAGACTATCATCCATTAAGTCCATCTTGAATCCCCAATCTGGTCACGATGAGCGGCCAGTTTCCAGGCCGGGCAGCGTCGATAAGGGAGAGTACACCCTCCCTCCCCTTCGCTCCTCCGGGCCGGGGTTGGGGCCCGCCGGTAGCCCGGGCCCGTCAGCGACCATGGAGCCCAGCTTGAACATGAGCAAAGGGAACGATACCCAGGGCTCGCGGGATTTTGGTGATGCAGAGAGGCTCAGAGTGGAACGAAGATTGGCTGTTCAGAAAGAGGCGGACCGAATCCGCGAAATGCTCGCTGCCAAGGAGCGCGAGTTGATGGAGCTGGGAACCGACTAATGTCCACAACCGGATTATTGGCGAAGGATATTACGGACGACTTATGACACTTTTCTGTGGGAGCATGGAGTCTGAATTGCTTCGAAGAGGCACGGCGGTCAGGCGGGTTGGGCGGCAGAGTGCCTGTGCGGCCCATCGGCGAGACGGCGTTTTTGTGTTTGATTTTGCCAAATTCTCTTATTACGCGATTCCAGGATGTTCTTTTCCGGGGTCGAGACATGATGCTCTCCATGGGCATAAAATTGCCGGTTACAGCAGCCCGGTTCAGCCACAAGGCGGAATGCGCAAGCATCGCGACATATACCTATCCTAGATTGTTCAATGTTAGATTTCAACAGCCCATTGTTCTTGAGACATGCTAGTTGTTATGCCTTGCCCTATGACTCGTGAAGATCGCTTCCCGTGCACGGGTTGTTCGACGAACTGGGCAGGCAGACCGCAACCAAACAGTCAGTCACACCAGCTGAAGTAGCTGACATGGCCCGTGAGAGGACCTGCAACAATTCTCACCTGTATTGCACCCGGATGAACACAGGCCAAGTGTGTGCGGCGTTTCATGACTTTCAAGGGGCATAATGATCAGGTGCTCGTTTACCATTCCAATTTCGTGCTTCTACCAAACACGAATTTTGAAGTTACATAACAAAGAGTCATGAAGGACCTTCAGGAGTAAAGTAACCACGATGACTGAGTCCGTTACTATTACTCATGTTTATTCAATATGCGTCTGTCAAGTCACTATAAAGAGTATGCCCTCCTATTTCAAGAAATCCCTTCATTCCTTCTCCAGGTACATGTAGCCTTACAAGCAAGACAAAGAGACAACTACTATCCTCGTTACGGCATCCGCACCATTCGTGCTGCGAACTTAGCACCATGCCTCCTGCACTTGCCGAGAACTCGATCGCCACATACGCGGAGGCGGAAAATCGCGCCGGGATGCGAAAGGTCGAGGAAAGCTGCCGCCTAGAAAACGATCGCATCATCGACCTCTTCGTCGTCAACCTGGAGTGGCCGCAACGGACGCCTCTCGGACTACAGCTGCTGAGGCAATCTCTCGAAAAGGAGATTGGCGCGTCGGTACACTTTGGCACTTCTCCGGGACAGGCTTACATCTACATCGGACTCGACTTTGCGTGGGCACATCTGGCTCAGAAACTACGCCTGGCGATATTCGAGAACAATTTGGTGCCCAAGTGGACACCTCTGTGATTGCGATCGCTTATGGAAGGTATAGCGGTGTATGGCTTATCAAGAGGCGTTTACTGGTGCCTGTTCTGTGTCTGTTACGCGCTCATAGCTAGTCTTCCATACTTTCTGCCAGGTTATGAGGATCAAAGCCACACCTTTTCTCCTCTCCGGAGGCGCAACATGGGAGTGAGGGAGGAGTTGGTCGACGAGGTAAACTGTGTTTGGAATACTGATTTGGAAGGCCGAACATCTGCGCTTACACGGCGCCTCGACTACTCTGGCGAGTCTTCGCATAGATGATGAACTAAGAAACCCCAGTGTGCAGGCCGATCTTCCCCGTGCCTCGTGCTGGATATGATGGAATATTTGCACCTCCTGGTTCTCCCCAATTCTCTGCTATCCACCTCTCTGCGTTCGCACCTCTCCGCCTCCCACGTCCGTAGACCGCCACATGCTCTGCCCGTTCCCAACCTCAGGCTCGACCTAGTAACATTCAGGCCAGATAGCCCAGTCCTTGATTGGGTCAGTGCCGTAGAATGACGCCAACACGGTCAAGCTACCGCGGTCAACCGGACCGTTGCGGTTCCCGAAGGCCTTATTAAGAAGTTGGCCATTGCTGTCGACGATCTCTGAATGGTTTAGGCTAACTCGAACCTCATACTGAACGAGCGGTTCTTGGTTCCTCAATCCTCCCGGATACTTTGTCGCCTTCCTCGCCCACGAACTCCGGATCTGTCAGCCGTTTCAGTGGAATGCCGATAGGCTGGGTGGAATGGTTGCTACTGCGATGCTGAGGTGCAATAAACCAATGTTGCGGCTGCTCCTGGATCGTCAAGGACCATGATGTAAGTGCATCTAGGTATATCCGGTGATGCGAACTGGGGTAGAGCTCTGAGGGAGCAGATGATGTGGTGCCGCGCGGCCGCTCTCGTAAAAGTCGCGGGAATGGGGCCAATGGATTGATCTGTGAGGGTGATGAAGGGAAGCGGTAGAATGACCACACATGCGACAGGGAGTGTGGTGGCGGATGTGGCTATCTCATGTCCACTGAAGAGTGAGGACGTGCAGGCTAACGAGACGGCGGAACACGAGCTCCTGTTTTGGATGTGATGGGCTCGCCCTCCTGGCGCTCTTGAATTTGTTTCCGGGTAGAAAGCGCAGTGTCTTGGCTACGCATCCCGGCTTCGGCCTCGTGCTCAGCTTTTGCTGGCTCGCGAAGGTAGTGAGTCGCCGTGGTGTACTCCTCGTTCGCACAAGTTTTGCGCGATGTCGAACTGTTTACATTTGACTGTGTTGAATCCTGGAAATGTGACCCAGCCCTTCCGAAGTCTCGGTGGCTGGGATGAGGTACTTGATGTACGCGCTGAGCCGTCTTGTAGCCGTAAGGGTGGGACGTCAGTGGTGCCGGGAAAGAGAGTATCGACAAAGGTTGCGTGATGGTCTGTGTCCGTGATGTCGCAGAGGCGACAGGCCAGAAGTCATTACCTTGCAGATCTTGTGAACGTTGTGCACAGCTCATATATGATGGGCAGTGTAATAGCCGGCATGTCTGTGCTGTAAAGCAGTACTAGTACGGTGAGAGAGGAGGGGAGTGTGAAGAACAATACTGGGCGAACTTGGAGTTCACATACCCTTGAGAGAGTATGCGTGAATCAAGGAAACTGAGATAATAATCTGATTTGTGTGCGCACCTGAACCGACCGACCCCCTTGCGATTCATTGGTCTGTGTTGAGTGCATGTCCCCTCGAACCGTGTTTGCACAGTTTGAGTGTGCAAACAGAGGCCCGTTTCCGTATCCCAAACGGCTGCTCCATCAGTCATGCAGATGGACGGCTCCCACGAGGAAAAGCCGCCGACCTGTAGTGAGTCAGTCTCGCGATTAGAATATTTGCTGGGGTCTCGAAGGGCGGCTGCATTCGCGGTGGTTGATTCCGATGCAACTTCCTCAACGATCACTACAACAAGGCACTGAGCGGATCATGGTACCAAGGGCAAGAGCAGGCGTGGTGACTCGCATGCTACTTCCCTAGGTGCCAGCTTCTACTTACCTTATACACGCATTCACCCATTTCGTCGCGGTCATTCGGCAAGACGCGTCTCGACATCCATTCTCCCCGCCCATCGCACCGAGACAGCAGCCAAGCAGCAGCATCACAAGTATTCTCAGTAGACACCCCTCTCTCCGCAGCCATGCTTCGTCCATATCCGCCTCCTGCCCGCCCAGGCCAGCACAAACTCCTGGCGGATGTCGCAGAGAACGATTCCTCGCCAAAGGGCTACTCCAGCTCCCCTTCGCGAGTACCCCAAGTTGATCGCCGTCAATCAACGGCCTTTCTCCGCGACGCGCCCTCATCGAAGCGAGAGATTTCCCTCGCCGATGACTAGAACTTTGACAAGGAAAACTCAGACTCGCACAGTCGCTCCCACATAGGGTCGCAATTGGGACTGGGCCCCATTAGGGGCGAGCAAGAGACCGTTTTTCATCTTGACGCACCAGATGACAACACATGGAAAAACAATACACCTTCGTTCGTTCGGAATGCCACAGCGTTCCCCGTATCTGATGGGGACTTCGTTCGTGACTGGAAACACAGCAGGAACCAAATTAGCGGCGATGCCAGGAAACCTCAAGCGTCTACTACGAGACCCCGAGACGCGAGTCCCGACTCTGAAGGCTTCCTCAAAGCCATGGACGAGAGTCTTCAGCTCGAACCACCTCGGGTACCGACTCCAACGGGAGACAAACGTACAGCACACCCTCGGAGCACCTCTTCCGAGTATCCTTCCCCCGGGCACGCGTCGCCGCGTGTGCAGTCACCCGCGTCAACCGTTTGCATTCATAGACTCAGCTTCTCAGACCTCGCCCGATTTGGTCGCGCCAATGACCGCCTGTCTTATCTCCGGTCCAGTACACCAACGTCTTCCACCCAAGACGCCAACGCCGACGTCAGCCGCCATGACGTCCTCGATGAGGCATCCGCTGCCATCTCTGAATGGCGCGGGGAGCCATGGTCAAACAAGGAGGCGCCGTACAACCACTATGAGCTCACGGATAGCTCAGAGGTGCTTCCTGGCGATTCTCTGTCGCAGCGAGCAAGCCCAAATCGCTCCGAATCCGCCAACGGCTCGCTCAGTATCAAGTACCAGGACCCCCTCCGAGGTCCACAGAGACGGAACTAGGACAATATCCAACTCTCAAAGGACCAGTACGATGGGCCAGCTGAGGCTCAAGGCCCCGGCAGCCCCGCAGCAGCTGCACCCCAAGCTGCTTGCCAAGCGACCAAAGAATCTACACGAGGACCAGACCACCAGACAAAACGGAAAGCGTCGCAATTCTCACTACGCAGCCTCAGCAGGTCGTTCACGAAGCGGCCACGACTGACAGGTCTGCGCAGGTTCGCCAACACGGTCTACCGCGGAGGGTCTCGTCGGCTCAGCCGCGCATATCACAAATGGAAGCACCAGAACGAGGTGGAGCGCAAGCAGTTCGAGGCATGGCGAGCGAACCGCCGCCGAGAGCACCCCGCCGATCCGCTCAAGGGCAAGTCCGAGAAGGGGTTTGGGGTGTTTTCGTTTGAAAAGAGTCGCTATGGTGACGAGGAGTGGTGGAAGGAGGGCGTGGCCAAGTATCAGGCTCCGCCCTGGATGTTGTTCCAGAAGTAAAGTTGCGAGTTGCACTACCGGGCTCGCAGACACACAAGGGATCTGGCGAGTCCTGGGGAACTACTGCGCATAGGTCGCTTAAACGCAAGCCGTGTGAATCATTACTATTCAACGTGGTATATAAAGAGAAATGTGCACAGTTCGTGCCAAACGCTCGCTTCACAACATGTACCGGAACATGTAAGACGGCTCCGTCTTTCTTCTCCCATGGCCGACCAGACCCTCCTCCTCGACCGTGTCTCCGCCCGCAAGCCTGTCTGCCTCGGCCCTGTCCATCCTGCGGTTCTGGAACTGGAGGTAGAAGCGCAACACGGCGGCAAGGACGGCGACAGAGAGCATGGCGCACGCGCAAGCCATCATGCCTCGCCCATAGTAGGGCGCGTCGGCGTCCGGGTAGAGGCGGGTGCCGACAAGTGGTCCGCACTGACCGACGAGCTGAAGGAGCGCAAAGCCACCACCCTGGCGGGTCTGACTGGCCTGGTTGTTGATGCTCCAGGCGATGACGAGGGTCACGACATTGAAGAAGCCGACGGCGGCGGGGTAGACGGCGAGGTAGCGCAGCCAGGCGGGCAGGTGGAGGGACTCGGAGAGGGCGAGAGTGGCGTAGCCGGCGGCGGAGGCGAGGGCGTGGAGGGCGATGGGGACGGTGCGGGCGCGCAGGCGGTCCGACATGTGGGCGGTGAAGAGGACGGCGACGAAGGCGAGGAGGTAGGGCGGTGCGCTCAGGGCCTGGGCGGCGAGGGTGCTGTGGCCCATCTCGTGGATGATCTTGGGGAGGAAGACGGGGAGGGACGAGTAGGCCATGTTTGTGAGGAAGAACATGGCGGCCGTGATCCAGGCGACGGGGTCGCAGAAGACGGCAGCGAGGTCGCGGCCCCGGAGGCCGGACGCGGGCTTGGAGGCCGGCCCGGAGTCGGAGGAGGCGGTACCGGTGGCGGACGCTGCGCCGGCCGGCGCCTCGTGCCGCAGACGCAGCCGGGCGACCTTCTTCTCGCGCTTGGTGAGGTACGACGCCGTCTGCGGGGAGTCGGGGATGACGCTCCAGGCGATGACGGAGACGATGACGGAGGGGAAGCCCTCGATGAGGAAAAGCAGGCGCCAGGGGGCGATGGGACTGAGCTCGGCGAAGCGCACAATGACCCAGGCGAGTGTCGACGCGAAGCTCGTCGCTAAGGGGGCCGCTGGGGAAGGGGTAGAGGAGAGAGTGTCAGCCGTCAATTCCATTACTTTATGATCATAGCATCTGCGCGAGATCGGAGCCTCCTACTCACCCGATATGAAGATGGCGGTCCGAAACGCCAGCTCATCGCGGCGGAAGAAGAAGCTCAGGTAAAAGGGTATGCCAGTGAAGCCCGCCTCGCCGATGCCGAGGAGGACACGCAGCGCGATGAGGACTGGGTACGAGGTGGTGACGGCCTGGAGCGAGGCCGTAAGCCCCCAAGTGAAGACGACGGCCGAGACGAGGACATGGGCGGGGACGAGCTTCCATAGCAGCGACATCCACTCAAAAGCAATGTACGAGATGTAAAAGGCCGTCAGCGCCCACTCGTACCAGTCGTCGCGCGGAGGGTCCGTTTGCAGGTCCTCGTCCATGCCGGCGATGCGCGCGTTGCCAATGTCTGTATGTACATGCCGTTGTCAGCATCAGTCTGTGTCATTCCGTATTGCGCATTGTCTCCCTGCTCTCTGAGCTTGTACATCTCTGGCCGGAGAGGGGGTGATGGCAATGAGAAGACGGTGAGATGACATTGAAAATGAGATGAGATGAGATGACACGAGACTCTGGGAGGGAGACGCACTGGAGCGGTCGAGGAAGCTGAGCATGAATAGCAGCGTCACAAACAGCACCAGCCGCCTGTCGAACTTGCGGCGCACGGCGCGCTCCTCGTCCGGCGTGTAGAGCTGGAAGGTTGCGACAGTGCTCGCGCTGGGCCGCCGGGCGGAGCGCATTGCGCGCGCGCCCGAGCCGCTGCCAGCGGCGGCGGCTGCTTCGTCCACGCGCTCCACCATCTCGTAGGACTCGGCGGCGCCGTTGCCCACCTCGGAGCGCAGGTCTTCCTCGTCGTCGTCATAATCGTCATCGTCGTCGATGGCGTCGCTGCTGTCGTCGAGCGTAAACTCGGCGCCCGTCTGCGCGAACGAGGCCGAGGCCTCCCCCGCGGGACTCGCCGGGCTCACGGGGCGGAACGACATGGCGGGCGGTGGCGGCACATGAAGCTGAACAAGGGGGGGGGTTGGTTTGGCGCAGCCAAACTTGGACGGAAGGACAGAGGGCGAGCTACTACTAATGCTAGCAGTACTCAATCCGCATCAACGGATCCGCTGCTCGCGTCTTGCAGCACAAGGTCAAGCTCCCCGGGGATCGAAACGCTGTGCCATGCGGCGCGGGGACGCGTCTCCGGACGGGTCGCGAGATTTCTTATGCGGTTGTTGTAAAACGTACAAAGTACACTTGGGTACTAATGAGGTTGTGGTGTCGAGTGAGCTGCTGTCTCTCAGCCTTGCGTGCAGTCGGATATGCGAGCCCCCCACGTGACAGCTGCATGTCATACGAAGTACAGGGTCCAATCTGACGCGACGCGATGCCGGGCGTCACCTCTGCGCAGTTGCAATTGCAAGTGCATGGGACGCTGGGATAGGTCTGCTTCGGGTTCAAAAAGGCCTGGATGCCGACGGTGAACCAACCCTTTTACTCGGTGCACCGTCAACTGCGCGCACGTTTGAAACGTGAAACGCGCTGCACATCGGCACCACCAAACAAACTGAATACTGGGCTCCCAGCCCACTGACTCAAGATCGAAACCAGCACTCATCCTCGCCAATGACCTGACCCTCACGCACGTCGCATCGTACAATTAGACTTCGCTCATCATTAAACACGTAAGGTAGGGATATCGTTACAGGCCTGGACTCCCGCACCTGCCCTCCCCAGTCTACCCGCCATCGCTAGAGCTCCACGACGCATGCCCACGACACCCCCAAACTCCAAAGAGCAAGTCCAGCACCAGAATCGTCACATCGTCGCTGCTTTTGTCCCCGCCTCTTGAACGCCATCCCTTTCCAACCTTGTAGGGTCATGATCCGTCCTTCTTGGAAAACAGCCGGCGTAGTCCCTTCGTCGATAGCTTGTGCCGCAGCCCAGGCTGCGGGCTCGTCTTGATGGGGTCGTTGCGGAGAAAGTCGGGCTGCTGGCTGGCTTCTTGCTTTTCCTTGCCCTTGGCGGCTTCAGCTTTTGCGCTTGCCGTCGGGGGCCTTTGCTCGCGGCCGGGTGGCGCTTCCGCTGCCGGCCTCATCGGGAGATTCAGGTTCCTGGTCGGCGTCACAGCTCCTTCGTCCGAGAAATCGTACTCATCCGAGCTACCCTCATCTGGCGCAACCCTCTCCTCGTCTGCGCACACGACAATGTGCCACCCTATCCTCTCCCCGACCTGCAGCTTGTCCCGTAGCTTCTCGAACCAGCCGTCCGCGTCGTCTTTTGTGGCGGCCGCCGAGGCCGCCTCGTACCGAGCCATCTCGTCGCCGACGTTGACGCTGAGATCCACGCGGACGACATAGTCGGCGACAAAGGCGTATGGCCGGCTCGCGCTCTGCGTTTCCTCCACATCGTACTCCTCCAGCAACTTCACCGGCGACCAGTCGTTGGCCAGCACGTCGTCCTCGGACGGGGGCACACGCGACGGGGGCACCGACAGGTCGTCATCGCGGTGTGGCCGTGGTTGGTCCTGCGCCGCATCCGCATGCTCCAGAACGGCTTCTGGTACGGCAATGGGCTCCTTGGGGAGAAAGTCAAAGTTCTGCGCGAACTGGGACAGCAGGGAAGCCGAGCTTGTGCGGCCGACGATCCAGTCCGGGGCGGCATCGTCGATGTCGTTGAGGATGACAAAGATGCGGATCTCGCGGCGATGCCACCGGAAGCCGTGGCAAAGGTAAGTCGGCATCGTGGCAGGTTTGCAGTGGCTGCTGCAGCGTCGCGCAGCTCAAGGTGACGTGCGTCGTCGTCCGTCTCAACGACGGGGCTACTTTGGTTCGGCACCTCCCAATTGATACAACGCAGAGGGCCCTCGGGCCAGCCTGGTGTTCACACGAGGGGAAGAGGAGAGCTTCACGTCGCACACATGGCGACATGCCCGCGATGTGGCGATGGGCGATAGCGAGGGCGACCGGGATGCCGGGGTACCGAGTACGAGCACCGCGGAGCTGAGGTCGGCCGTCTGCAGCAGGAGGCGAGTGAAGACCGTGCGTCGCCGCCGCCCACCCGATCAGCTCGCCGTTGCCTGTGCGGTGTACGAAAGTGCTCGTACTGCGTACTGCGTGCGGCGCGTGGCGGCACGTGAAGCCTTCCTCCGCTTTGGGAAGCGTGGCGACGGCCCGGAGGTGCTTCGCCTTGTGTCGTGCTGAGAGGACGGACGTTTTGACTCGCGACGATTCCAGACGAGGTGACCTTTGCGGCGGCTTACCAGCTGGCGGAGGCGACCGTAGCCCTGTTGCTTGGGTACTTGGTAGGGTTCTGCAGTGGGCGCGCTGAGGTGAGATGCATGGATGCGGCGGCCACCAGTTTTGTAGCGTGGCGTGGCAAGGCAAGGACCACCACCACCACCCTACTGGTAGTTCGTTAGTAGTCTGTCGGGTATATTTTACGGGCACTAACATCTAGATATCCCCGAGGAACCCGCGTCTTTCCCCAGGCCAACTCGCACTGAACAATCATTCGACAAGGCACTAGCATACTTATCCATCCATCAACCTTATGTGCCAAGCAGGTTGTCACTGTATCAATTATACAGCGTCTGCACTTTGCATAGATATCATTACATTAGGTAACTCACGCTATTGCCCCCACGACTCAAGTGCCAGGCCCCCTCCGCGATGCCCGGACCTGCTGCAAGCTGCAACCTGCCCCGTAGCTAGTCTTCAGCGCATGAGCGCCAGCTGCGCCCCTCCGCCAATGGGGGAGGAGCCCTTTGCAGCGAAAACCCGCTCTGTTGGACGACTTCATCACGGAAATTGTACGAGCAGACCAACACGGCAAGTACCAGCGAAAAGCCGGGCGCAAACCTGGAACTTCGTCCCTTCCGTCGACCACCTCGATGGCCAGGAGTGTCACCACAAACGCATTGGTCATCTTCTCCATGTAGCTGGACATGCTCTCCGTGCAGGTACTGTATCAAAGCTGGGAGTGGTATTCGTAAATCGTCATCAACGCCCCTTGCCCAACCCGCCCAGAATCCAAAGTACATAGCATTGCTTTTATAATGCACACGTGCCCGCTGCCCTTGCCAGTCATGCATCCGTTGAGGTATCAATCACCGCCGCCATCTACTTCGCACCGTATCTTTCGTTGAGCACCCACTCTTGCCGTCAATATGCTCGCTGCTCCTCAATCGGAAACAGCGGCCCCTAGTCATTAAATCCAGACAGGCTTAGCCTCACCCCGCCATCATCCTCAGGGTCCTCTACCATCCCCATGTCGATGTTCATGTCGGCCGTGTTGAAGTCAAAATCCATCTCCTGGAGCATGTTGCCCAGCTCGGCGTCCGAGATATTAATCTCCATATTGGTCGGCAGCAACGGCAGGTCAGCCACAGTGTCATCAGATGCCGCCGCCGTGGCGTGCGGAAACTTGTCCTGCATCCACGTCTTGAACTTTTCCAGCAGCACTGGGTCGTCGGCCGCCGTCAAGGGTGAGTGAATAATCTCCTTGGCCTTGGCTTTCAGGGATTGATCCGAGGGAAGTTGACCCGTAGCGGTGATGGTCTTCTCCGCCAACTCGACAAGCCCCGCCTCAAGCTCCCGCGAGCAAAACACGTTCGCCGGGCGAGTGTTGCCTGACGTGAGGGTCTCGAGGAAGCTGTTGGCGGCCGAGTGGTTCGCAGTAAACGACTTGGCGCCTTGGCGCATATTGACCTGGACGTCTTCGTTGTACGGCTCCAAATGTCCCTTTGGAAACGCGTACGGTGGCGCGAAGCCGGTGCCGCCCTGCTCCAGGGCCCATGCGTAGCCCTTGGGCAGCCCGGGCCCAGGCTCCTTCAAGATCCCCACGTCACGCTTGAAGCGCTGCAGCCACTCAGCATTGTCTGCGGCTGTTTGGTTCCATGGGTCATCGCTACGAAAATGGACACGTCAGTCTCATGGTATCGCCAATCTCAGGGCTGATGGGCTCAACTCACTCGTCGTAGAGAATCCAGCGTGCTTGGTACTGCAACTCATCGTCCGTGGGCACATGCCTGCTGGGGTTGTTTGGCGACATGGTCGACTTGACCCAGCGCCGCAGCTCCCTCGCCAGCCTGCGATAGCAGTTGGCGTCGTTGAGGAAAAACGGGACGGGCTGATTGCCTTTGATGAGGTCGGAAAAGTCGTTGAAGCCTCCTGACCTGGAGGACTGCGTCGGCGACTGGGTCGATCCCGAGCCTTGCGTGGTCGACGGCGGCTCCACGACGTCGCGGCAGTTGACTGGTGCTCTCTTGGATGTCTGCTCCGGCGGGTGGCGTTCCTTGAAAGCATCGAGCCACTGGACATTGTCTGCCGCAGTCTGGTTCCATCCATCGTCGAACTCGTAGATGATGATACGGGCTTGCCGCTGCAAATCCTCATCCGTCGGCTCAATGCCCAGGGACCGCTGGATCCTCAAGAAGTCGGTCAACTCACACTCCAGTCTGGAGTAGCTGTGGATTGTCGAGTCGATGGACTTAGGGTCAGTGGAACGGACGGCCTCGTCTTGGACGTCCTCACTCCGCGGCAGGTGTGCGCGGCGACGGAAGGCAGCGAGCCAACCAGTCGAATTCTTGATGAGCCGCAGCAGCCAGTTGGCAACCGTCTCGGACGGATGCGTGCATACCTCTTCAACCCTGCCCACAATCTTACAGGCCTCCTCTTGCAACTCGTCGTCCATAGCCGTTAGCCCCAATAGCCGCTTAGCCTTGACAAAGCCCTGCAGCTGAATCTCCATCGGGCACTCCTCGAAAAGGTTGTCCTTGCCGTTAATTTTGAGAGTCGCCAGCCTGCTTTCGGCGGCGCCACGAAGGGGACCGAACCTGGCCTTTTGCGCAGTGTCGTGCGCGCTCATGATAATGTCACGGAGCCACGAGTCCTGGGTCGCGATTCCCTGCAGCGATAAAAGTTCCGAGGCGAAAATGATACGACACCCTTCGAGCAGCATCTCCTCGTCGGTTGGTGCCTGTTGGTGCTGCTCCCAGTGGTTGGCGCCGAAGTAGGCCAGTTCCAGTTTGATGAGTTCGTAGGCGTTTCGCGGGGACTCGGGCGGCGACGAGTTGGCTACATATGGCAGGGGCGATATGCGCTCATGATGAATGAGATCTGTATTATTTAAAAGTTAGACGACTGAAGCTGGTCTACGGGATACTGCAGAGGCCGCATACAAGGAGGAATGGAGTTCTCGACCATGTCGAGCACGGGCACATCGAAACCCCAGTCACCCTTCCAGTCAGCCATGGAGTAACCAGTCTTGAAGTGCTCCGCCAGGTGGTCAACACGAATGGTCCACGTGTCCATCACGATGCCGCAGAAACCGCACCGAGACCGGATCTCGGGGGTGGCAACTTTCCACTGCTTCATGGACCAGTCCATGAACTTGACGTTGTGAACAAGGCGTAGGTGCTGGTTGAGGTGGTCCTTCCGATAGAAGGTCCGCTCCTCCAGCGTGCGCTCTTGGCAAGCCGAATGATTGTGGCTCTCCATGTGGGCGTCATCCGGGTTGGCCAACCCGCAGAAGACGCAGGATAGCACGCCGGTTTCCGGGTTGACGGCGCGGGGGCCGTCAGGAGCACAGACCCATCGCTCCAAAGATAAATGAAGCGATTTCTCATGCCGCTGCCAGTCGTGCTTGGTCCGGAAAGTCTCGGTACAGAAAGTACACTGGAAAGTCTTGAGAGGGACCGCCAGGGAGGTGGTGGTCTCCTTTCCGAGCTTGGGCGTCGCCCTCCGCCGTCGACGACGGCGTCCCCGGCTGCTGAAGGGAGCCGAGCCAAAAGAGCCCCAAGAGTTGCGCGAGCCGTGCGAGTAAGCTGACCCCCGAGACCCATTGCTCGAGTGTGATGTGCCCAGCGAGCTGGTCGAAGACTGGTTGCAGAGCGACCTGCTGGAACTGTCATCGGTATAATTGAAACTGAAGGGGCTGTTAAGCCCGGAAGACAAAGCTGAAGAGGAAGAAGCCGTGACGGCCCTCGCAATGGCAGTCACGGAAGCGGGTTCATGTTCCGGCGGAGAGTGCTCCCAACGCTGAAGCGGGTTCATGGCCTCGAGCGCCGGAGTCCCGCGCCTCTGGGGAATATCGATTGAGCTTGACCAGTTGCCCGGGTGCGGCGACGTTGATCGCGGTGCTTGGACCTTGCCACGGCGTCTGGCGTTGGCGAGCCAGTTTGTGATTTGCGTCTTATTCAAGCCTGTCTGCCGCTGCAACGCCTCTTTCTCCTCGTCACTGGGATAAGGATGGCGGTTGTGGGAAGAGAGCCAGTTCTTCAAGATGCGAACCGACTCCCGCGAGAAGCGGGCACCAATCTTGGGAGGCGGGCCGGGTTTCGGCGCAAGGATGCCACCGTCGTCAGCCGGGTTGCTGGTTGACAGATTGAACGCGTCGATGGCTGGCGAGTTGGTTCCAGCCTGTCGCTGGTCACTGAGTAGCTCTTGGTTACTGATGGTATTAGGGTGGTCTCCCATGATGGGCCAAGGATTGCTCGGGAACAGAGCGGATGAGTCGCCCCAGTCGAAGCTGCTCGAGGCAGAACGGGCGAAGCTGCACTCGACGCGGAGGGCGACGCAGCTGGTGCAGTAGCCCTTGTATCGACCTTCCCTTATCTTCTTGCACGAGTAGCCGCCCATGGCACAGCTGGAGCAAGGCGAGGCGGTGTTCTCGAGCAAGTCCAGTGCCGGGGTGCCGTCCATGGGGAGATCGATAAGAGCATCATCCAGGCCGGCACCGAGCCCGGGAAGGGCGCCGGTGTTCTGGGAAAAGTGCTCGATGGCATGGAAGCTGAAGTCGTCCTCGTTGACATTCTCAAAGACGAGACCCATGTTCTCGGCGTCAGGGTCAGCGGCCATGCCTGCCAGCGTGGGGTCAATGTTGGTGTTGCTGGTGTGGAGGTTGCCAAAAGAGTCGTGGCCAACACAGGCGCCGGCCCTATCCCAGTTGACAAACTCCTCCATCTCGTCAATGGAGGTCATGGCGGCGCTGGCTCTTTAGGAGGTGGAAGGGCGTAGGCGGGATCAGGGGGAAGGCGCAGAGTGTCCCATTCGCTCTCGGGGCGAGCCGACGAAGGGCGCACAGCTGCGGGCACGGCGGCACGAGGGGCGCGGCCGGGACGGCGGGCGACGTCGACGCCCTGCGATGAATCCACTTTTGTACGACGAACCTCTCGGCGAACACGCACAAGGCAACCTCGAAATGGCAAAGCAAAGCAAAGCGACAAAGTCGAGGAGGAAGAGGAATCAGTCAATCAATGGTGATGCGGTGGGAGGGAGTGGACGGCCAAGATGGGAGGAACGTCGTCAGTTTTGTTCAACGGCCGCGAGGTACGAAGTACAAGCAAGAGCACCACCCCCCGGCGCCGGGGCTCGCTTTCCTCGAGTGGAGGTACCCGTTTAAGGCCGAGTCACGGAGACCGCGCACGTCGCTGCGCCGGCAGATAGGCAGGTACGCGGGTCAGCAGGCGGCGACTGCGGGGCGGCCAGGTCCCCAGCAAACGCCGCCGAACGGAGGGCTGCGACAACCATGGCATCAGATGGAAGCCGATGGGAGTCATCCTTTCGTCGTTGCCCGCGGGCAAGGACCCAATGGGGGCCGGGGGCGGCGCCGCAGACTGAAGGGGCCCCCGCCGTCCCGGCCCCATCTGCGCCCATCTGCGCCCATCTGGCCCACCCCAGCCCAGTCTTCATGTCAATGTTGCGCCCTTCTCTTGACATTCCGACACCCTGCAACCCCACCTCCACGCGCTATCCTCACCACACCGCGATCTGCCTTCGGACAACGTTGCCGCCAATCCATCGTGCCTTGCGAGCCCACTGCGTCCCGGGGACCGTCTCCGTCCCTCCAACTCGCCTGACCCGAGCGCCGCACCGCAGCGAGGCCCCGTGGCCGCGTTGACAAAGCCATATCACCAATGGATTTTGGACGAGACGCAGACAGTCGATGGCTCCTGGGGCGGTGTGGCTTTATAATGAGAAGCGTCTCCGGCGCTTCGCAACGCCCTCTCGTCACAGCGGACCACACCAACGGCGGCCCCGGAGCCGAGAACGACGATTGATATCTGGCTTGGGCCGTTGCATACGAAAAACAACAAAGCCCCCTGCCCGTTCAGGTCTGCCTCATCACCAGCGGCACGCAGCGGCGCTATCTCTGCAGTTGATGCGCCATCGCGTTGGCTTCGCACCACAGGCTGAGGCCTCCATCGTCGTTGCCTCGAAGCGAGCCGTCCAGGCTTACATGGGCCATGAAGGCTTGCAACGATGCTGGTCGCAGACACAACCACACCAGACCAGCATAACGGACACCAATAGCGATGGCTGACTCTTGTCTCCGATCTGAGCACTCCGTGAGTCCGTGCCCAACTATTCAATGCATGTGCCGGAGAAGCTCGAGCCGGTCTTCTCGACCGGCCTTTCCACAAGGTCCGCCGCTGTCAGCCTCCCCGTTACGGGCCCTGTAAACGAGCCAGTATCTGTTGCGCAATTCGTGATAGGCTGCGATCGGCCGTCAATCGACCCGATTACACTGCACATGGCCGCCAGACTTTTTCGCCCATCTGGCCTCTTTTCTCAAGGCGGACGCTGGTGCAAGCCTCGCTGCAATCACGCGCAACTTGCACTGCAACTCGATTTGTAAACCTGCAAGCCGAAAAGCCACCACGTAGCCGCGTCTCGTGCGCGGCGGTCAGCGCAGCGTACCCCCCATTCCATGCACTGATGCCTATCTTGACGGCGGTGGCTGGTTGCTTTCAAGTCCCAATTGCGACACCGTAGCTCGCGTGCACCGGCTCGCAAGCCAGGTGGCTGAACTTTTGCTTTGGAGGTGGCTCTGGAAGGTTCGCCGTCGTTGCCGGGTTCGTGTGCCCGGCAAGAGCAGCCTCATTCCCGCTTTGGCACTTCCGCCCCAGGGTCTTCAGACAGCGGCGCAAAAAAGAGCCGGCTCTCTCTCCACCCCGGCGCCGAACACCGGCGGATCATGGCAAACTTCCGGTCGAAAAGGGCCAGTGTAGGTATCAATCTGGTTGGCCACATCACATATGCCAGCTTCAATCTGTGGCTCAGAAACAGTGCCCAAGACTCAAACTGCTTGCCACACTCACTCAGTGATAGCCATACATATAAATTTGCCTCTGGCTCTGGTTGCATGGCGTGTGCTGCACTATCAGGCTCTCATAGCACACGTACAGGCGTGTACACTCGGAACAGCGCCTTGTCCTGTTTGACTTCGGATGCAGGGTAAGACTACATGCGAGCAACTGAACCTGCTTAACTCCAGACAAGTGCGTCAGATGGAACGCCGTTTTGCAGCGATCGTCGCATCCAACTCTCTCCCATGATCTTTCGGGCTCAGAGACAATACCGCCGTCCTTCACGCTCTGAAGTTGACAGGGGTGTATCTTGTTAAGCACGTGATAGTAGTTGTCTCCTGTGATCACGGCTCCCGCTTATCATAACTTCTATGCGTAAAGACAACCGTAGACACCATCTATGATTACAAGGCCATGGCAGCACCAAGGCTACCGGTCGGGGCATCATCGCTCTCGCTTCCCTTTAATGCCAGCGGCGGCGCGCCTCTGAGCCGGCGCCAGCGATTGCTGTTCTCAATGACGTTCCGGTCAAAGATAAACCACCAGCGCTCAAACAAAACTTGTCCTACTTCCCAGCAGCTGGGATCGTAAGGGTCCGCACCATAGATACGCACGCCCTCAGCATTATCCTCAAAGTCGTATGCAAAGTTGACGAGAGCTAGTGGGCCCATAGCGTTGGGCGGGCGCGCGTCGTCGGGAAGGGACATGATGCCAATGATGCGGTCGCGCACGCCCGGCCACGGCAAGAAGTCGAGCAGAGGGTGGTGCGGGACGAGCACCTGCGATGGTGTCGGCCGCCACGCCACGGGTAGCTGCTCGAGGGGCGTGGCGTTGCCGCGGTTGAAGGGGGAGAGGGCGTCGAGGCTCCAGAGCTGCTCCTTGCATCCGATGCGGTTGGCGATGCGCAGCATGGCGCGAAGGAGGGTGAGTTCATGTACGGGGAGAAGATACGTGTCAGGGAAGCCCAAGTCGGACGACGACGTGCTGGACGTGGTATCGAAAGAGGATGGTGAAGTGCTGAAGACGGCTGGAGGGAACATGTCCGAGATGTTGCTTGCCGCCGTGTTAAAGTTGGACTGAGTGAAGCTCTCCTCCGCTGATGCATCGTCTGTCAGAAAGCCTGGCAATGATTCCGTGTCAGGCAATATGGATGACAGTGCCGGGTCGTTCAAGGGGTCCCAGGTCCCGAGGCCCAGGTCGACCCCGATCCCAATCGCGAACCCAGTGGTAGTACTGGTATTCAGCGGTGACGACGAGACCGTTTCTATCGTTTCATCTGCTCCCTCCTCTGCGATATCCTCTACTGACGTTGTTGGCACCTCTGCAGCCTTGGACGCTGAGGCTTTGGGCTGCTGGCTATCCTTGCCTAGCCGGCGTAGCCGCTTCTTTTCTCCTGAGTCTGGTTAGCCCAGATGTCGCGATCCAGGTGCCACAAACACGCATACTGTATCTCCGCTGCGCCAGCACATTCAAGACGCGTTTTCTCTCTGCAGCATCGTCCTCGATGTCCGGCACGTCCAGGGCCGGGGGAGCCTTGTACACGCGTTGCCGCGTCCTCGGCTTCGCCCCCGACTGCACGGCGGCTTCAGGTGATGATTTTTCGCCGCCCATTTCGGCTCACGTCGGCAGATGCAGGTAACGGCGACGGTTTATGAGTGTGAAACTCGCTGCGGGGGCTGCGTCCATGGCTGGCAGAGCCGGGCGCTGCCGTCTTTATACGTAGCTGCAGTCACGATGAGTCCTGCGAGGCACCAAGTCAGCTCCCCCACCAACAGAGCATAACGCTTTGGGGTTTGGCGGGCGCCGCACTGTAGGAGCCTTACGGATATCAGGTACGGATTGTTAGCGCAAAATTTGGTGCGGAGACAAGTACTTGTCATCTCAGGCGGCCCTTCAGCCCGAAAGGTGCCAAGCCGACGCACTGTGCTGAGAATGGCTTGGTGCACCCCTGGTCTGCCGCCTCTGCCAGCCCGTCGGAGGAATTCGCAAACCCTGCTGACTTGAGCTCCCAATGTGCGATATTGTGCGACTCGCTCGACGGCCGTCGTCCTTGTGACTATATGTGTACTTCGGCGTCTGTCAGTAAGTGCTTAGCCAATGCGAGAGCTGTTTAAGTCGTGCCGCTCGTGCGTCGACAATCGGCCAGACCATCGTTTACCATGGCAGATCTGCCACTGTGAACAGTGACAGGAGTATTGTCGGAGCGTGCTCGTATGTCTTTGGATGCGAAAGTCAAGGATGAGCGAGAGTTCTGGGTTGCGGTCTTTGCAGGTGGCGGACGGCCAATATATCTGGTTTGGGCGACTTCAACATAACGCAGCACCATAACGGTCCACTTGACTGACGAAAACCCCTGCGACGGATTCCCTATAGCGGCTCTACTGAGTTACACGCCCTCAAAGGCTATTTAGAGTAGCTCATTATTGTTTGTCCATGTGTCCATGCTCCTGCCAAGCCACCCTAGGCACTTCCTTGCGTCTACAGCGACATGATGGCTCCCAATAACGCGGACGCCAACAGTAAAGTCCGGCTGAGAGATAAGTAGGCGGAGTCATTCGATGGGGCCGCTGGAGTCGAGGTGGCCGTTGAACCTGTCTCTGTGGGTTGTGATATCTGTCCAGAAATCGCCGTAGTAAGCGACAGAGGGCTTGACGTCCGGCCCGCTGAGGGTTCAGTTGTCCTCGAAGCTGAAGATGTTGTGATGGCTGCACAAATTGACTTGGCCTCCGATTGTTGCGTCGACCAAAGGTCTTTGGGATCCACTGGCTTCTGGTATGGCGGCTCAATGCTATACCACTTGTCCTGCTGGGTCGTGATGAGCACCACGGCCGATCTCTGCTGTACGAAGCATGAATTGACTGGCGTCGACGTGCCGCCTCCGCTGATCTTGTCGCCTTTCTTTGCCGTGGTGTGGAAGCAAACGCCGTATTGATCTGTCATGACATCGTCGCTTCCACTGCCCAAGTCGCAACCCCAGGATGTCGCCGCTCCGTCTATCGTGTGCTCGCCTGCCCAGGAGGAGCCCGAGATGTGTGTGATAGTTTGCGTGGGAATAGCGCCATCGGGGCAAGGCGACGCGCAGGTGACGACGCACGTGGCGAGGCTAGATGCCACAGCGATGGGCGACGCGTGATAAGAAAAGGGCACATCTGTTTGCGGATTGTCATAGAGGAAGAAGAATCGTGACGGCGTGGCAGGCCACTCCGAAGTAGCCAGTCCCTTGTACGCCATGGTAGCGGGACCGATGAGGGCGATGACGACGGGTAATGTGGAAGCTTGAGTGTTGCTACTTCGGTTGGACTCTGTGTAAGGCAGGAGGTGCGACCGCGACAAGATTGAAGCGCGACTTAACACGGTTGGAATCTGACTTGGTGACTTTCGGCGCCTGCCTCATTCGCGATCCCGGCTTCCAAGGAAACAACAGCCCAGCACCCCTGTCTAAGCTGTTTACAGACAGAACGTCCGGCCCTCCAACCGCCTTACTCACATACGGTAATTTAACAAACGCGCCTCGTCCTGACGCTAAGGTACTGTAGATTGTTTGAGCGCCCGCTTGCAATTGAGCGAATCTTTTATTCTCAATTCCTCCACATACAAGCGTGGCCAGATTGGTTTTGGTTGCATCTCTCAGAAGCGTAAGGCTCCGTGCCTCATTCCTGGCCGTTGGCAACTCACGCGTCGGCTTCCGTACGAGACAACAATTCGCAATTCAAGGCGCGACGAGTGTAGTCATGGAGACGGCCTACCTGTGGCCGGCTCCAATGACTCTGTTAACGAGTCTTCCCGTCGTGGACACAGTATCTGAAACGGCACATAGAATGGCCTGGGTAACCCTTCAGTACGACAGGACAATTCACTGCTGCGTGTGCTACTGCATGAGATAATTCGCGGGTTGCGCCCAATGTCGTACGAGAATGCACAAAACGGCCGAACAGATGATAGCTCCCGTATGTAGTCTCAACATTCGACCATCAACGCCACGCTATGCTACAAGCTTGTTATCAACCCAACACCGCGGCCCTACCACGAGCTCTATACAATACATGATCACAAATGTCGGACGCATTACCTGTCCGAGCCCCACACGTTGCGAAATTCGTCAGTATCCGGGACTTGGTACCGTTGGTCCTCGTCCTCCGCTTCATTGGGGGTATCCGTCACGGCGTGCGATCCTGCCTCCGCTGCCGGACCAGCTTGGTAAGTTTGCTCCACCGTTGCCGGTGCTGGAGGCCCCTTTCCGAGGCCAAGGTCTGCTGGATCTGGCTCTGGATGGGTGACCACCTTCTTGGCCTTCTTCTTCTTCTTCACCGGAACCACAGTTTGTGGTGTCGGCCTAGACGTGCTTTCTCGCGCACGTGGCAACCTGGCGGATACGGCCGTGGCGGGTGAGCGCGAAGTCGGTGTTGCCCAAGGTGGTGAGTATCGAGAGCTCAGCGGCTCGCTGGCAGTGATAACCGGGTACTGCGGAATATGTCAGCTGGGCGGGGGATAACGATGCCGGCTCGACCTTTTGGTAACTCACGTTCCAATCTCCATACTCTAGCTGTCGCGCGGACTCGAACAAGCGCTCGTCGTCACCGTCGAGCTCGGGCTCTTCAAATGTTCCGTGGGTGTGTTCGTTGATCTGGTCTGCACGGCTTGAACTCGGTCCACCATTGCCATTGGAAGCCAGCAGAGGTGACGTGGAGTTGATCTCTCCCGGCTTGGGGATCCAGTATTTGCCCTTGCCTCCCCTTTCATACCGCATGCCCGCCTGCAGTCTGGCAAGTCTCGACTTGGAGTCCTCGTGAGCCATGACTTTGTCGCCGGAGTCAAAGGCCCGATAACCATAGTTGTTGCCCCTGAAGGTTTCTTTGGAGTCTTCAATCAGGTCCTTTGGGCCGAATGCATCTTTCAAAGCGAAGCTAAGCGGCATGCGTGCGGAAAGTATATCGTTGTTCGCAAAGTCATGCCATGAGAAGGCATACCAGTGAGCGACGGCAAATATCGGCATTTCTATACAGATAAGGGCGTCCTGTATCGCCGCTGCAAGGTTGTCCCGCGTGTAGCCTTCAACATCGTCCGGAATGGCGCCAAGCCAGACCAGGATGGACAGGAAGAACCCTTGCCAGTAGGACGCGAAGATAATAAGTTTGATGCAAAGGAACTTGGGTACGGGCCGGAACGGCTGAAGGTCACGGTGCATGCACACCCAGAACAGCCCCAGCGAGTAGAGGCTGACCGTGACACTGATGTTGTAGATGATGCCGCTCCAGAAGTAGCCGGAGGTGGCCCCGATGTAGCCTTCCTGATAGGTGCCCGTTGCTTTCATCACAATGGCGGCCAGGGCCAATATGGGCTTGAGCCACGCATACTGCAGGATGCCGCGCTTGATGGAGAGAAAGGTATGGGGGTCCGAAATATCGACCTTGCGCAGGACGTGGTTGAGGGGCCAGAGGTGCTGGACAGGCGCCCGCCCGTGGGTCATGATGATCAAAGCGCGCTCGCCGCCGAGGTAGTTGATGAGAAGCTGGAAGAAGGTATATATCGTGAAGGCTTCGTAGATATCGCGGATAGGGTCCAGGAAAGCGGCCGTTGTCAGCGACACCATGCTCGTCCATGAGGCGATCGAGTATATGGGCACCATCAGCAGAATGCGGATGACGTATCGCTGGAGGAGAGGTTTTCGGTAGTTTTTCGCTTGAAGCCATATCGACCTGCGACGAAGGCGAGGTTAGTTCCATTGCGTCACGTTTTGCATCGAGCTGTGGCAGCTCGATCTGACGTACACGATGGAGAGCAACGTCGCCGACAAGGAGGCGACGCCGGCAACGACCGTTGTGCCGTAGGCAAACTTTTTGCCCGTTCCTCCGTCTGACATGTTGCTTGTTGCCGTCGCAGGGTTCGCACAAGGTCGATGATCTGATCTGGACTCGGCGCGAGGGGTCGAGATGTCTCGACAGGCAGCTGTTGATGCTCTAGGTCATGACTGTCTGGCGGGGGCGATTTGCAACGGCTTGCGCGATCGGGCACGGACGCTTCGTTTGTGCGAGAATGGTGACGCCACTGCGGTTAAGGAGACGGGTTGCGTGGGTGACGACGCTCTGCGCATCTGCATGAAGAACCCAGGATGCGAGACCTTGTCTCGTGGTCACGGCTGGTTCGCGTCACAGGGTACACCAGCCGTCCAGGCAGCCCTCAGATCGGCCAGACCTGGATGGAGTGAACGACTGCGCCTGGTTGGAGCCCCGTTTGACGGCGCCGGGGCAGCTCCAGCTGCCAGTGGTTCACTGTGGGCGCTGTGGCTGTCCGCAGGTCCAGCGCCCAATAATTGGCCGGCCCAGGTGCCGTGCTGGAGCCCGGGAAGATGAGGGACCCGCCAACACTGCGAGCGCGGGCCGCCATGTCACCAAAACAGCTCTCTGCAATGCTCGCCCGGGCGGTCTCCACCGCGCCCAATGGCTGCCACGGCCGACTTATTAGCGCGAGCTCTAAACTCCGCTGGAGCTTCCATCTCGCCTGTGCTTTCACAGGGAACCGAGAGTCGTAGACGACATCTGATCCTCCACAGCCATCGCGTTCTGTCGACAACCCCAAATGCTCTTGGCCGACCCCGCGAATTTCCCGCCATGACTTGCGCGACGCCATCAATAGGCCGACATCGTATAGAGTCATAGTCACGCCGCCGAGAAACCACGAGCCAACGTCGACGATGCTCTGTCCCTGCAGGCAAGCTGGGGGAGCTACGCGGCCGACACCATCATGTCGATGAGTGCCCACGTGATGGAGGTCAGGGCTGACAGCCCGAGCTTCAATTTGTACGTGTGACTGATTGCATATTCTTTTTCTCTTGTTGCTGATGCATAGCTCGTCCAGCACGTTCCTCATATACTTCATCATCAGCGGGCTCCTTGCCATTTTCTTTCTCCTCTACTTCAACCGCCTCTTTGGGTCCATCGCCTCGTACGCCATTAGAGCATACACCTGGCACAAATACCGCGTGTACATTGACATAAGCGCTCTGCAAATCTCTCTTCTGGCCGGCCGCGTATTCTTTACCGGCCTACGCTACCACGGATCCAACGAGACCTTCCTAGTACAATACGGCGACATCACATGGCGATACTGGCTGCGTCGAGTTCGAGAGGCGGACATACGGAATACAAGGAACACAGGAGAGGGCGTCACTGCCGACGGTGATAAGAATGCAAGGCTGCCATGCCGTGTCAACGTTAAGCTCGTTGGTCTCGAGTGGTTCGTCTACAATCGCAGCCCCGCGTACGACACAATTTTCGAGGGACTGGCAGACTTTCGATCCTCTGGCTCGCGATCGAGTGGCTTATCTGACGCACACGAGAAGAATGGCTTGCGGTCGAGGAGCAACGGACAGTATGGGACGCTCGGTCCTTCAGATTTCTCCAGATCTGCCAACGGCAATCACCTCCAACAGTCGAGCCAGGTTCCGAGACAGCCAGTTGCCGACTTGGCAAGCTCCATCGCCGATTCAGGAAGTGTCAACAGTGACGCAAGAGAGGACAGTCCCGAGCTCCCGTTCCTCCTGCAGCTGTTTCCCATTCAGGTGGAGTGCCAGAAACCGGCCCTCGTGATGGGCAACGACAACACCAAAGCAGTACTTATTGTTAAGGCCAACTCAGCTTCTGCTGTGGTGGATGCTTCGAAATCCCAGACGTGCGACCAGTATCGCCAAGACTTTAACGTGCGCTTCAGTCATCCTGTGGTGGAAATGAAGGAGAACGACGAGTTTAAAGAGGATCAAGTGTCGCGAGCGGTGAGGCAACGTAATGACAACCAGGGATCTGTTCCAACGCCCCCGAGGTCCTTATTCAGGCACCATCGCCGGAAAGTGGTACACTCGCTCCGGAACATGGTCCCCTACTGGCGACGGTCCGTGGAATCCTTCTCCACCGACTCCAGAGGGGCAGAGGCTGCGACGGCATCACAAGTGCCTGGTTCGAGCCACTGGCAGGGCCTCTCAAGATACCTCGATGACCAGGATCAAGACGACAGGGCGCGTTGGGCGTCAGTCGAGTACGCGGCAGTGTCTACGATTATAGACTCCCCAGAGGCTACGCTGCGGATTTACTGGGACGCCGTGAGCAAAGTCACGGCTCAAGAAAGGTTGACGACCTTGCCCCCTGCGTCGAACAACGTCAATGGCAGCGAACCCCCAGCATGGGGGATGAGTCTTTCGATCAAGGGTGGAACGGTCAACTATGGGCCCTGGGCGGATCGCCAACGTGCGGAGTTGCAACGAGTATTTTTCCCGACACTTGCAAAAGATGCCACGCCCGCCAAACCACTTCCAGTAGGTGCTTGGAGAGTGGCAACTCAATTCAAGCTCTCTGTGGACATTGAAAATGCAGTCACGCTTCGAATTCCCATCCGGGAGGAATCCAAGAATTGGCGGTGGAGGGGCAAAGAGCCACCGATCCGGCATCAGGGAGGGCCATACAAACGAAAGCAGAGAAGTAAGGCCAAGAAGAATAGCAAGGCAGATGCTACCCACGTGCGGCCGTCGGGTTGGCTAGAAGTGAAGGTACCAGGCAACACAACGGTCTCTTATTCGATGGACATGCTTGCCAGTGCGCTTGGGTATGGCAACTATCTCAATATCGATATCCCGAGCACAGAACTCTGGAGCAGTGTCAATCACGATTTGCTCTGGACGTCCGGCCCGCAGAAAATATCCTGCGACCTCTCAAACCCCTTACCGTGGAACACTCTGCGCAACTGGCAATTCACAGTGGATAGCGACGACATGAAATTATATCTGCTGCGCGACCACATCTTTCTGCTAATCGACCTGGTGGACGACTGGGGTAGCGGGCCTCTTGCTGAGTATCTGGTCTTCACGCCGTACAAGTATCACCTGAACCTGAACCTCCGGAACGTGGAGCTTTATCTCAACGTCAACGACGAGAACATCATAGACAAACCGACGTCCCTAGACGACAACGCCTTCCTAATCCTATCCAGCCCTCTCCTGCATGCCGAACTTACCATTCCACTGGACAAGTTTCGCCCGAGCAGGAACGCCATTCCTTTGGATATCCGCACAGACAGTTTCGATTTGGCCCTGCACACATCGCAATCCAGCACCCATACGGCCTTCTTGTCGTCGAATGAGATTGGTCATGGCGAAGGGCTTGCCGTCACCGGAAGCTACCAGTATAATGCGACGACTTCCCCGGCCAATACCGACACCCTCATTCTAAATGTCCACGGACAGTCGCCCTACGCGTATCTCTATGGCTTCGTTATCCGATACTTCATCCTGCTCAAGGATAATTACTTCGGAGACCACGTCCATTTCAAGACGCTGGATGAGTATCAGGAACAACTGCAGGCAGCTGCGACGAAACAACCCCATGAGCCCTTAGCTGGACCCCCGAACAAAAAGTCCAACGATCTCGACGTCATTTTGGCCATCAAAGTGGACGACCCTCGCATCATGCTTCCGGTCAATTTATACTGCGCTAACCGATTCGTCCAATGCGAACTGGCCAGCCTTTCTGTTGACCTGCGATTCACCAACTACTACATGGACATGGAACTAGAGTTAAGCCCTTTAAGCTTGTCCATGGGGCTTCCGGGGAGGAACCAAGAGTCACCGGGTGTCGTATATTCCAACACCCAGCTCTTTGTCGATGGTATACGCGTATTTGGCCACCGGACTTTCGGGTTGCCACCCACGGAGCCCACATATCTCTGCAACTGGGATGTATCTGTGGGTGCCGTCAGAGGTGAATGCACAGGAGACTTTCTCGCCTCTCTCGCCAAAGGTGGCGCTGCGTTCGGTTTCATGTTTGACGACGTGGAGAATGCTCTGGTCCCGTATTCGTCCCTCGTCTTTCACGACATCACCTTCGTGCGAGTGGACGTTTCGTCTGTCCATCTCTGGATCCGGGTCGAGGAAGCGGCGTTTCTCCTTTCGACGGATGCCATCGAGGTGAACAGCAATGATTGGGCGAGATCACACTACTCCAAGAGAGCCGACATCAGCATACCCAATATAGAGCTGTCCTGTGTCAATGCAGAGTCGGCAGCGAGGCACTACTCGCGAAGGCAGCACCCGGTGGAAACAGCGGCATATCTACGGACGGACATACGCCTGTCCACAATCGGGAGGAAGTTTCACTTTAGTGAAGAGCGGAAAATCCAGCAAGACCTGGTTCGCCGTGAGGACCAACGCACCGACAGAACTCCCTTTCTGCTACTCGATGAATTCGGCAGCGACTTCGTTCCGGAGGTTGTCGACCCTCCTGCCCAGTGCTCTCCGCCTCCGCCATATCCGGCAATTGATGCCATTGATGAAGACGCTTCATGCCGTAGCGCACCGAGCTTTCGTCGCTCGCAACACCTGCGACATCAGAGATCGTTCCTCTCCCTGTCTAGTTCCGGCAGCAACAGCGTTCGAAGGGCGTCTAGACATGGCGGTGGGCAGACGCCAGCGAAGCTAAAGGGGCCTCCGTCTAGACATAGTCTGCGCCCAGCAACGGACAGGCAAAGGAAACCGTCTAGCTCAAGTGGCCATCACCCTTCATTTATCAGCCCGGCGGGTGACAAGGACGTCCACGACCACTCCTCTGTCGCCTTCTCCAGTCAGTACTTCGCGCCCCACTTCCCGCTGGAGGACGTCCATGCCGACGTTCGCGATGCCACCTTCGCGGCTGTTCAAGAGGAGCGGGCGGATTACGAGGATATCTTCGAACGAGCGACGGCGGACCTGGAAGACATCGATCCGCGAAATCTTAGCGAGGAACATGCTCATTCGAGTGCCCTCGTAGAATTTCCAAGTGGAATAACGGCCTTTTTCACCCCGGAGGCGGTACGCCATGCCACTTCACTGATGGCGGCATTGCAGCCTTGTGAGCCAGAGGACATTCTTGACTCTCTTCAGGTCGACTCCATCGGCGAAATCTTCAGCTCTAAGAAGCAAGAACATATACGCGGCAAGATGCAAGACGTTTTGGTCAGGCTGCCCCATGCCAATCTGCGCTTTCTAAACACATCCACGCTGGATTCGCCAGATGAGTCGCAGGAAGAGCAAGACCAGTATGATATCCGCCTATCCAGAGTCGCGCTGGTAACCCGCACTGTCACAGACGGCGACTTGAAGCCGCCGAGGACTTCGTTGCATTTTCGCCTCAACTCCGCTGAGCTATCGGCATCAGAACGGCTATCCTCTCTCCAGGCTCCTCAAGCAGCAGTCATGGTCGAGGTTGACACGGTCATGGTTTCTCTGGGTGCCAAGGAAGTCACTTACTTTGATGCCGACGTTGGATCCATTGTCGGAAGCACGGCGACAGAGAAGATAGAGTATCTTGCTTCCCTGATTCATCGAACGGGGAGCATGGCGTCCGATCTGGAGCGTCTTCTGGCTGAGACGACTTCTCGCCAAGGCAATCGGGTGAAGTATCTCGCTCACGGCTTGCTTCAGGAGGGCAGATCGGTCAATGATCCTTCTTTTCTCATTCGGCCTTCTGCTGTGCTGAGGTCAGCTCATCGACACATCCGAACAGTTGATTCCTGGAAGATGATCATGCGACTCCGTCAAATTTGGGCAACAGCGGGCGACAAGCTGCGCTCACGACTGTTGCAAAACTGCAATGACAACCCTCCGCCTTTGCCAGCCAATGCAGCCGAATCCGTCATCTCGGCGTTTCAAAGGTGGCGCAGCTGGGACCTGGAGAATGTTGCCAGCTCGGTGCTCATGAGGACAATGTTTGGCAAGATGAAGGGCGTCGAATCCGCGATCCCATCACAGGAGTATCCTCTCTTGGGAGCTTGTCGACTGGCGGAGACGCGCTTCGTGCTGGACCCTGGGCCGAAACAGAATAGCATCTCGTTCCTCGACATCAACGTCCGCATAGACAAGAAGCCATCTAAATCAGCGGACAATCTCCCAGAGGTGCCAGGCTTCGATGGCCCACTCATGGTTGTGGATGTTTGCTGTGGAGACGCAGCAATTCATATGAACTGGGAACTCTGTGAACTTGCTGACGATATTCTGCGGCTTTACAACCGGGCGCAAACACAACAACGAAAGACACCAAGACCAGCGAAGTCGCGTGTGGAAGACGGCGCAAAGCCACCCTCCGCACTGCAAGTGGTCATCGAGGTGATTCAAGGATCGGTCGATATCGAAACGGTCAACCTTACGTCAAAGACATTGAGCAACGGGATCAAGACGTCTGTACTGATGTATAATACGGAAGACCGAGACAAGCTTGCGAGTGTCATGGTCAACTGCAATGCAGTCACGTCAAGACTGCATAGCCACTCTCAGTTTCTCGGCATGTATCAGCTCCGGCAGCCCAGCCTCTTCCTCGCCCACGAAGCGGAGGATACAGAGGAAGCAACTTTACACGCGATCAAGGCTACAGCGAGCAATCAAGGCTTTACTCTTGAGGTCAAGCAAGACCCCACAGTGCTCCTCGAAGTTCTTGACTTGGTGGTCAAAGATGAAGTTACTCAGCTCTACCGCGTCAAAAAGCAGGTTCCAGTCTCCCCCACGACTGCCGAGCCAGTGAAGATCACAGACCGGCTGTCGAAAGTCAAGATCAACGTTGCCATGTTTCTGGACGGATACACGATAACGATTCCACTTCTGCAGTCCTTAACTTATAAGATTACGGGAGTCGTGGCGCGGGCGTCTTGTGCCACAAACTACGGGCAGGACTTGATCTTCGATTTTGACATCAAAGAGAATTCACACGAGACGCAAATCAACGTGCAAAACAAGCCACAGAGCATTTCGCTACTTCAGATACCTCCAACTAATGGTCGCATCACCGGCCGAACGAGCGGATCGCAACGTTCAGTAACCGTCCTGTCGTCGGTCGAGGTCATTCAGCTGGATGCTTCCGCTGTCCACAGCCTTCTCGCAGCTCTCAATAGGCCGCAGGTATCCAGTGCAATTGAGGAAGCCCAAGAACAAATCGCTGTCATTCAAGGGCACATGTCCGACATTTTTGGCTCGACGCCCCCTCCTACTCCGTCAGACGTCCAAAAGCCTGGCACAACTTTGGCGTACAACGTTCATCTGACCCTAGCCGGCCTGCGGATCTTTGCAAAGACGGCATTGAAGTCGAAAACGGAACCAATCGCACAGATCCTCTTCACCTTGGAAAAGGTCTATCTGCAAGTTTGCAACCAGCAGGATCCAAATGGGCCGGCGCTCAAGTACCCGGACCTTCATGTGAATCTGCGCCAGATTGGTCTCGATGTCCTCAGAGGCAGGCAGGATGCCATGAGATCTTGTGGGAGAGTTGGCGCCAGTGTGACTGTTTCAGCCAGCTCCAGGCGTGGTGAAGATGGAAGGGAGGACTGGCATCTCAATTTTCGCAGCGACGATTTAGACATAAGCCTCTCTCCAGAGACGGTGTCCACAGTCATTGACGTTGTGGGATACATGGGCTCGAAAATCAAGGATCTCGACACGTCTCGCGAACTGGAGTACCTACGGAAGCTGCGGCAATCGAAACCCCGCATCACCATCAACGATGATGAGACTGTGGTCGCCGACGCCGACATCCTGGACTCGGTCTTGGCGTCCGTGGTATACCACTTTGAGTTGCGAAACATTCGGGTATCCTGGGATGTTGCAGACGAGTCGCAAGATCATGATACGTCCAAGGAAGACCTGGTCCTCTCCATCAAGCTCATTGAGTTTGGTACGAGAACACGGAAGTCTGCACGACTCACCATTGCCAATTTTCAGCTTCAAACCGTACCTCCGGGGCAGGACAAGAATCTGCGATCTCTCCATTCGGCGCTGCTCCCTGAAGTCATCTTCAATGTGGCATACCTTTCCACTTCGGAAGCGCGAAGAATGGCATTCCAGGCCACAGGGGAGTCTCTAGATCTGCGGCTCACGTCCGGCTTCATAGTGCCAGCCGCAAACCTTGTAGAGTCAATCTCTCTATCAACGAAGAACGTCCAGAAGGCATCCGCGCAGTGGGCAACAGCAACTGCATCGGCAAACAAGAAGCCGGACGAGACCCACACTGTTCAACGACAACGCAGCTTGTTTGGCAAGAAGCGGTTGGAGAGTCTTCTGGTTGACGCTGACTTTGCAGGTGCCGTCGTCTACGTTGCCAGCGGCAGCAGCAGAAGCGGCGGACCGACCGCCAAATATGGACAGCCATCGCTGGCCGGCAAGTACGGGCAATTCAACGCGGATGACTCCGGAAGTGGCGCGGTTCTTCGAAGCCCCGGCTTGGCCTGGAAATGCGAGTACAGAGACAATGGCAATGAGGATCCTTCGCTCTATGGTGAAGTGAAGATTGATGCCTCGAGCAACATCCTCTACCCTTCCGTGGTGCCCCTTATACTCGACATTCTGGCCAGTGTGAAAAAGGTTGTCAGTGACGACTCGCCTCAAGACAAGCAGCAGCAACCAGGCGAACCGCCAAAGCTCAAGGCTGAGAGGTCTGGCGATGAAGATAATATCCTCACCGCAGACCCGAGCGCCATGCTGGGTCGACTAAGACTGAATCTGGGTTTGCGAATATGCAGGCAAGAGTTTTCACTCAGCTGCCAGCCCATCGCTAGAGTAGCCGCCACGACTGGATTCGACAACGTCTATTTCACCGTCAACACGGTCACATCGCAGGAACAGGGCAACTTCTTCGCCATATCTGGTGTTCTGACCAAGCCTATGGCATCGGTCCAGCACGTGTATTCCAGAGAATCGACGGCAAGCTTCGAAGTGGATGCGGTAACATTATCGTTCATGAACAGCAAGCACGTCAGCGGCACCAGTGGCGTGTCCGCCATCCTGAAGGTGAGCCCGATGAAGATCTCAGTCAATGCCAAACAAGCCCAGGATTTCTTGCTCTTCCGGGAGATCTGGTACCCCCGGGACTTGCGCCGCGCCTCAACCGCGCCAGTAGCCAAACTGCAAACCGAGACTTCGCAGGGCCATCTCGTCCAGCGATACCAACAAGTGGCTGCGACAGCCGCATTTCCCTGGACTGCTACAATCTCAATCGAAGCTTTGGATGTGAGCGTCGACTTGGGCCAAGCCATCGGAAAGTCCGTCTTTCAAATCCATGACTTCTGGGTGTCATCAAAGAAGACATCGGACTGGGAGCAGAACCTTTGCCTGGGCTTCAAAAGCATCGGGGTGGACTGCACGGGTCGACTGAGTGGTTTCGTCGCATTGCAGCATTTCAGAATGCGAAGCTCCATCCAGTGGCCTAAACGGGAAGAGGCACTCAACGAAACACCCTTGGTCCAGGCATCGCTGGCATTCAATGCTCTGCGCATCAAAGCTGCATTTGACTATCAGGCATTCTTGGTGGCTGACATCACGTCGCTAGAGCTTCTCATGTACAACGTGCGTGAGCGACGGCAGGGTAGGGGAGATCGCCTCGTGGCCATTTTCGACGGGGACGCAGTGCAGGTCTTTGGGACAGCCACGTCAGCCGCACAGGGCCTTGCGCTCTGGCAGGCCATTCAGAAACTGATACAGGAGAGGAGAGAGAACCTGGAATCTTCACTGCGAGACATCGAGAAATTCATGAGACGGAAGTCAAGCACGTCGCGGAATCCGCCTCAATCGTCGCCGCCAATCCCCAAGCTCCCAGAGGACGATACCATGGCTAAATCGCCCATTTCCCTGGACACGGACGTTGTGGTGACGCTCAAGGCGCTGAACCTGGGCGTGTTCCCGAGCACCTTTTCGGATCACCAGGTGTTTAAAATGGAGGCATTCGACGCCTACGCTAGGTTTGCGGCCAGTATTGAGCAGAGGCGGATACACAGCATTCTCCGCATGACGCTCGGCCAGCTCCGCATCGGGCTGGCAGGGGTGAGAAATGTTGAAGCACCAAAGACACTGAGCGAGATGACGGTGGAAGACGTTGTCTCGAGGGCTACGGGCTCTCGGGGTGGCACAATCCTCAAGGTGCCTCGCGTGGAGGCAGTGATGGAGACGTGGCAAGCACCCAACAGCAATCACATCGAATACATCTTCAAGAGCGCGTTTGAAGGCAAGGTCGAGGTCGGCTGGAATTACTCGCGCGTCAGCTACATCCGTGGCATGTGGGCGAACCACTGCAAGTCCCTGGAGCAGACATGGGGACGGCAACTACCGATAGCTGCCGTCAAAATTACGGGGGTACCGGAGACAGAAGGCGAGGGCGACCAGAAGATCACCGCCGAGGTCAACGTGCCGCAGTCCAAGTATGACTATCGGGCGCTGGAACCGCCCATCATCGAAACGCCACAGCTCCGGGACATGGGAGAGGCGACGCCGCCGCTCGAGTGGATCGGACTGCACCGAGAGAAGCTGCCGAACTTGACTCACCAGATCGTCATCGTCTCGCTGCTGGAGTTGGCAGGCGAGGTGGAAGATGCATATTCGCGAATCCTGGGCTCGTCATGAGACGAGTGACGGAGGCGGCGTGAGTCACTCTCACGAGGCAGGAGTATAAGCTACGAAAGTATAAGCTACGAAAGGTGTCGTGCTCAGAGCTTTGAGCGAAGCAGATGGAAGCATTGCTTTGGAGATGACAAAGGCGTTCCGTGTAGGTTAGGTACAGTTATGTGTATATGGTTTTGAATAGACTTGGCGTCGGCGTTTCATATCAAGCCGGCTGGCATATCGCGGTTGAGGAACGAAGTGGAAGTGGCCAAATGCGGATGACAAAGCTTCCGCGAGCACTTGAGGAACGGGCAGAGGCAAAGATGCTCGGGCGAATTGGGGAGCTCTGCTGATGTCGGTGCTCCCTCATTGGTGGAGGGCTGAGGTGTGGTGGGCGTCCTGCAACTTGTGCTTTCAGATGGAGCTCCAGCCTCACCTTGCAGTCAGAGCCGGCTCGTCCATTGTTGCCACAGCAGGCACGGGCGAGTCACAGTCGAAGCTGCCGGTGCTTTCAGTCACGGCGGCGGGTGCAGAGTCAGTCGGCGAGGCACTGTCTGCCAGGGACAGGGTGACTGGGAGCAGGTCGCGACCCGTCGAGCTGGTGCCGAGGGCCATTGAGAGCTCCATGTACTCTCTGTTAGAGATCGGTGCGAAAGGCCACGCTTTGCCACTATCACGCGAGACCCAAGTGAGGGGCAGCTGCTCGGGCCGTCGTAAAGGTGGGCGGAGGGTTGTTGCCCTGCAACCAGTGCACAGCCGGCGGACGCATGGCCAAACGCAAACCCAGCCTTTGGACGAACCCACAACGGGGAGGGGGCCGGGAGGAGAGAAAAAAAAAATTGAGCCACAGACCCGAGCAGCCGGAGGACTTTGAGCGCTGGGCAGGTCCCTAGTGGTGCCACTACGTACTAACCGCCTGGAGCCTTGCAACCCGCGCCAGACCGGGAGGCGACAGGCGTTGCTGCGTCTGTGCAGCATTGCAATCGGCGGGCATGGGCGGCGGTGGGCGTGGCGGGGTTTTGCACAGGTACTGGCGACGCCCCACCTGCCCAATTTTTTTTGCCGCATGACGGCGCTCTCACTGGGCGAGAGCACCGAGCCCGTGGCCTGGTTGGGCCCCTCCACTTTGGGTTGGCCTGGCTGGGATGCCCAGCTTGTGCGTGCTCTGGCTCGCAGCACAAACTCTAGGTCGACTCGTCCCCTCCTCCTCCACTACTTCCACCTCTTTTTTTTCTCCTCCCGTTCACCCTCCTCCCTCCCCTCTTCACCACCCCGGAACACCCAAGGGACGTTTTTAAGAGTGGCAGTGATCTCCTCGCTGTCTCTCTTTTGCATCGTCACTTCGAATCGCTTCCCGGTACAAGACTCGCGTCTTCGTTTCCAAGCCCACAGGAGCGCGGGGTGAAATTCTTCAACCCCGCTTTACTCGATTTTTCCCACCACAACACCACATAGCAAGGTCATCGCCGCAACACCGCCAAGATGGTCAAGTGAGTATTTGCCCTCCTCGCCGCTCCTTCGCTGTGCTCGCATCGTCGTCGTCGCGGCCTGCTGTCGTCGTACGAGGCTTCAATCGATGCCCGCGGCGAATGCTGCTGGTCGCGGCGGCGACGGCACAGAGTACCCCGCTCGGAGTTAAGCTCTCCCTACTTCCAAGAGACACAGCGCTGACCGCCGCCTTCCCCCATGATAGCTTCACAATCGACGAGATCCGGGCCCTTATGGACAAGCCCAGCAATGTCCGTAACATGTCCGTCATTGCCCACGTCGATCACGGCAAGTCTACCCTGACCGACTCCCTCCTGGCCAAGGCCGGTATCATCTCCACCGCGAAGGCTGGCGACGCCAGAGCGACGGATACCCGTGCCGACGAGCAGGAGCGTGGCATCACCATCAAGTCGACTGCCATCTCCCTGTACGGCCACCTCGACGACCCCGAAGACATCAAGGACATTGTCGGCCAGAAGACCGACGGCCAGGACTTCCTGATCAACCTCATCGACTCGCCGGGCCACGTCGATTTCTCCTCTGAAGTCACTGCTGCCCTCCGTGTCACCGATGGTGCCCTCGTTGTCGTCGACACCGTCGAGGGTGTCTGCGTCCAGACCGAGACTGTTCTGCGTCAGGCTCTCGGTGAGCGCATCAAGCCCGTTGTCATCATCAACAAGGTCGACCGTGCTCTGCTCGAGCTCCAGGTCTCCAAGGAGGACCTGTACCAGTCCTTCTCGCGTACCATCGAGTCGGTCAACGTCATCATCTCCACCTACTTCGACAAGTCGCTCGGTGACGTCCAGGTCTACCCCTACAAGGGCACCGTTGCCTTCGGTTCCGGTCTGCACGGCTGGGCCTTCACCATCCGCCAGTTCGCCGTCCGCTACGCCAAGAAGTTTGGTGTCGACAAGAACAAGATGATGGAGCGTCTCTGGGGCGACAACTTCTTCAACCCCCACACCAAGAAGTGGACCAAGTCCGACAGCTACGAGGGCAAGCCCCTTGAGCGTGCCTTCAACCAGTTCATCCTGGACCCCATCTTCAAGATCTTCTCCGCTGTCATGAACTTCAAGAAGGAGGAGACCGCCACCCTCCTCGAAAAGCTCAACCTCAAGCTGAGCCCCGAGGACAGGCAGAAGGAGGGCAAGCAGCTCCTCAAGGCTGTCATGCGCACTTTCCTCCCCGCCGCCGACTCCCTGCTGGAGATGATGATCCTGCACCTTCCCTCTCCCGTCACCGCCCAGAGGTACCGTGCTGAGACCCTGTACGAGGGTCCCCTCGACGACGATGCCGCCATCGGTATCCGCGACTGCGACCCCAAGGGCCCTCTCATGCTCTACGTCTCCAAGATGGTGCCGACCTCGGACAAGGGCCGCTTCTACGCCTTCGGCCGTGTCTTCTCCGGTACCGTCCGCTCCGGCCTCAAGGTCCGCATCCAGGGCCCCAACTACACCCCCGGCAAGAAGGAGGACCTCTTCATCAAGGCCATCCAGCGTACCGTCCTCATGATGGGCGGCAAGGTCGAACCCATCGACGACATGCCCGCCGGTAACATTGTCGGCCTTGTTGGTATCGACCAGTTCCTGCTCAAGTCTGGTACCCTCACCACCAGCGACACGGCCCACAACCTCAAGGTCATGAAGTTCTCCGTCTCCCCCGTCGTCCAGCGCTCCGTCCAGGTCAAGAACGCCCAGGACCTGCCCAAGCTGGTTGAGGGTCTCAAGCGTCTGTCCAAGTCCGACCCTTGCGTCCTGACCATGACCTCCGAGTCCGGTGAGCACATTGTTGCCGGTGCTGGCGAGCTGCATCTCGAGATTTGCCTCAAGGATCTCGAGGAGGACCACGCCGGTGTCCCTCTCATCATCTCGGACCCCGTCGTCCAGTACCGTGAGACGGTCCAGGGCAAGTCGAGCATGACTGCCCTGTCCAAGTCGCCCAACAAGCACAACCGTCTGTACATGGTTGCTGAGCCCATCCAGGAGGAGCTGTCGCTCGCCATCGAGGCCGGCAAGGTCAGCGCCCGTGACGACTTCAAGGCCCGTGCTCGTGTCCTGGCCGACGACTTCGGCTGGGACGTCACCGATGCCCGAAAGATCTGGACCTTCGGTCCCGACGGCACCGGTGCCAACCTGCTGATCGACCAGACCAAGGCCGTCCAGTACCTCAACGAAATCAAGGACTCCGTCGTCTCTGGTTTCCAGTGGGCCTCGCGCGAGGGTCCCGTTGCCGAGGAGCCCATGCGCTCCATCCGCTTCAACATCCTCGACGTCACCCTGCACGCCGATGCCATCCACCGTGGTGGCGGCCAGATCATCCCCACTGCCCGCCGTGTCCTGTACGCCTCGGCCCTGCTGGCCGAGCCCGCTCTTCTCGAGCCCGTCTACCTGGTCGAGATTCAGGTGCCCGAGCAGGCCATGGGTGGCGTCTACGGTGTCCTGACCCGCCGCCGTGGCCACGTCTTCAACGAGGAGCAGCGCCCTGGCACTCCTCTCTTCAACATCAAGGCTTACCTGCCCGTCCTGGAGTCTTTCGGCTTCAACGGTGACCTGCGCCAGGCCACCTCCGGCCAGGCCTTCCCCCAGTCCGTCTTCGACCACTGGCAGGTCCTGCCCGGTGGCTCGCCCCTCGACAACACGTCCAAGGTCGGCCAGATCGTCACTGAGATGCGTAAGCGCAAGGGTATCAAGGTTGAGGTTCCGGGTGTCGAGAACGTAAGTCGAAATCACCCCCTGACTGATGAGACAAGAAACAGAAAGCTAACCCCTTGAAGTACTACGACAAGCTGTAAATGGCTCCCCTTTGTGCCGATAGAATCACGATTGGTGCCGGAATGGGCACACTCTGTCAACTGCCTGCTAGCGAAGACGTGGGGTGCACTGGCGGCGCCCCTAGAGCAGTTCTGCTGGGCATTAAAAGCGGTTGTTTGATCGCCGGGCCGGCCGGCGACAATACAGCTGCAAGCCGGGTTGGGGCTTATACCAAGGGAAGCTGTTGAGCTTTTCGCAAATGTAGTTATGTCGTCTCGGATGAATTGGAACACGTTAAGAATGACGCTGGCCTGGTGTGGAGCTGTGCACTACGCCCGTGTAGGATCCGTATTGCTCTGCCGCCCGACGTTGGATGCGAGACTGTAGCGCATTGATTTGTGCACCTTCCATGGCCTCTCGCACTCGCAGAGTATACTTATATGTACAATGGAAAATGTCGGAAGGCTGACTGTAAAATGTAGCCTCAGTGAGCTCTGCCAAGCGTGTTCACCCCGAAACATGACGCGGGGCACCATGCCACCACCATCTGTTGTTCTGGTTAGTCTCCACTGGGCTGGCCAAGCTTCATCCAACCAGTGGCGCCCCAGACCCCCTGTAAGGCGGCAGCTGTGTTCAGGCTGGCAGTCACTGCGCAGCTACGTTTGTTGGAACCGACTCTTTTTCTCGTCACCACAGCCTCGCCAGCCGCCAACGCCTTGCATCATTGTCGAGTCCTGTCACGCCGCAGCCCGCAACGACACAACAACGTCAGACGCGCTGACTCGGCCTGACGAACCTCGGACTTGCCTGTCGGCGGTGAGCGCCTCGCCCTCGTCGCCATCATCGTCGGAATCATGCTGTTTCCCGAAGAGGATGCGTCGCTACTCAAGGCGTGGATCGTCAAGAGAATCGAGAACACGTACGCGATACCCGCCTTGCGCGCTCTCCTTGGAATCGCTAACGCATCTACGCAGGTCCGACGCCGACTCCGATGTCCTCGCCGAGTACGTGATTGCGCTGCTCAAGCACGATGGCAGCCCCGAAGACGTTCGCAAGCTCTGTGAGCAGGAGATTCCCGACTTTTTGACAGAAGGTTTGTCCGCGCTGCCTACTGCTAGTAGCTCACCTGTTTTTGTACTAAATCAATTTTGCAGATTCCAAAGCGTTTCTCGACGATGTCTTCGAAGCCCTCAAATACAGGTCCTACCTACCCGGTGCGGCTCAGCCGCCGAAGCCAGCGCCCACCAGTGCGCCGCAGCCGTCGCAGCTGCCGCAGCTTGCTAACAGCAATGCGTCGGCCCAGGCAGGCTCGAGAAAGCGGGGACACGATGACGAAGCCGACCATTTCGAGCACGGCCAAGCTTCCGGTGGTCAGCGAGCTTTCAAGCAAGCACGACGAGGTGGGCGACGAGAGGCAGACGATGCTCGCGCGGGACCTTTCTCCATGATACCGATGGAGATCCCGCAGTTCGACCCCAACAACCCCATGGAGGCTCTCATGCAGATGCAGGCCATGGGAATGGCCTTTCCACCCATGCAGGGCTATGCGCAGCCGGGGTATGGTGGCAGGAATCAGAGGGGACAGCCCCGGAAGAGAGGTCGATGCCGGGACTTTGACAACAAGGGTTTCTGCGCTCGTGGCAACACGTGCATGTACGACCACGGGGATGAGTCTGTCTTTGTGGCCCCATCGGGCCCAGGAAACGAAGGTATGACTGGGCAGCTGACGCCATATAAGTTCTCGGCTGACACTCATCTGCAGAATACGATCCCACTGATAGCAGCCTGCCAATGTTTCCGGCTCCGGCGCACAGCGGGCCTTTCCACTTCAATCCCGATGTAAATCGTGGACGCGGAGGCCGAAGGGGCAGGGGAAATGGGAATCGCGGAGCCCGGAAGGGAGGTGCTCGCGCTCCCTTTTCTGCGGAGGGGCCCGTTAACGATCGATCCAAGACTACAATAGTCGTGGAGAACATACCCGAAGAGAGCTTCAGTGAGGAGCACGTTCGAGACTTCTTCTCACAGTTCGGAAACATTGTGGAGGTGTCCATGCAGCCGTACAAGCACCTGGCCGTTGTCAAGTTCGACAAGTGGGCCGCCGCAAACGACGCATATCGCTCGCCAAAGGTCATCTTTGACAATCGATTCGTCAAGGTATTCTGGTACAAGGACGACAAGGGTGGCATGCCCGTGGCGCAGCCTGTTAACGGATCTAACGGCTCTCAACACGGCAGACAGCCTGGTTCCGAAGGACCGGAGCCGGAGCCAGAAGTCGACATGGAAGAATTCCACAGGAGACAGGACGAGGCTCAGAAACAGTATCAGGAGCGAGAGGCCAAGCGAGGCGAGCTCGAGCGACAACGCCAGGAGCTGGAGAAGCAACAGCGGGATCTACTTGCAAAGCACCAGGAAGAGACTGAGCGCCTGCGGAACAAACTGTCCGAGAGAAGCAGTGACGGCACTGGCAGTGAGCAACGCTCTGGATCTACAGGCACGGAGGCTCTAAAGAAGCAGCTTGCAGCGCTTGAGCAAGAAGCCAAGATCCTCGGTATCGATCCCGCTTCTGCCGAAAACGGCGCTATGCCTGGTTTCCGTGGCGGCTTTCGTGGACGACGGGGATTTCGAGGTCGAGGCGGGTTCGCCCCGAGAGGACGAGGTTCTTTCAGAGGACAGGGTGCCCGTCACGCGGCGTACGCGCAGTTCTCTATCGACAATCGCCCGAAGAAGATTGCCATCAAGGGAGCGGACTTCACGCCGACAGACAAGGATGAGCTGCTTCGACACTTCCTTTTAGTAAGTTGCGCCTAGGGATCTCTCAATAACTTGACAATTGTGGAAGCTAATGTCGTTTAGAACCAGGGGGAATTCTCGTCAGTTGAGACTAGCCCATCCGTCACGCACGTGTCGTTCCCAGACCGCAAGACAGCCGAGAAGATTTACTTTAGTCTGCACGGCAAGGAATTGCCCGGCGTGGAGGGCAAGCTTGACCTGACGTGGGTGAACACGCCGCTGCCGCCGTTGCCTGTGAACAAGCCGCAAGAGGATGTTTCCATGGGTGTGCCTGACGACACTGTTGGCCCGGCCGAGAGCGCTCAAGAGCACTTGAAGGATGAGCACGCTCCGAGAGAGGAGCGGCGCCATGTGGACATGGACTACGAGGTCGGCGACGACGACGGTTGGGGAGACAGCATCCAGTGAGAGGACTGTAGCGATGGCGCATGGGTAGACTGCGAGCTGCGACCGGGACTGTACAAAGGGGCTAACGCTGTTTGCATATTGTTTTACTAAGTGGGAAGCCTCGTTCCGCGGCGACATAAAACCACTGGCGAGCGAGACGAGAAATGTCACAGAGGGCTACACAACTGGAGGGCTACATACAGGAGTACATGAATCAATGAGAAGCAGGCTGACCATGCGTTGGCTTTTGATCACAACCTACTTCCCCGTAAGGCGGGTCGGTATGCTCATGGACGCACACCCATCGTGCTCGACGGACGAGATCGTCGCCCAGGGGAACTACGTGCGCAGCTCCGCCGCTTTGACACCCTCGTGATGATAGTCAATTGCTCCCAGCGCAGCATCAATGTATGAAGTCAGAGAATGGCAATTTGGAGGTGCCACAAACAAGAGCCTGCGTACTTCTGCTATGGGGGCAGGGGCCGGTCAGGCGCCTGGAGTTTCAAGTGTCGAACTCTGCAAACGCTCGATTCTGGTGGTCCCTCAACGCAAACAATGACCAACTTCCGTCCGATGGTTCACTTAACCTCCGTACGCTTACCGCATCGGACTTTCGTCTGATGGTTCACTGAGTCCTAAGCGAGCAGCCCAAGCGACCAGAACCTTCCTGTGCCTTGTGCTATAAAAGGCGGCCTTGGGTCCCCCTTCCCGCGCCTCTCTTTTCCTTCCTTTCACCACGCACCTCCTCGGCAGGTTCCCTCCAGTTCTCTGCTTTCTCGTCGCGTCCAAGGACCAAACACTGCAACGGCAACATCAACAGCAACAACCCTTGACTGCACTCGACCGACAAGAACAATGTCTGAGAACAAGGCCCCCAAGACGGGCGCGTCTGAGCTTGCCGAGAACGGCACCACCGCCCAGGTAAGTATCTTGAAATCTGTTGGCAGAATCGGTACAACGAATCGTTGACTGACTCCGCAAACAAGAGCTCCTCCGCAAACGACGAGAATTCTCAGCCCGAGAAGCTCTACTACACTGGGCGTCAGACCATGATCTTGATGCGACTCGAAGTAGACGCGTGTGGTTCCATGAGCGTCGAGAAATCAGACTACCCTCCTCCCACCCTCACGCGCGACGAGATGGAGGCCATCAACAAAATGGAGTGGTCGTGCTCGCGTGAGGAGTTGGCAAGGCTGCCCATCTTCACCGACCTCGAGGAGGCAATGTTGGACAATGTGAGGGCCAAGATCAAGTCCGACAAGGAGGCTGAGTATGCTGGCATCAAACGCTCAGTCAGCTACATGGAGTTTGACGTGCGCGAGCATGGTCATGATTTGGTGAGCTTGAAGTGTCAGCTCGCGAGCGCCCTTCAGCGCATCCACGATCTCGAGCGTATCCACTTGGACAAGATCGAGGCCGCTCTTTAGCGATTGGCGACTCACAACATCCTGGATTTATTCTGGGAAGCTCGTCTTGGCTGCGACACCTGCGCTTGGAAAGCTCCGGGGCAACGGTATGGGGTCTGTTCTAGAAAAGGAGTTTGAGACGCTTGGGGCTCTGTTTCTTGGAAGGAGACAATAATTCGTGCGAGGCTTCAAGGCCATCAAAAACTCATGCCCCCAAAACATCGTTCAAATCGTGCAGTACCAATGACCATTATTACGTGACAAACATGTTGGTTCAAGAGGTCTCCAAAGAAACGAGCTATGCAGATGCGACCTCCTTCTTTTACTTTGGCTATTGCAGGCAAGGTGTAGTAGTAGCCACAATACGGTAAACGCGTTCGCCGTGGGCGAGAGGGAGTAGCACACGACGTGGACGGCAACAATGTGGCAAGACAAGGGAACCCTTGGAGAAGAGGCATCATGCCACGTCGTAGGCTGTGGCTGCAGACGATGACTATGTCCAGGTGGCGTGCGCGCGCATGAAGCCGCACGACGGACACCTCTATCTCTCACTTCATTCGGTGATGACAGCGACGCCCGAGTTACACAGCGTCTCAGCTCTGCCACACGTTTCACCTCTTCACGCATTTCACCTCTTTATGGATGGAGTCGAGTACATCGTGGAGCCTCCGGGCATGCCGTTGCTCGCCCTGCTGCCATGGCGTGTATTCAAAATGAAGTTTCCATGGCTGACAATGGATGTAATATTTAGCTTTCTCACCAATCCCTCCATTTTGATTTCCTTGTATATCAGCTGCCTCCACCGTGCTTCACACTCCCCTCTGTCTAAACACATGGCTGTCCGTAGGCGGGGTATCGTTGAGATATGAGTTATGCATCTGCAAGAAAACAGAATTCGAAGCGCGACAAGGATACGGATGATCCTTGGCGACGCGTAATGGTCATGGCGCGTATAGGGAAGTAGTCTGGTCGTGGTAGATCATGTCCCCCGTCATCAGTTGTGCAACTTTTTGTTGAAAAAGTGGCGCCTTAGTCCCCCGCCTGTCCGTCCTCAGTGTGTGCCAACGCCGCCCGAATGATGCTCAAAGTAGTAAAAAAGATAATATGGAATGGACATGTGCCGAAAGGAGAAACCTAGTTGATGGGGTCTCAGACCGCGCTTGCGGTCGGTCAAAGAAGCCTTGCGTTGGAGCGGGGTGGCTTCCTGGGAAGTGACCAGGAGGTGGTGGTGTCCGGACTTAGGCAGCCTGCGCCTCGTCCAGGCCCTGAACCTCGAGGTCCTTGAAGAGTTCGAAGATCGTGTGGTTCTCGTGGAAGTCATTGTTCACTGAAGGGTGAGAGGTTAGCGAGTGCCAAACCAGGGGAGGCAGCAGCGTGATGCGACATACCAACGTTGACGAGATACCACTCGTTCATGATCTTGTCGATGAGCGCTCTGCTCGGAGTATTCGAGTCGAAGCAGTGTGCCCAGTCGGTGCCCAGGCGAAACGCCTCGTCTCTCCAGGCCAAGAAGCTCACGCTCTCGACGATGGTAGGCTGAACGATTTCCTTGCCGGGGAACACTCCCCACGTGACGGCGTTCGGGCCGTCAGAAGGCGCGTTGGTCTTGAGCTCGCCATCCTTGGTCACCGCATAGTAGGACAGCGTAGGCTTGGAGTCGATGCGAGAAATCATCTGATCGATGATGGCCGGCGGGACCAACAGCTCGAGGTACGCCTTCTGGTAGACGTAGCCGTTGGACGGGCCCCAGCCGTGGACTGGGTGGGAGGACTTGACGCCGTCGACAGCAGGCTGCGAGTTGATGGTCAGGAGACCCCGCTTGTTGAGGGCAACGAGGTCCGCCCGAATGGCGTCCGCTTCGCCCGTGAGAGGCGACTCGCTCCAGGGGAGCGAATCGATCTCCTGGTCCAGATACTTGACGAAGGTGTTGGCAATGTCCCGCACCGTCGTGGGCTCACCCCATTTCTTGCGGTTGGCCTCGTTGGTGCCCGTCAAGCCAATGCCGTACGCATCCAGCTCTCCGAAAGCGGGGGATCGAGAGTCTCCCCAGCGGCCGTTGGGGAACTCGTCCCAATCCTGCGTACGGAGAACGTACGACTTGTTCCGGTTCCGCCAGAAGATGGGGCGGACATCCTCGTCACGGCGGCCGAGGGCCTTCGACTGCTTCCAGGGCAGAGCGTGTTGCAGCGGCCGCTCGGCGCTGGGTGCCCAGTTGAGCTCCTCCAAAACCATACGAGTGGCCTGAGCCAGGTTCATGGTGTAGAAATGCAGATGGTGGATTCCATTGGCGAGTAGCTTGCGGCACATCTCGGCGACCAGCGACTTTCCAATCTCACGGACAGCAACATCGTCGTTCTTGACGGGCTCGAGGACGCGCATCCACTCCGGCGGGACCCTGCACTGCATGTGGTTTGCTCTCCGCAAAAAGCTGGCGTAGGTAGCGATGGGCATAATGCCGGGCAGAATGGGGATGGTGATTCCACGCTCGCGGACCTTGCCGACCCACCGGATGAAGTTGTCGGCGTCGTAGAACATCTGGGTGACGATGAAGGTGGCACCCATGTCCACCTTTTCCTTGAGATGATCAAGCAGCTCCTCTTCGTTCTTGTTGTCGTCGCAGCCCTCGGGATACCCAGCGACGCCAATGTCGAAATGGTTGCCGTAAGTGGCGCGGATGTGCTTGACGAGGTCGCGGGCGTACTGGAAGCCGCCCTCGGTGGCGGTCCACTTGTCCTGGTCTCGGGGGGGATCGCCGCGGAGGGCGAGGATGTTGGTGCAGCCGGCTTTGTAGGCTCTGCTGAGGGCGTCGTTGACCTTTTCGAGGCCCATGTCGGTGCATGTGAGGTGCATGCAGGTCTCGAGGCCGTAGACGGACTGGGCCTGAAGGACCATCTCGCAGGTCAGCTCGGCAATGCGACCGCCGGCGCCCCATGTGATGTCGATGAACTTGGGTCCAAAATTGTACATGCGATCAATGCGGTCGTAGAGGTTTTGAACACCTTGCGCAGTCTTGGGCGGGAAGTACTCGAAGGAGAAGGACGGCTGGGCGCCCTTCTCCGCCTCAGAGAGCATGTCTTTGATGTGCATGGTGGGCTAGTCGATGCTCGACAGGCGCGGTGCGGGGGCGGGGTTTAAGTGATTCGGGGGCGAGGGCCGACTTCTGTCATGGACGAGAGACAGAGGGGAATGAGCGGCGACGATGGGCGTCGGCTGGCAGTCGCTCTTCGAGAGGTGTTGTGCCCGTCGAAGGAGGGATCACGAGAGTCGAGATGGCGGGGCAGGGTCGATGTGATTCATGAACAAGGTGGCAACGTCGCCGACGGTCGAACGGAAACAACGCTGATCAGAAGCCCAAACACTGAAAAGAAAGAACAAAATACTGCTCAGCTGTGGCTAACTGAGCAGAAGGGCGTGCATAAACTCTGCCAAGCTCCCAGGGCAGCGATTGGGCGGGAGGTAAAGGAAAGAGTTGGAGGCGGTGGTGATATGGAGGGGAATGGAAATTTCTCCGGGGAAGAATAGGTGAGGTTTAAGGCTGGAGAGAGCGACAACGGGGGGCGGGACAGCGCCGGGCCTGGAGAAACGCAGAGGAACAGGTGGGCGGCGGCTGCTGTGGGCGCGTGTGATTGGGCGGCGGGTCGGGTCCCACCGCCGGGGGCCTGCAGCAGCGCCGTTGCCGGGCCCTCGGGCGTGACGCCGAGCCGCTCGCTGGCTGGAGGAAGCTGACTGTCTGCGCGCGCCTGATGCTTGTGCCATCAGAGTCTGGCGTCGAGATGATGAGGTGTTGGTCGTGCAATGTCAACAGACTTCCGGCCGCTGTTCAGTGCAGGGGAGCCTCGCTGGGCATAGATTCAACTGCGAAAATCCCGGTACCGAGACATAAGGTACTACCTTACCTAGTACTCTACGGACTGGTACGAATCCAAGCACAGGTACAGACAGGAGACACAGGTACTTTCGTCTCCCCACGTTGGCACACGCTGCATGTGCATGGCGGAAGACTGCTCGGCCGCAACTGCCACCTGAAAAGCTGTCGCCCAGCTTCTGGCCCTGATGGTACTGCGGCGTGGCCGCTTAACCCGCAGAGACCTGCCAGACTGGCTGCCCCGCCCTGTCGGTCGCCCATCCCACCCGAGAGACAGCGAGACAGAGAGGGTGGAGGGGGACTTGACGGGAGAGACAGAAAGTCGCCGGCCCCTCTGAAAAATGACGCCACCGCGGCAGAATCCCAGCTTGCAGGGGTCAGGCCGGCGGGTTGGGGGCCTCGCGGGCCTGACCGCCTTGCCTATTCGTCCATGGTTCTGGATCGCCCACCAACAAGCTGGAAGCGGACCAACCTCACTCGTCGTACTCGTATAGTCAACCAACTTAATGCCTCGCCGGCTGGCGCTGCACTGCACTGCGCTGCACTACACTGTTCTGCACCGCGCTGCACAATACTTGCGATCCCCCAGATCGCCGCCGTCGTAAGCCGAGGCCGCCCTCCTGCCCACGTCGCCCTACTGCAACCACCCATCCATGGTCCGTCCACGATCCATCCATCCGGCCACATGTCCTCCCACCCCGTGTGCGCGAATGGTTCAGTCCAGTGGACGTCTTGGTGGGCTGCATCCACACCGGCTGTGCTCTATCCCGATGGGCCCCCCTCCCATCATCGCACCAAGCCTGTCCCGCGCGAGCGCGCTGCGAGATGGCCACCACACATGATGCCGACTTGCATCGCCCTGTCGCCAAGAGAAGCAGTGTTCCCGAGGAGGTGCCATCTCCTCATCTGGCGGATGCGTCCCACATGCTACAAAGTACGTGTCGCTGTTTTGGTGCTGCTGCGCACGCAGAATTGCCCGGTGCAAGCAGCGTTCCCGTGTCACGATGATTCTCTGCCGCTGTTCCACTGTGCAACCTTGGCTGCCGTCGTCATCTGTCTCTGAAGTCCCAGGGAGTCTGTGGCCGTGCATGCGCCGCTGGGATCCGTGGAGCTCCGGACCATCGTCGCGCAGCTTCATACCCAGTGCTGCCGCCCGGCAGGCTGACATGTCTCTGCAATCTCAAAGTGCTTCGTACCTGATGGTCTTGCTGCCTGCCATACACGACAAGCCGAACAAAGTATGGGCGACGGATCTATAAATGCGATGCCATGAACGACCCCAGGTTCGTCGGGCCTGCAGCTGTCGGAAAATGATTGTAAGTCGCACCCACTGCCCGTGGGACGCCGTATGAAGTTATGGCACTGCATTTAGCGTTTGCATCCACATAAGCATTTGCACTCCTTGCGTCGTACCGTCAACGCAACCAGGCAAGCAAACGTTTGATGTAGCACCAGTCAGCCGCACGAAAGTTACAGGAGGCAGAAAAGTATCGGTTAGCTTTGCAGCGCCCTACGTGTTCATTGTCCGACATGCTACTGCTCGGCCTGTTGCTGCTTTCGGCAGCCGGGCTGCGCGGCTCATTATGATCCCCTCGCCTTGCTTTATTGATGACGAGAGGGGGGCTTGTATCTCGAGGGAATAGCTGGAATGTCCGTGATGAATGAGATGTCTGGGATGCTCCGGCTGAGTCTACGTCCACGGCTCCTTCAGCGCTTTTTGCCCAATCTGAACCAGACCAGAAATGATCCGGAAAGTGTGCCTTGAATAGGGTGTATCAATTGATTCCTATCAAGTTCAGTAAAGCACATCTTCAATTCTGTCAAATCGACAGCCACAAGCCCAATATTCTGTTTTCAGCACTCCCATCCAAGAATTGATCTCGCTACTTCCGATCCCATATTCCATTTACCATTGCATTCGTTACTTCAGAGAACTCTTCCCGAGTCAAATCGTGTGCGAGAATGACTCGTATCGCGTACGGGGCGGCAAAAAGCGAATCGATTTCCAGCTTCCGCTCTTGGATGACCTGAACAATATGACAGAGGAGCGTGCGAAGAGGAAATGGCCGAGCCGCGCGGTAGCAGCATTCAGTGGTGCCTTCATGTATACTGTAGATGATAATGTCCACTGCCGGCGGCCCGGAGTACTCTTGGTGGTCTGTTGCGGTACGTATCTCGCCCGTGCCGCGGTCGTAGTACTTGCCGTCTACCACAGGCGTCTGGGCCACGTCATGCCACCCGGGAGTAAAGAGCTCCTCTGGGTGCTTGGATGAGCAGGTGTCGGACATGGCGAGGCTGCACGTCTAGCTGACGTATGGTAACGGTGATTTCCTGCTGGATTGAGTTGATGAAAGGAAGGAAGGTTCAACGCAGGGCAGCAGTTCGACAACTCTCGCGCATGAAAGTCGTGTCATAAGCCGATGATAAGCACCGTGGCTCCTGGAACATACATCAAAGGACCGCGTTTTTTCGGTTCTAGCTATTCAATGCTCAGGCTGGCGTCAGCATATACGTAATCAGAAGCTACGTACGCCCTGCATGAGATGCCACGCAAACAGTGTTTGAGCAGGATGTATCACTACATCTCCGCCCCCGGCGTAGTGTGCTGCAGCAGTTCGGAACGGCGTGTGAATGTTGTAAGTGCTCTATCTCATCACAGCCAGTCAATATACGGAGTCACGTTAGCTTTCTGTTCTGCTATAATATTATCACACCGTCACTACACTTGGTTAGGTTTCACGCATCTACCTCCATCCTACATTCATGCGATAAGGAGCCGTGTGCCGTTGAATTGACATACAGTGTGATGCCAACTTGCTCAAACACTAAATGACTGGGGAACTGACTGCCTATTCAAGCCGTGGTAATACCAAACTGCAGTGGTCGGATTCGACCACGTGTACGCTATTGAGACCTTGTACTTACATGTCGTGAAAGACTGATCATTACCTGGGTCGGCGATTGCTCAGCTCCGGGAACCCATGCCGGTTCTGAGTTCTCTTTTGAATGCAATCGTACCACCAGACCATACATGTAGCACGCTGTGACTTCACCGACCAAAACATGGCGCAGATACAGAACATTTGAAAACAAAAGCGCCGATGAATCATGAATTATATTTGGTTATGTAGCTATGCTAGCGAATACTACTTATTGTTGCGAAAGGGAAAGTACACACAGAGCACCGGGTCTCTGTCCCAACTCGATTTGAGAGACGATCAAGGTACCAAAGTTGCCTATAACAATCTGCATTGAACATTCAAGGTGCTCTATTCCTGCGATAGGACAGCCTCGTGGCGCATTAAACGACGTACTTGTATTTTTCCAAGTGGCAAATAACTACATATCGCATACTTGGCATGCCTCTCTAAAGTTACCAGAAGGGTAGCTATGTTATCACACTAAAATTTCTGCGGCAATGTCGTAGTTGGTCGCTCTACTTCCATGCGCCGTTAACCCCACCAGCAGTTGCAGTGTTGAGAACATACTATGGTACATCGGCTTTGGGCCGTGCAAACAACCATGTCTTGGGGTTTCGATCATTGTCGCCGCTACAGGGAAGAGAAGATACGTAATCACCCGTCATTTGATGTCTGATCACTGTCGTTGCTGTCGTTGCTGCCGTTGCTGTCGTTGCTGTCGTTGCTGTCGTTGCTGTCGTTGCTGTCGTTGCTGTCGTTGCTGTCGTTGCTGTCGTTGCTGTCGTTGCTGTCGTTG